AATTGTGATGCAAATCCGGTCAATTTCTGTGAAGGAAATAAAAATAAATTGAAATGGAGAACCACTGCATCATAAAACATTCCACTTCGGAGGATTTTATTTATGGTAAGCAATTTAATATTTATTGACTTACGTACGACGACGAATTATGTATGGTTAGCAATTCTGCGCTAGAATTAAGCGAATACTTGTTAATTATGGGACCGCAATGAGCAGATGTGCTGCTCTGCACCAATTATTATTTATGTATTCAACAATTCTGTTAGCACGAGCAACTTCCAAATGTGTGCTTTAATGATATATTTTTGTGGCCTGTTACTGGAGGCTTGATTTCATGTACATTTCAAGTTGTACATCATATCAGGAGAAGTGGACGTTTTATTATGAATGTGACCAACTGTTGTCATTTAACATGTGCCAGTGTAACTATTTATTAGGGAACAGTTTTATTCAAAGTTTAAAAAATCGTTTATTTTCTGGGTCTCTCAAGTAAGTTGGAGGGTGCCAAGTAAAGTGCCCTCACCAAAAATAGGTAATCCAACCCTTCCAACTGTCTAAATGTCAATGTCATCCCTGATATTTCTTGGTATGTACTCGGTAGTTGTGATATTTTTGTATGTATGCATTTACATACGTGCACTGCACCCAAAATCCTCCACTATCTTTGAATTTTGCACACGAACCGAAACTTATCGAGGAGGCTAACAATCTAAGAATGACGCACATTTGCTATAAATTTTCTGATTTCCGAATAGAATAATAGTTTTAAGAAAAGTTAGCAATTGACACTAATACAATAAAAGGAATGACTTTGCTAAAACTGTTTTTGAAGGTTCTGAAACTTGGGAGTAGTTGAACATATGTATAATCCGTTGTGAATTGGATGAATCTCCGACCGACCCTTTCTTACATAGTAGATTTGCCTATAGTTACCCTTTAGTGTTGACCCCAAAATCTGAAGACGGGCGAAGCATAACATGATTTTGACATGTCCATAGCCATTGTGAACAAATGGATGTATTGTGCATTGTAAATCTCTCGTCAGAACAGAGGAGACCCTTCGATTGGACTTTTATTGGAAATTTGTGCCCATCGTCCTCCATACCCGAAAGAAGTCGTGCAGTCTGGGAACCAGGGAGCTCAGCGTTTATTTTTACATGTTTCTGGTCGAGAAAAGGTTCCTTGAGAATTTCTTCTTGAGCTCCACGGGACGCACCCACCATCCGGCTGCTCCACTGTCATAAAAGTATTGAAAAGATATTTCATAATGACAAATGTCACGTACGGTTGGAGGAAGAAGAAGGTTCTCAAGAGACGAAGGATGCATTGTTATTTTTAAGGGCTGCTTAAAGTCCTTTTGCATTGTGCTTAGGTAGGAAGAGTTGCAGGTGGCCTTTTCAAATGAGGGACACTACATAATACGTAAATAAACGGGGAAATTTCAACAGCAGATATGCATTCGTATGTATGTAGGAATTAAAAATAATAATTTTAAGAAAGCCAATGTCAGGTGTGTGAAGGTGCCAAGGTGTGAAATGGGCTGTCCATTTTTTCAGGGAAATTACATTTCCAATCTAAATCTAAATTGAATGAAGGGCTTTAAAACATTTGGTCAGAGATATGATAGCGGTTCCACTTGCTTGGGCATCCCATTTTATTTATTCTCTTAACTTGGCTCTTAACTGGGTACACATGTGAAGTGATAAGATAAGGAGCAGGCAGGAGAAGAAGAGGACGACCGAGCAATAAGAAGAAGAAAAAGTGGACGGAAAGGATGCACGAATTCCTTTTTATTCCACCTTCGTCTTTGTGACCCGGCCAGCTTTTATTCCTTCTTGGACAATCATAAAAGAAATGCCATGCTGGCTGGGATTCTTCTGCATTCTGTTGAATTAAGGAATACACACAAATACGTAAATATTTTTTCACCCCCTTCACCGTACTTGCACTGCGACTTTTTTTTCGTGTCCCATGTGGACAAAATCATAAAAGCGTTTTGTATCAATTTTCTTTACAAAGCTGACGCACCACGGCATTTCATTTTGTCATGGGCATAAACAGGTTGACTTTTGACTCTGTCAGTTCAGTTGGGATTTGTCTCTTGGGGAAGAAGAACACGTTCTCTGGGAATTCTATGCATTTGTGTGAAACTGTGAACCGTGTGGATTTCAGGATTACGTTTAAAATAAGTGAATCGTGTGCTGGTGAGGTTTCTGCTTCAGATAGAAATTTGTGGTTTGGTGCATAGCAGTCGTTACATTATTGGTGCTTTGTGGCGTGGTTGGCTAAGTAATCACGGATTTGTTCTGGTTTGCTGTTACGTGACATAAAAAGTTTGTTGTGGTGTGGTAAATAGCCACGATTCCACAATTTGGTGAGCATGATGCAAACAAACAACAAGGAGTTTTGGCTTAAGGTGCATATAAGTACATAAATGTCCACCAATTGAGACGTGATATGGCACGCATTTACAAGTGTTCTCATCACACAGTCGGGATTACTCCATGGTTTTACATATTTATATGAAACGGACTCGTTCATCTTGGTGATCGTCAAGATTCCAGATTGACATACACTCTCGAAGATGCGCATTCCGTAATGAGGATGATAAAATAATTGGAAAATTTTGTTTTGATGGAAAATTTGTGGGTAAGTTTTACATGCATTCCAGTATTAAGCACATATGTACCTGAATATCATATCAGTAGCGGAAGTTGTGCACATATTAATTATTTGCATAATGCGCGTATAATCTGTTATCAGCTACTTACATATTTCTACTTGAAAATCTCGCTCTATTGGCGCACTGAATATAATGTTACACAGTTTGACTGGACAACCGGATATTTGTGCGTTTGCATTAATGTGATAAAATTTGAAAACAGATTTTCCAATTTATGACACAAACACATGCAAAAAAATCAGACAAGGGTGGATGTAACACGTCTTGTTTTGCATAAAGTGTGTGAATGTGAATGTGTCCCAATAATAATTGGCATGTGTGATGAAGCGTGACCCAGGCAGGGCAGGTATAAATATCAAATCTATTTTCAGAAAAGATGAGATTAGACACCAGTCACAAATAGAACTGTTGTGCTCAAAAGCTCAACTTGGATTAAAAGATGAGAGCAATTTTTGTCAAAAATCTCGTTGAAAAGATGACAAGTTTCAAAGACATAATAAATTGGGAGGAATTGCCAACTTTGCCATCTCATGGCTCACACACACACACACGCAGAGCCACACGGGTATTTTAGTTGCCAAAATTTTGCAACCCGAGCAGCTTAAACTGAGCCCACTTATTGTGCACCAGTGTTTTTGCAAATGGTTCTTGGATACATAGGTGCGAATATGGTCTCGTGAATATGTATCTGAAGACAACATACGCCACCAAGTCAGGCCGCGAGACGACATGGTTTCTTGTGTTACTTGTTCTGTTCTTGTCCTCATCCTGTTCTTGTGTCTTTTCTCAAGTAAACACAATAAGGCTCAATTCTCACAAGTATATAATCGCAAAGTCTTCTTTTCTTCCTCTCTCTCTCGGGGAAAGGGAAAACGAGACGATGCGCTGAAACTTTCTTGAACACCCTCGGCAGACGGTGGTTAGGACATTGCCGAATAGAATGAATTCAATAGGTGGGCACACAAATAAATAAGTGCGTCTGCTGTGATTGCATGCCCTTTGACATTTGAGGCTTGATATCCACCATCCATATGCATAGTCAGTCACTCCTTCTGCCATGAGAAGCTAAAGGTGATCATTTTATTTTAATTTAACTTTCGGCTGCTTCGTTGGTTGGAATTTGGCCAATGTGCAGAATGAGAAAATTCTCTTCTCTGTGTAAGCTGCGAATGTGTTCCAGAGCAGTAAAGAAGTACAGGATAAGTGCACGTATTTAATATGCCACCATTTGAGTCAGTTTCTCAACTATCTTTTATGCATATACATACATACGTATACTTATGTATAAGCTGCTGCATACTTACAGGACGAGGAGCTCTCACTTTGTTCCAACGTGTCATTTTGATAGATTATTGTTAAGCTTTGTGAGACGACACCTCCTTCAATCGAATGTGCATATGTACATACATGCGCACACCCATTGTCATAATACGAGGCTCAAATTTCCCAGAGTTTCCTAGACCATTAGAGTAAATTAACTGTTCAAATATGAGTAAAAACAGAGGAAGGATTGTCATTTCTTATTAAGCTAAAGATTAGTTTATTATTTGACTACTCCACTCTAAGACTAATATTACAACTTTCTGTATGGCTTATTTTTCAGCGAGCAGTATTGATAAATTTGTTATTCAGCCATTGAGCGAGATTATTATTATTATTTGTCGGCACATGAATGACATTATTTTCCATTGATTTGCAATCAAGGGAATATTAGCCGGGATTGAATTACATTTTGGCTGCCTGCTTGGATGACTGTTGTTTTTGATGATGCAAGTTATCTTGGCTCATACTCGCTGAACCAGAGAGAGAGAGAGAGAGGAAAGTCATTTGAAAGGCAATTCATTCCAATTCATTAAGACGAGACGGGCCAAGAAGTGGAAGGAGAGGAGTACAAGTCATGTTCGTGATAAAGACTCATTTATGAAATGACATGGTGAGCAAGTGGTGCACCGGGATATGTCACGTAATAATATGACTCAATCCCTCCGCACCCCAAGGAAAGCAAGGCAGGCAGACAGATAAGCTGCCAACAAGATTCGGGTGCAGAGACCAGACTGTTGGGCTGTTGTGGAGGTGCTCCTTCCTATACACACACAGAAAGAATTGAATAAATGACGACGACGACGATATGCTGCTACCCCACCAGAAGAAGAAGAAGAAGACCGTTGTGAGCAGAATCAGTCCAAAGATCCAATCCACCAATCTTTCTCTCTCTCTCTCTCTCCCCTACTTTCCATCCACTCTCTTAAGTGGTTGGTGAATTGGCATCGGGTAGAAGACGACGAGGAATATCTGCACACCAGAGTCGTTGGCAACAAGAGAAATCTCTGAGATTCAGCCCATCCACCACGTTAGGTCAGGTCACTCCTTCGGTCCATGATACATATATTTACATTCGCGTATTACGATTTGGTCGTCGCCTTACGAGATAGAAGAACCTGTTTTTTGCCTCCACTCTTCCTTTAATCTCCACCAGTTTGGTTTATCCTGAGTGCTAATCCGAACGTGAACTTGAACGTATTGCGAATGAGCATCGCATCATACATCGCAAAATCCAGTTACATTATTACATAGTTGGCTGGGTGGTGATGATTAGCATAATATACATGAACACGTAAAGTAACTTGTCCGTCCGTCCCATGCATCGTGATCCATCCATCCAGTGTACATTGCGATAATATTACATTCAATCTCTTTGTGCAACAACTTTTTATTGACGGACTCTATAGAACTAGTGAGCCATTCTACATGTCTGTTCTCTCTTGTATAATAAAACACGTCCAATTTCGGGATCCCCAATCCAAACCACATCTGCCAAAAAGTCGCAAAACTTGGGGAGACGCGCAGTCTGCCCTTTCCTTCCAATCCTACAACATCCATCCACTCATTCGTCGCGAAATTTCTGCTCGCATCAAACATTTACGCGTCTAAATTACATTTAGAGCAAAAAGTGCGACGAATATAAATGTTGGAATGTTGCACATTTAGTAAGTGAACTTAAATCTCTCTCTCTCTCTCGTCACTCGTCGTGATCTTTTGACACTTTTAGTATTGAGTTGCCATTTTATTGATGAGGTTGCGGTAAAAGGGTTACAAGGGCGAAAGCAATTCAAGAATTTTTGCTGTTGGACAGAATTTTTCGGTTGTTTCGTGAACAATCTCGTGGAAGTCCATGCATACGTGGACAGGATATGAGTAAGATACATACAACGAGAATGCTGCTCCTCTCGAGAAGCTCTCTCTCACCATAAAGTAATAATTCAGCAAATATTTTATCGATTAAGTCATCATCTTGTGCTTCTCCTGGTGGACTTATGTGTAAGAGGCTTCTGCTGACACCACTCTCTCTCTGTACTGGGTTGGCTAAACCTTGGTATAATTTGCAGAAATGACGTTATGACTTCCAAAATTGGCGAGTTATTCGCATCATTGAGGGTGGTGTGCACTAAATACTTGGTAATAAGTAAGCAGGTCGTGTGGCTTATGATTGGTTAGAATGGTCTGACAAAAATTGAATACAAACTTAGCAGTGCAACAGAAGCAATCATACAAATTCAGAGTTGACCATCAACACTTTTTGCTCTGGGCAGAATAATAATTATTCATACAGATTCATCATGAGTGCGTCCATTTATGCTGAGACAAGTACAGTATATACATAAGTGCATATGTACATTGATAAAGAAAGTGGTGCGCAGGCAGCTAGGTCTCCTTGAATGGCATGAAATAAGCGATGGGCGAATAAACGCGATTCATATGCGTCACAAGATATGTACTTATTCATAATGTGCGTTGAAGGAAATCCGCCCAATGAATTGATCCAGTAATTTTACTCAGTTACAAATGGAAATGGAGATGTACATAACTGCATACATTGACCAATTACTTACTTATTATGGACACTTCTTATTATGGATTAATTATTATTATTGAGTATTCCACATCCTTGAGTACTTAGCAAAGAAAGAAACTTGACTTCAAAAACGTGCCAAACTAAGAAAAAACACTTTAAAATGTGATCATGTTCAAGAATGTGTCATTTTATCAGATCTCGAATTGTGAATGAATGAAGATCATTAATGAGAGCAAAAGAAATTCAAATCTCAGTTATTGGATATTCAGTAACTGCGATGACTGGGAGCAGCAAGTAAAAATTCGCAGCGATAAAATCAGTGAAATACAAGTCAGAAAACATTTTATTCAGATTGCTTATTATTTTTATGAGCATAAATTTTCTCAAAATTTAACCACCACTGCGCTGTGGAGACGAATTATTTCGTATTGCGCGACACAGCCATTAAACTTTTCTGTTAAACTCTGAACTCTGAACATTCACTTCAGCTCAGACTTGTATGTGTGCATATAAATATGTATGTATGTATTACCACAATTTTTTATTAGTATACCGCAATTGAAATGGGTTAAAGGGTAAATGGTAAAGAATGTCGTAAAAATGGGAATAAAATAGAGTTTTTTTCTTATTGCTTTTGCAGATTGGGCCACATTGAATGCTGGAAAGTGAAGCTGGATCCCGTCATCGAAAGTATATACAGAAAACATACACAGAACAACTAATTTTGACAAATTTCGGTTCAACTTGACTTCCTGAGTAGAATAAAGCAAGTAAAAGAAAGGAGAAGAAGGATTCAGCAAGAGCGGGAGTGAGTGGTCATTAGTGGTCATCGCTTATTAGCTTTGAAACAAGTTCTTCAAGACTAAACCAACACCAGGAAGAACAGCAGGACATCGACCCAGTAGATTATTAGCAGATATTGGATCCGAACAATAAACCAGTCTCTCGATTCACACACCACGACGAGACGAGGGATCCACGAGAGACTCAATTTCAACAAGAACACTTTTTTAGTACGAATTAACCAGAATTTGTCTCAACCTCAAGATTAACACAACAATGGAACCCAGCGATTGAAAAACAAGACAACTTCATCTTCAAATGAAGCAAATGTGTCATTATTTTTGAGGCACACGGCTGCAGTGACAAGATGAAGCTGTTTCTGTCACATTTGGTGACAATTATTACCATTCTGGTCAGCGCCATCCCAGGTTTGTACATTTCATTTATTTATTATTAAAGCCATTCCATATGCATTTTTATTTCTATTATTATGCTGATCAAAACCACTACTAGTGAATGAATACTGACGTGATGAAGAAGAGAATGCATTTGCGAGTCACAAATTGTGCATAGCCAGCCACACAATTTCAGTTGGTTATGTTAGCTTGTTGGTTGGTTGGCTTGTCTATTATGTACATCAAAAATATGCAACGGAGGCATTTAAGTTGCGTTTAATTCACATCGTGTCCATAATAAAAGTGGGAGCTTGGTCATAAAAGTTGTCCGACTGTAGCAAAGTGTTGTTCTCCAGTGATTAATTGTCCAAAAAAGATTTTAATCAAATCAACAACCATTATTTTGCACAATCAAGAGATAATCATTTATACCTCGGTTGAGATGACGAGAGAGGATGAATCGAAAACCTGTTTGCCTTCAGGTCCCCAAATGCACGTAGAAGAGGTAGATATTTATTACCTACGAATTTGTGTAGAACGCTCATTTCGCATATTCCATTACGGGAACTCTCAGCCTGCACGGATTATTTTGAACACACATTTCATTTCAGGGTGGATAGAGCAACACTATATTTGCATATGTATATAGGCATCTACATATGTATATGCATTTAGAAGGATACATAGAATAGAGCTGTAGCTTTACTCCATAATTTATTGATGCAGAAAGCGTTGTTTTTTCTACTTTTTGGATGAGATGACAAATGGTTCTTTTTTCGCGTGAAAATTGCAAATAATTTTGGATTTCATGAGACTTGTTTGAGAGAGATGTCAAGAAAACTGATTTATTCTCCAATTAAGGCAGCATAACAAAGATGACGGATATTTACTACCTTTTGCATTATTCACAACGTATGACTCGAGTGGATTATATAAATAATATCGCTCTCCTGAGCCTACATTGCACAACAATGGGTTTTCATGATAGAAAGTATGTAATAATTGGGCGGCAGAGCTATCTGTGCAGTGCGTGGGAGACACACAAAGAAAGGTTTCGATCCTGCTTAAAACTGACCATTTTAGGAGTTGAGACAATTTGTCACAAACAAGTGTTCATCTACATAAATAATTGGGGTTACAATCATCGTTCAAACAATGATGATGGCGATGTATTTGCATTATGTATCATGTGCATCTTCTCGCTGTAATTACAGTTTATGCTGAATTTGAATTTGTATTTTCAACAGGAAAGTCTGAGCATGTTTGCGACTTTGACAGAAATTGCCTTCAGATTTACAACAATATGAAATCCGTGTACGAGGAGGTGCCAAGTGACTTGACGACTCTGTGCGCATTGTCTCACGACCTTGGTGGCTGCATGAAGAAGGCATCCAGGAAATGTCGCGGAGACTTGTAAGTTCTGCAGGATTCACTGCATAGCCATTACTGCATTACGAGCCAATGAATCTAATAAAGGGTGATTTGTTTTTCTTTTGTTTCCAGAAATTACCACTTTTTCGAAAAGCTTGTTCGAGATTTGAATACGAACACGGGAGTGGTAAAAAATTGTGCGGGTGGGATGGTTAAAGGGTCCGAGGAGAACAGTTCGAATGGGAGTTCTCAAACTTCCATGTCCAGTCATCACGAAATTAGTCATCACAACCACCACGGTCGCAACCGAGAGCGAGCAAGGGGTCGAATAAACCAAGCCTTGGACCACTGCGCCCCCAAAGTGGACGCTCCACTCGCTGGCTGCGGTCTTTACGGGTTAACTAACCTGAAAAGCTTCTCAGAATCTCTGAACTACACGGATATCAACTACTGCAGTCTAGCTGGTGCTTGGAACCTCATCGACACTCCAGAATTGTCTGTACAAATTACAAACAAAGGTGGCTTATCACCACTGCCAAAAGATATAACTGCCACTACTCTGGTAAGTCCAAATTTCCAAATGCATGCGCAAATACTCTTTGTGACGCGGGACTTCACTTTCCCTGTAATTTTACAATCCCAGTGGTTGTTGCAAAAAATGAAGATAATAAATACATGTAAGCATTAACACGTTATTTGTTTAATGATAAATTGCAGGTCACAGTGATAATAAAGAACAGTGAATGCTCAGAGCGTAAACTTTATCAAGCAAGTAAGTCTGTTAAAGTACAAGGCGTCGTGTTAATGTGTTATTCGTAACTAATGTGACGCAAATTATTGTTTTCTGTAGCATTTGACGAAGTTCCTGGCATGTTTTCCGATGGTTCCACCACCTCTGGAAATGTTTTCATCGAAACGGTCACCGAGAGTGAGCATTCCAAAATCCACCTTCCTTATCTTTCAACCACCATTGATGTGATAAAGGTAATTGAACAGAAGATTGCATTGCACTGTATTCACACTGATTATGCATCCGTAAATAGCAATATATATGTATGTACATGGCTTTTTAAACGTAAATATTTTGTATGTCTTCAGGTTTTAGACAAAATTCCAATTCCGTCCCTCGCCGTAACAATAAAGATGCCCCAAGCCTCTGCCCAAGGGTTCATGTCAGAGCCCAAGCGCCTTCGTGGCCTTCCTCTGTGCTTTTACGGATGTCCACGCACCGCCACAATGAGGCCAAAGCCATTGGCAGAGTCCTCTTCACTGAGCACGAAAAGCGGAGCGACGTCCACGTCGTCGTCGTCGTCCAGTACAAATAACAATAATAATTATTACAAGAGTAAATGTCCCAACCCGGAAGTGGGCAAAGGTTCTGTTGATGATTACGAACTGCCACAAGCGGACGGTGCACCTTCTTCCGTCCATCCATCCTCACCCGCGTCCAAGCCCCAACGACGTCGTTCGGAGGACACCGAATTTTCTGGATCCCTCTCTGCCGAATTTCTAAGTCAAAGCAGCTCTTTTGCGAATACCGATTTTGGTGGGCAGCGAAGCCAGAGAAGTCATTCCAGTAATACGGCCGTCATTTGTGCGTCGCTGAATAGTGTGCACGCTGTGCTGTTAGATACCGTCGTGGTCGGAGTAAAGTTAAAGTTTCCTGGAGATGGTAATTTTATCGACCTTTACAACTCTCAAGACTCTAATTTTGTCAGTTTCAGTTCCGCCCTGACAAGTCAGAGCTCTCCTGTTAGTAAATTCCATTGTGTATTTGTATATTTAACAGCTACCCTGATATTTGCGTGGAGCTGATGCTAAATGCTAATTACTTATAAGTAATAATAATGTGACATTTATTTATCTTAGTTTTGACCTCGTGTAGCTTATTTACTGTGTAGTGGAACATGACTTTGTACTTTAAACTGTATTTATTTTTTATTCTGTTTAAGAAATTTTAGCCTACATTGTTTGTTCATCAAGTATTAATTAATTCCAAAGCAAGCAAGCTACCTTACGTGTTTACATTGTACACGAAGAATTGCAACTCTTTTTTGCATATTATTTATGTATTCATGTGCCAAATTGTTGCGTAATCTTAAAGCGCATAATATTTTTATAAAAGAACCTCTGTACCACTTGTAAGGTCGATATTTACCATGAGACTAAATGAGGCAGCTTGTAGGAGTAAGGAAATATATTAAATATATGTAGTATGACCAAAATAATACACAAGTTATGCAACAGGCAGATAATATGTAAGCAGAAGAACAAGGGGTGAATCTTCTACACGTATGAAGAAAGTAGAAATTTTAAAAAAATGCAATTAATTATGGTCCAATTTGAATAGGGGACAAAACGTCTTTGTGTTTTTTTTAATAGATTGTATGTGTGTATGCTAATGTGATGTGATGAGCTTCAACGTGTTCGTTCGTGCCGTCTTTTTGTGACCATACAACAAGCAAAGATCTCAAGTTATATACAATTAACTTTACAACGTAAAATAAATAAAGATTTTTATGAAATTGATGAAAAATCATGTCTTTATAAAAATTTATTTTACTTTTTCTCAAGAAAGTTGAGACGGTAATTTCAGAAATCGACTAATTATTAATATATTGTTAAGATTACGTCATTATCCAGTCGGCAATTTAGCCGGCTTGTTGAGCAGCCAACATTTGATCGACTTTAGTCCTCGCCAGTACAATGAGTTGTGGAAGAATTTCCTTGAACTTGACGAGGTACGCTTTAAACATGTCACTCGTGATGAACGCCTTGACCTGTTCGTTCGCCAAGAATTTTTGCCCTTGTGGAGTCGCCAACATCTTTTTGATGTTTTCTGCAGTAACCAGTTTCGGAATAGTGTCGCTATCCAAGAGCTTTATGAAGAATAAATCATTGTTCAATTTCTACGCTTTTCATTATAAATAAATTTGTTGGCTGAAAATGAGTTCCTGCGCAGCTAAATATTACCACGTGTCGATTAATAAACCAATTGTTAAAATGTATGACTTAATAACCTTTTTCAGGTTCTCAGGCTTCATCTGAGTCTTGAAAGCCTCGCTCTGCAAAATGGCTTGAACTTGAGGATGCTTCATAACCTCGGCCGCCTTCTCTAGTCCTGCTTTCACCATTGGATTGTCCTTCAGTGCCCCGAGGTCCAAGGGAACTGAGAGAACAGAAAGCAGTTGGGCTACTGATACGCCGTTATTTGGGGACAATGACTAAATAAGCTTACCATCCGGTGCGTTGCGCTTAGCTGTAAAAATTATGATACGAGAGGTTTAGTGACGCTACATCATCATAAGCAGAGTGGGGGCAGCATACCTTCTTGGTGCTGAGCATTGTTGAAATCGAGACCCACATTTGCAATGGCAGCGTTTGTCCATCCAAAAAATGCTGACAAAAAAAGTTGAGATATAAGAATCATGTGTAAACGAGAACACACAATTTTAGTCAACTATGTAAATTACTCGTCCTCACCCGAAAACAAGACTAGCGGAAACAGATAAAGGAGAGAGTTCATTTCGATCAACTATCGCATCCAACGTCAAATACGGAAAATGGACACGCTTCACACGAACGCAGAAGGGACAAGGAAAACCTGCTGTTGAATGAATGATGTTGAACATGTCCACTGAATAACAATGGGAAAAGGCAGACATCATTATTGTTTTTCATACTGGGTCATGTTGACGGAAATGATATATTTCAATACAAAACATGATGGGACCACAATAAGAATAGGCCAATACTGCTGCATGGAGAATCTCGACCAGTTATTTAATTGGACTTGGGTGTGTGCGATTCATGAAACGACGCTTTTGACGCCGACCTAATGGGACAAGGAGTACAGGAGGATTTGCATCGCTCGGGCGAAGGTAAGCAATAGGTAAGTCCAGGCTTGTTTACTATTTCTTGTTCCCACTTTCTCCACGGAGCGAGACGGGTTGGAAAAATCCGGAGAAAATTTTCTCCAGAAGGGGAACTGCATAATACATACACTCCCAAAGCGAGCAATTTATGCAGTACAATGGAAAACCCGGAGACAAATTATTGATTAAGAGAGAGTTTTTGAGGTTGGGAAAGTGCTGGGCTCGTGAAGAAATCAGTTACCCGGGAGTTGAACGGGACAAATAGATTCCTAAAATGTCGGGTTCTCTGCTCTGTGATACCCGGGTTTCGATGTGTGCTCTTATTCATTTTCATGCATGTATAGTGTATGCGTCGTCTGGCTTATCTTATCAGAGGGATACCGATAATATACGACGAATAATTAGTTAGGAGGACTGTTTGTAAGCCTTCTCTTGTGCACATTTCGTTGCCAGCATGGTTGAGAGGGGAGCCTTAAGGTGGAGGGACTTGGAAAAGTGCCGGAGAGTGGTTTGAGGGATTTAGTGCTGGAGAGTGGAAGGTGAGACGGAAGGGTTGGGTTGAGCACGACGTCCCTGCAGCCACTTTCTCAGAGTCTCATAGCTTTCAAGGCAAATCTCCCAGTGACTCACCTCACGCCGTTTCTTGGAACACGCCACCACGACGGAAACGGTGAATCCCTACCTCCTTCCTTCTCCTCACAAATGTTTACCTTGCTTGACACCAAACAACTCGGGTCACCCAATTATCTACTCGTGCTTATTTGCAGGCGTATAAAAATGGGTGACCATCATGCCTCTTTAAGATGCATGTATTATGTAAAAGCTAATTTTCTTCCCGTTAACTATTTATAAGGGCAACTACATAATCAATCAATTAGGGCAAATAAAGCTACGCCTTTAAATTACACAGACTTTGACACATATTTAAGTCTGCTCCTTGCATATAAGTACATGCCACAAAGTTGTTTCTGTTGTGGTGCAAATGCTGCAAACGTCAACAATTCCATGATAAGAAAGTCATTCTGAAAATGGAGAGGATAAAAGTAATTCCACCAGCATGGCAAAAAACTCTTGGCACAAAACCAAATTGGTTTTCAACGCCCAGAGCGAAATTCTATTCCAGTATTTTTTTCTACTTTTACTATTTTTCGAAATTCCTCTACTATTTGTGCATGTCGCCGTGTAATGTAACCCTCGTTGGGACGCAAAATAATAAGGGTCGCATCGCCCTGTCTTTTAAAAGCAGTCGAGTTCAACAAGTATGTGACATTTTTGTCTTTTTCATTTTTCATCTCTGCAAATTATTCGGCTTCACGTCGCCAATGCACATTTTATCTATTTGTTTCATAGATCTACACGGGGATTATACACATTTGTGCGATGTTGCGATGCAGCTACTTGGTGAACGAAATGATAACTCTGCAACCAAATGCGAAACCCATAAGTCAAAATCCAAAGCAACTCTATTTCATTGTGGGCTCATTAACAACTTGTTATGCCATCTTCCAGTTTGTCACTTTCTGCTGGTTGAGAAAAACTGGGTTCCGCTTCTTGTTGGAAACCTTGGCGGAATTCGTTAATCCGGATGTGGAATTGGAAATGGGTCGAAAGGTGAGCACCCTCAAAAATTATATTTCACGAATCCTGATATAAAAACTGTGTCCGCGTGCATATTTACAGGATCGTGTCATCCTTATTTCATGGATGGCAACTTTTGTCTCCTTAATGGCGGCCTTGATGCTAAAACCCGTGGTTGATTTGACCCTTCAAAATGGATTTAGCCAGGTGTACCGTGGCAGCGAGGCCATGCACGGTTGGAGCTTTGGGAAGTACTTGTCCCCAAATGGCCCATTGCAGGAGAATCTCGCCTCCATTCTTGCCATCGTGGTGCATGTCCAATATTGCGGGGTCGAAATAGTGGCAGGGGCAGCTTTTGGGTCCTTTGCTTGTTTTGCAATTTACAAACTGAGTTGCGAGGTTGGCGACTACTTGGACAAAAATTCTGCGGAGTTGAATTTTTACCAGGTTAATAACATCTTAATTTGGGACAACATAATGTCTGCGTCAGAGATTAATCGTGAGGGATAAAACTGTGTATCCTTCAGTTTTCCAGTTTTTACACCAGCCTTCGTCAAATCGTGGATGCGACCAACGAGTCCTTGTCCATGATCATGTTTGCTTTCATCGTGACTGCATTGGGGTTTTACAGCATCACAATTACGCAACTATTCGATGACACGAATGATAATTTACGCAGGATTTTAGACCTTATCTTTATTTCTTCGACAGTAATTTCACTTTGTGTTGGAGCGAGTGCAGAGCTGCAGGTATGCATGCGTATCATTGCCTCATAACATAATCGGTCCGGTATGCATACACTTGATTTGTGGGTTGACATGTAGTTCCACGTGGTGGAATCTACTCGCTTTGAGAGTCGGGCAGAGAAAAGTTTCTTGGAGAACAGCGTGGAGGGTTTGCTCATTAATGCGGACTTTGTGTCGAAACCTATGAGCTTGCAAGTGTTCAAGTTCGCCCTAACGTACGGCATGATCATCAGCGTAAGCAAATTATAATACTATGCAAAAGACTTTCTCATTTTCGAATCTGCATAATAAGTGCTATTGGTTGTGAAATTGCAGATTTTTAGTACAATATTTACTTATATGACTGTCCTGCTGCAATTTGGGGGTTCGGATTAGATCGAATGAGCGAATACAGGACTATAAACAAAGTGCTTAGCTTAGGATTTGTCCGAAATTTGCACAAAAAAATAGTTAAGGATTGTTGTAGCCGAGGTGGTCTTGTTAACGATCTGTCTTGAAGGAAATATATTTACCACTTTACGATTACATAAGGTGTTTACATAAATTGTTAAATTATTGTTTTTTCTTATCAGAAATAAAGGTTAACTGCATAATTACACACTTTTAGTGGCGAGTGAGTGTAAATGTTGGCAGAAAATGACCTTTCATCAATCTCCAAATTGCTATTTTCTTCAAATGCCGACAAGTACGCAGTCGACATTATTGCCGCTCGCTCTCTTTACGCTGGACTGAAGTGGGGTATCGATTTTGGTTGATGAGGAACGAATGTATAATCTACTTTCTGAACGTGTGACATTGGCATTTTCACCACCAACGTAAACGGCATGCAATAATGTCAAACGTCCGGTGATCCCTTCACCTAATCTCTCACGGGCTCCCAATGTCATGCATGCTCATTTTGTTCTAGTGATTTCCTCTCTTGATCCCGATAATCTCTCCATCGTTGGTTCCACACCAGGCCAAGTTGGAGCAGAGGCACGAACTTCATCAGAAAAGCCATCCTTCTACACAGCTTTCTAAGAATTATATTGCTCAGAATTGGCGGAAATTGTTTCTCGGAGCTGGAGTGAAACCGTCGTCATCATCGTGGTCGTCACTGCGATTCGTTTTTATGTCGCTGAAATCCATGGGACAACTCTGACTCACTTTTTATTTGAGTGAAAGTGGTGGGTGGGTGCGTATCAATACTTCGGCATGAAGTCCACACCATTCGTGAAAGTGGTACATTTTACTGCATATTTTACAAATCACCCTAATGGAAACACTTGTGCATCCGACTACACCCCCGGAGAAAGTTGTCTCAACTTCCCCGGAATTTTACTCAATACACAGTACTGATAATTATTGGAGTTGTGGGATGTTATCATGTAATTTTATATTCATTTTGACGAATTGTCTCGTTTGGTTTTCATTGGTGAGGAACAGGCATACATAAAAAATTAGGCTGAAAATAGTTGGACTTGCGAATTATTCTCACTCTTGCAGATCTACTCCATCACTCGTCTCACCTCCATTTGTCACTTTCTCCTTCACCACTCGGAAGATGGGGAGGAGGGAGAGGACTTGGACCACCACCCTCCCCCTCCCACGTCCGTCGCCTATCATCGAGGTCACAGAAAACGTAATGACTGCGATATTTTTGCTGTTATTCGTTAAAAGTTTCTATTGCACAAACTTAAAATTAATGAATTTGTTATTATCTGAACAGATTGTTTGTGGGAAATTGCTGGAATGATTTTGATAAGCTACGAAGCAATTTTGTCGTTCGTCCTCTGCATTGGGACGGGATCATTTGTGTTTGAGGTATGCATTTCTAATATAGGACACGACTTTTTTGGTTCTTACAGCATCATAATCTACGTTGATGCAGGTGAAAGGCTTCTTTGTCCTCATGTGGTGCCTCAACTATCCCGTGTTCCTTATGCTTCACTGGGTGCTGGGATTTTTTCTGACAAAATGTTGCATCCCCCAACACCGCATGAAGAGGTCCACTCTGCACAACTGTGCCATCGTGGTGGTCAACATCGTGTGGAGGGGCGTGCTGTACTGGTGCACCCTCAATTTACTCTTCCATCCCAAAATTCATCCCGAAACGGAGGACATGGATCTTGGAATCCTCAAAAGCTTCAGTAGCAGTGGGGTCAGGCCCCCCTTTGGCAATGGGACTGAGGATGAGGTGGCGGATGAGGTGGATGGAATTCTGATAAATTCGACAGAACCAAGTCGTGTCGCTTAATGCATAAAATGTGTATTCATAAATATTTAGTTCAAAACTCGTCATTTTGCTGCTCAGTATTATGAATAAAGTTGGTAAATTGTAAAATAATAGGCATCTTAATCCTGATAAATGAGGGAGAACGTGCACGCTTTGTCACACCATTGTATCACTAATTATACAATATCAGACAGATATAGCCACATTCGTCAATTGGCTATTGTATATGTCAGATTGATTTGTGATAAGGGGAATTTCGTATCATTTTCGTCCCATCAAGTGGCTACCAGGATAAAAAAGGTTACCCGCAGTACAAAATTAGCCAGCACACTGAGAGCATAAACAAAAATTACAATGTGCAGGATTAGATTGTTGGTAGTGCTTTTGCTTTCCGTTATTGGGAGAGGTCACGCTTTGGTCCTCAGTCCCGAGTACTCCGTCACGTGGGACTACGACTCTTCCACTTCCGGTGGAAATGTCACGTTTGAAGTTGTCGTTGAGACGAGAGGATTTGTGGGTTTCGGTCTCTCTCCCACGGGTGGCATGACTTCAGCGGATATTGTGATTGGGGGCGTGGGAAGTGATGGGACGCCATATTTTATGGTAACAAGTTTATTAATATGGGATACCGTCGTGGGATATTTTAACAGTTTTTGTGGTGCAGGATTATCACGGCGTGGGTCCTCAAGCTCCAATCGTAGACGAGTCGCAGGACTGGTTTCTAATTTCCGCCGCAGAAAACGATACTCACACTACATTAAAGTTTTGGAGAGAGTTGAACACCTGCGATGGCGACGATTGGATAATCACGGTAAAAGGTCTTAAATAATTGTCTCCACAAGTCAGCAATTTATTGAAGAGTGTGCTAAAACTGGTAATTAATGATAAATGTGCAGATGGACACCCAGAAAATGATTTGGAGTTGGGGAGCTAGCGATGTTATTCAGTATCACGGAGTCAATCGCGGAACAAAGTTACGAAACCTGCTTGACCCAACCCACACCTCTCCAGATCTGTCAAAGTCAGTGGGTGTACATTTTATCAGTTCTGATTACGCTGGTCAAGTGTTGTTGACATGTTTTGTTGTTGGTTGGTTTGCTGTAGGTATAAAGTTTGGAACGCGTTTAATACGATCACTGTGCCAGCCAGACCCACGACTTATTGGTGCTCGATCCACAAGACGCCCAACTTCACGACGACACACCACATGATTGGAGTGAGTGCGTACTGAAAAGTGTGCTTACTTTTGGTCGATGTATGATTATTTTTCTCATGATCCACCCCGATTGTATATTTAGTTTGATGTCTTTCTGCCGAACGATGTCGCAGTGCGGCACACCCACCACGTTGACGGTTAGTTTTTAACTGATTTATTTTAGTTCGGGGTACTTTACCTCGATTTCGTTATGATAAGTTGATGTATTTGGTTTGAAAATATTTTTTAGTTTATGGCTGTCGGGCAGATGACCCTGAGTTGATTTTTGAAAAGTGGGTTGGTGACGAGGGACGGGATTGCTATGCTCCAGATCCAGCGAAACCCGATTTTCCTGCGCATTACTGTGACCTAATCGAGTTAGTATTTTTTGCCTTTAATTTATTTTGGCACTAACTACATCACTATTTTGGTGACGCTATTTAATTTTTGTCAGGTTGGGTTGGGTTCTTGGAGGGGAAATTACCCTATTTCCTGAGCATGCTGGGTTCCCTTTTGAACCGAACACTTACATTATGCTAGAGGTAGGTGAGGTCCAAATGCTGATTCGTTATTTTCTTTTATAAAACCAAAGCGCAAACAAATTAATGCCGTTTCTTCGAAAAAAGGCGCACTACGACAACCCACAGTCCTTGGACAATATTGCGTATGAAATGGGCTACCAGATTTACTATACCGATCAGCTTCGGTGAGCTACATATTGAATGTCTACATAATCTTATGTATTTGCATACGTACAATTAGTGGTGGAATAACAATTATGAAGAAGTGATCTCATTACAGAGAATATGACGCCGGTTATCTGCTGGTCGGGTCCGTGGTCTCGTATACTCAGATGATTCCTCCAAATTCTGTCAATTTCACACAAGTGGCCCATTGTAGCCCTTGGTGCACCAACAACTTTCCTGCAACAGGTCTCCAGGTATTCGCATTTCTGTTCCACGCACACACCTCTGCGAGAGGAATGAAGGTCCGGCTGTTTCGAGACGGGGAAGAACTCGAGTGGGTCCTACATGACGCCCACTTCGACTTCAACTATCAGCAGAACAGACTGCTGAGGGAGGAGTTCAGCCTGCTCCCAGGGGACCATATCACCGTAGGTGAGGATGATTTCAATTCTCCCGTTATTATGGTTCTACTGGTGGTGAAGGATGAGTCAAGATTTTGCATTGATGCTTATTGAACTGCGCAGAGTGTTTGTACGACTCCACGTGGAAAGAGGGGGAAGCTACAATCGGTGGGAGGTCGACGCGAGAAGAGATGTGCATGGCCTACTTCTTCTACTACCCAAACCTTCCGGAAGTCGCCATGTGCAACAGTGAAATGCCAGCGGGTCGTTTGCTCCAATTTCTGGGTGTGGAGAGTGTTGAGCTGGAAGGGGAGTGGCAGGAGGACCCCACAGTCACAGGTCCACCACAATATGCAGGCCAGTCCTTCACCAGTGTCATTCAAGGATTAAATTGGACGGACGAGATGAGAGCAGAGTATCAAAATATGCATCGTTACGGGTATCACGAATTGGAATGCTTTCCGAAGCAAGGCCAGAGCAAGGCCAGGACCAGTTACCCACCTTACCCGGAATGGCAGCCTGTCGATTCTTGTGCAGCGACAAAATAGTAGAATCAAATCGAAAATTACCAAGTGGGATGAGTTTTCAAAATTTCATTTCAAATAAAATATGTACATATACTATCTCGAATACATTAAGTGAAAACTTTTGGAAATTTTATAAATTATGCTTCTATACATGCATTTATTTTTACATGTAATAAGTAGGAAGAAAATCTGCTGGGATAGGCGATCAGTTTCGATAGGCTGGATTCTGAAAAGTTGACATCGGGGTCGCATACAATGGATTTTCTCCCTAAAAATTAGTCAAAATAGTCAAATGCATGATCGCAATACGTATGCACGGACGGATGTACATACAGATATATATATCTGTATATATACAATAATGTGATTTTACTTTTGCCCATTTTGCAGCCGCTCTTTCCTTCTCAAATTTATGGAATTCACGAGTGTCCAGCATAAATGTAAAGAGTTTCCAGAGCAGGAGGGTCATCAGCCCAATAAGTATCACTCCACCGGCGGCGTATAAAATGTACGGAAGAAAATTTAGTGGAGCTTGACAATAAAGCATGTTCCCGATGGCGACCTTCACCCCAATTTCATTCTGCTCCAGCGACTCGTACTCGTAGAGAATTGTAGCAGAGCACGTCTCATTGAAGGGCACGTCACAAATGGTGCTCTCACCAGTTTCATGGTCACTCAATGAGGACGACATCGTGGCATCGTATCGGACAATCCCACGACTAATCATGGTTTCTTTGTCCTTGCTTCCACCCTTTTCGCAAAGGGTGTGACACACTCCTTTAGTCCAAGTGCCATTCAAGTGGTGGTTCACGTGGCACTGAACACACGAGATTAATTTAGGATCTTCACACCGTGCGCTAGACCTTCCTCTTGATGTGCAGTTTGTACCCTGCGTAAAAAATATACGATACCAGAGATATTGTCTAAATCCGTATAAATAAGAGTATCATGCCGATTAGGACTACCCTGCAAACGTGACAATACTTTCCAAAGTGGCCAGGCTTGCAGAGTGAGCATGACCACTGCCAATCTACAGACGCGTCCAAGCTGTTGTCTCCCTTTGAGCAGGAACAATCTCCGTTCCCGTTGCAAATAGTGGTGCTGCCAGGCTCGACACAGGTCGTCTGAAAATCAGTGAAAATTAATTTCTAATATTTTGATTACTTTACTCAAGTACTCGTAAGTGCATCTTCTTCCAGCAGTAAATATATAAGTACCTGCTGCTTTGGACACTGGCATTTGTCTCCACCACGATCTTTTTAATACAAATGTACTTAATTGTGCTAGGAAGCTCATGGGTAAATTTAGCAATTTATGTCACACCTGGGTTGCAAATGCACTGCCCACAGTCGCACTTTCCCTTCCCGTTTGCACACTCACGCTCATACTCGTTGTTCGGATTAAGACGACACTTTGTCTGGTCACATTCACAAAATTGACCGCCCCAACCCTGATGTCAGAAAAGTAATAGTGCAAAATATGATTTATCGATACATATGCGGAGCTCGGCAGCTTAGTAGATATTAATTTTTCTACCTGTGAACAATCGCACTGTCCACAAGCACATTGTCCCCTGTTCGTAACAAAAAGTAATTAAGAAAAACCTTCATTATGTCCGATAAATATAATTAAAGGCCAATATTGCATAACCACATACAACACATATGTGCTTACCTTCCTGAGCATTCAATCTCATTTTCCCCATTTTTTGTACAACCTGTACGATTTCCACTGTTTTCCTGCACCACACCTATTCGCGATTTTGTGCATTCACAGTTTGATCCGCTATGGTCCTCATCACAAACGCATTTCCCACACTGAAGTCGTTTCGCGTGACCACTGCAAATGGATGTGAGAAGCGACTTGTTCTAAAGGTTAAAGCAAAAATGCCGATTATTTATTAATTGAATTATGTGATGAGGTTGGTAAATAGTAAATCTTGTACGATTTAGATTTATACATTGTCTGAGGGAAGCAGAGTTTTTGTACAGTTGCAGTCGCACACTAGGTTAAATTTTACTCGGAATTGTTCTCTCTCCGTGAGGTCGAAAGTTGTAAAGATTATTTCTCCATCGCGTTGGGTGGGAGGACATTTTTGTAATTTTAGACTGACTCGGAATCTGATATAATCCGTACAGAAGATTATAATATTATAATATTAAGAAAATATTAGTAGATACTCAAATTTTAGGTTAGCAGTTAAAATTACTTGACAGTTTTTCCAGGTCCAACATTCTTGCAAATATTCGAGTTGACCACCCAACGACCATCGCTCCCACACTGGGATGAGTACTGGATGTCGATATAGTTGAGAAGTTGGGATGATCCTTTGCTCACCGCGGCAGTGAGTTCAACTGTACCTTTGATGTTCTGTTTGGACCCAAATCGCAATCAGATTAGTGCAAAAGCATGAACTGAAGGAAATTTAATACGGATTGTGTATAGCGCACGAACGTTGTACTGATTCTTCACAAGTTCGACCACATTGTCCGAATTGCTTCTCAGCCGTCCTGCCGTGGATTTGTCGATCCGTTTACTCAGTTGAGAGTACAACTCAAAGTGATCCTCCGTCACGGCGAATATGATGTACGTTTTGCTCCTTTTGGCAACGTGGTTAATTTGTCCGACGGAGGGGTAGTCCTGGAGGGTCGAATGGGTGTAGTAGCCAGCCTGGTCCAGGTGGCAGACCATGTCGTTGTACTCCACGATCCCCCCAAGCTTCCCGTCCCCCGCGATGTGGAATGGCCCGTCCGAAGCCATCACGATCAGTTTGTGAGTCTCATTCTCCCTCCAGCCTGAGACAAATCAACCTACGTGTGTACATGTAATTCCACATAATCGAGCAATCATTGACCTTTTTATTCATTGTGTGGTACGAACCGATCTCATTATTGCACACAATTGCTTGCTGAGATGAAATACTTATTAGGAACATGCATACGTACTTTTTTTACTTAAAAAACTGTAAAAATACAAACCATGATTGCGTCCAGCCCTCCCTCCGCCTTGGTTGTGTTAATTATTTTAAATTAATTACTAATTAATTGTCAATCAAATCAAGTTATTGGTACCATGTCAGTGTTTGCGGAAATTTTTGAAGCAGTAACAGCTCTCTGGAAATAAATGGGGCAGATTGAAGAATAATTAATAAATCTAAAGGATCCACTAAAATAGAAATGTACTTGAAACGCAGTAATATCTTCGGTGAGGGAGAGATGATTTCTGAACCCGTACGGTTTCACGAAGTCCTGTCGTTCACTGAATAGATGGGTAAATGGGAATCTTAATAATTTGTAAACATTGCTGCAATTACTATGTAATTACTAATTGATTGATTAATTAACTTGATTTGGCTATAGGATGCGAAGGGCATGACCGGTTTATCCACGAAGGATCCGAACCCAAGGCGAACACTTTTAGTTAGTTTGTGTTTCAACTCGTTCGCTAATCGGTGACTTTCAGAGGCCACGGTGTCCTACAATCGTGTAACAAATAGAGAACAATTGGTACTGGGTTCCTGCCTTTTCTGCGAATGCTCAAATACTTTGTCATCTTTCATGGTGTGTGACAAATCGAGGATGTAGTACAGGTCAAGTTGCTTATCGGCATCCTCGAGGTAATCTATCTCGAATGTAACCGGAAGTCCTACGGCCAGTTGGGCACGCCCTTCTTGTGGACTTATGTGAACCTTTTGATCTTGATGTACGGGGAGTCTTTTATCGCTGTAAATAAATATTTGCACCAAAATTTACAGTACGAAAAACTTGGTACATATGTATTACGTGTAATATTAAATATTCAAATACATGAACTGTGTGGTTTGTGGTATTTCTAAAAACTGGTTCGACCCACAAAATCCATCCTTTCGTTTCTTATGATTTTCTAAACGGTCGCATCTCGGAATTCTTTTCAATGAGGAATCCTTTGCCTCAAATTCCTGCTCAAAATGAAAACGAAAAATAACACCATTCATACATTTTAAGTGCATTTATGAGCATAAATATAAAAGTGAAGTTAAACAACGAACATGATTCGTACACCAGACACATCCTTCGGTTCCAATGCAGTCGTTGCAGGCAGTGAGAAGTTTACAGTTGTTGGCTTCATCGAACAAGATTTGTTGACCAGATCCTGGGCGTAATAAAATTGACAAAATTGGCACGATAAGAGCTGGAAGGATGAAAGAGACTCGTTTTTTTATCATGATTCCTGATGTTCGTTTTTATGATTACAATATAATTTTCGTAGTTTTTTATGCAGTGTCGAAGCATTTAGGATGATAAAAGAACTACTAATATAGTATAAAGAGACTATGTTGCTTTTGTGGTCAAATAGGTTTCCTGTAATATCAGTAATTAAATGTGGTTCTCCTGCGTAAAAATTAATTGCATACGCATTACTCATCGGACAACCATTTGTATTCATTAAGCGATGAAGATGTAAAAATTATTGAGCTTCAGAAATAATACCTTATCTTCATTATTCAAAATTTAAAATTTTATTAATTTTATTGTTTTGGCATAATTTAGTATACATATTTATTTATTTATTGTGATGTACATGAGTTTACGATATGTCGATATAAGATCTCAGATTATAATTTAGTACATTTTTCTCCATTAAAATAAGTGTCTTATATCCACAATGGCCAGTAATTAACTACACGAGTATCATACATAAATACCTATATGCCTGTACTGACCAGTGGCTTGACTGGACTGGACATAATTCTCGCATACAGTACTATGCAATGCACATACTCGGCAAGTAATGCCACTGTGTAACGCACATAGTTATAATGTCATCACTGCAAAAAAAGAAGAAATGTGCCAATTCACTGTATCAACACTGCCTCCTATGCATTTATGTATCATCGTTGCATCCACATGCACCAATCGACGCCAATAATACTTCTTACTGGAGGGAATAAACTAATGCCTCTCGCAGTGCAATTATATCAATGGAGGTTTATACATACATGCCCTTGACATTTAATTATTAGTGTTAAAACAACTCTGTTTAGATTACGATCATGTGTGAGAGAGAGTCATGACATGCACACGACTACATATGCTGCCGAATGGTATATGCGATATCGATTAACCCACAAATAAGCAATGTTCCTTCTTTGACTTTTTGGACACAAGTTGATCTGCTACTTTTTCATTCTGATATTGTTGCTCTGTCAAAGTTGTCCAGTTGTTAAAAAAAACAACTAGTATTAACTACTCATTCTTCATGGCGTACAAACTCGTGCTGTCCATTGTCGTCGGAATTGCAGCCTACTTGGTCGGGACGTATTACTTATTTCCTTCCCCGGTGAAATCTCCCGTGGTGGAAATTGTCACTGGAAAACTGCAAGGACGGATTTCGCAGTCGAGAGACGGTCGAAATTACCTCGAATACTTGGGAATACCTTACTCAAAACCACCACTTTTGGAATTGCGTTACGAAGTGAGTAAAAGAAATGTCGAGCTAATTACTAAGTAATACTGTAATTAGCTGTTAACAATATTTTTTGCTTATTAGCCGCCAGAACCTCTCGTGCAGAAATGGGAGGGTGTAAGGGACGCTACCAAGTTGGGCGCAGAGTGCATTCAGGTGGACACTCTGATGAATCAGGTTGTGGGGAAGGAAGACTGCCTTTTTCTCAATATTCACACTCCAAAGGTATCACGACTCAGGGTGACGAACTTCAATCGATGGGTTATTTATTGATTTGTTTCTAATGATTTTCAGCTGGATGGTTCCAAACCGGTCATTGTTTGGCTGCATGGCGGTGGTTTTGCCTTTGGGTAATTGTCAATTCTTGACTCAATCAAACTGAGAAAATACAGTGTAAAATGAGAGTTGCAAAAATTATTTGTAGAACTGGTAACATATACCGTCCAGACTATTTTATGGACGAGAACGTGGTTTTGGTCACTGTAAACTATCGTCTCTCCAGTTTTGGTATAAATTTTCACTTGTTTTGTCTTCTTGTATGTAAATAAGTTGTCCGTCTTGAAATACACCATCTTCTCATATTTCAAGGCTTCCTAAACACGGGGGACGGTGTCGTCAGAGGCAATGCTGGACTTAAGGATCAAAACATGGCGTTACGATGGGTATTTAACGTTAAAGCAAAATTGTTAGCAGTCGTAGTTAATTAATATTTTCGCATTTGTTAACCCAGGTCCGAGATAACATTCAAAAGTTTGGAGGAAACCCAAAAGACGTTACTTTATTCGGTACATAAATAAATGCATACCTACTCTGTGTTCGCATTTCAAGGTTAATTGGCCAATTTTATTTGTCCCTTCCGTTTCAGGCGAGTCGGCTGGTGGAGCGTCGACCCATTTTCAAATGCTTTCCCCAATGAGCAAAGGTTAATAATCTATCAAGTAATATATGTAAAGATGCACGACATGACGTATAAGAATCACGTTCGTTTTTCAGGGCTCTTCCATAAAGCTATTTCTCAGAGTGGCTTGGCATCCATGGCTTGGGCAGTCTATCCAAATCCGGCTAAACAAGCCAAAAGATTTGCTGCACAAGCCAACTGTCCGACGGAGGATACTCGAGAAATGGTGAAATGTCTCAAATCTCGGGATGCACTAGAGTTGGTCTCCATACACAAAGAATGCATCGACAAACTCCACCCCACAATTGCCATGTTCTTCCCCACGGTTGAGGAGGAGATTGGCGATGGCAAGTCGTTCCTCACTGAAGACCCAACAAAAATTATTGAGAGTGGACAATTTAATCAAATTCCTTTTATGACGGGTGTAAATTCGGCAGAAGGTCTACTCCTCTCATCGGGTGAGTTAAATAGTTTTTAGTTAAATAGCTACCTTAGCAGAGAGTTTAGCGTGTAGCATATTTGCATATTTGTATGTATCACAGTAATCGTCGCCAATAAGACATTTGCAAGACAATTGGCGAACAATTGGGCAGAGTCGCTACGAAATTTGCTGGTGATTCGGGACGACGTGGACCCTGCCATATTTGAACAAATCAAGGGATTCTATCTCAAAGGAGGAGATGGACTCGACCCAGAAAACGCGTGGAATCAAATTGAAAACCTCACTAACCTTTTTAGTGACGGGATTTTCAAGCACGGTTTTCACAAGGGGGCGACGAGCCATACCAAAGCACTCACCTCGAAATCACCCCCGCTCTTCCTCTATTATTACACATATCAAGGTGAATTTGGGCTGGATCAGATACTCCTCGCCATCAAGGGAGAATTATTCCATCCACTCGTCGAAATTATTTGGTCCAGGATCGCAAATTGGGTCAAAGTCACGTTCATGGGTGCCGAAATTCCAAGATATGGTAAAAGAAACAGCAAAATGCACAAGTCATATTGATTCGCGCAGTCTACAATTTGTAATGTAAATTATTGTAATTGATCCAGGAGCCTGTCACGGAGATGAATTGGCGATGCAGTTTTACGTCCCACTTTTGGCCTCAGTCCCCAAGGGAAGTCGTGACTATGAGTTTTCCAAGAAAATTATCAACCTTATCATGCAGTTTGTGAAACTGGACGCGAAGCAGACCGAACCTAAACTAGAATTTATGGGTCAAGCTTGGGTTCCGCAAGTCTCCGATAAACCCCTACGGTTAATGCAATTAGATTTAAAACCAAAAATGATTACAGAACCGTCCAAACAAAGTTTAGCTTTTTGGGATTCGTTAAATATAAGAAAAAATATTAAAGTAGGTTTATGATAAGCTTTATTATGGAATTTTATGAACAATACAAATGTGAATAATAAATAAGTGGATACATAACACAAATGACTAGTAGTGTCAGAGACTGAGGATAATTATACGACAACTTGAAATCAAGAACCACGCAGCGAATTCCTTATTTTGATGAATAGATCGTAAGGTTTACAGACAAATCGGACACAGGGAGAATTTTGGAAAAGTTTTCTTTTTCGTGGACTTCCTTCAATGTTAGCATGGCGGTCGGTATAATAATTGTACTGGGTCGTCGGAGAGGCTCTGCACGTAACAAAATCAGTCAGCAGAATGTAAAAACGGATAAAATTTAACAAAGTAAATATCAAAAGTTGCGACGGTTAGCCATGCTATGTACGTATATATATATGCACACATACATATATACACATGGCAGATGTATGTAGATATTTATATAACAAATTATTGCTACCTGACGATTGGTTGTCTGGTTCTCTGGATTCCTCTCTCTTCAATTTGATTTCTGTTTGACATTTCGCAAATGATTCGATTAACACAGTCTGCGTTCCGTGAAAAGGGTGACGTTCCTCCACGTCCCGAATGACTCAACTTGCGAGCACCTCCCTCCGTGCTCGACGTGGGGACGTAGAGGGGCAGAATTATGAGAAAGAGGAACACAAGCGATGCAGGCACCACCAAAATCCCCATGACGAAGACGACGAATGGGGCGATGTACCTATGTTTTCCGATACATATGAAAATGCGGCGACCATAAAAAATCATTTATAAAACATCATACTTACAAATAGGTCGCCCCCAGTTCGAGTATCACAGGATCGATAAGACCAAACTGGAGAGGGTCGGCTGGTCCTGCATCAAAACCTTGTGCGACACTTGGTTTTATGACCATGGCGCTGTATACGACTAGCAATAAAGGAATAAATATAAGGAAATTATATCTCTTAAGGGACATTTCTGAAAAAATATCCTTTCAAATTTTCGCATGCAACAAAAAAATTCGAGTAAGTGCTCTAGATGAGGTATAAAGAAGTGAAGTACGTTCAAATATCTGACCCATAGTGGGCCAGCACAATTATTATTTAGGACACAAGAAGTGCAATTAATAAAGTGTTAATTCAACAATTAGGCATAAAGTTGCGGTATCAAATATGTGCTAATTGTTTGACCACATTAAGTAGTTCAGTGTTGGGTCAAGTAACCCCAATTGAGACATGAGTGCATATATTCTATTCAGCAGTTTAGCTTGTCGTCGTTGTCGTCGTATCATTGAAGCACGTCAACGGCCGTGGTGACGTCCATTACGGCCCGTCGTCCATCTATTTATGGTCCGTCCTCATCGATGGACTTCTACAACACATACATAAAGCAATGATGACTTTGATCACTTGCTCGAGGTGTGGAGGAGACAATGAAAAAAACCTGCAAAAAAGTGCATGCACATCGGACAAAAAGAGGAACCGTCAATAAATTAGTTGTTGCATGAAAAGTGTCATTGATTGACTTGTGTAATCTATTGGGAGGTGAACTCTCCAGCCAATTCCAGTCAGCAACACCACAATTGTTTTTTGCTGCCCCCCGCTGCACAAAAGGTTTGTCCGATTTGGACGTGTTGTTGCTAGATTTGGAGAAAGGGCGATTCAGTTCACACCAGTTTTTTCCAGAATATTTCCCAACAATGAGAGCCTTTTAAAACCTTCCCATTCAATTTAAGTTTTTCATGCACGAATTCAAGAAAACAACAAGTTCTGGACCACAGCATTTGATTCGCGATTCTCAGAAATTACCGGATTAAACCGTATTCTCGATCGTCATTGGCTCTAGAAATAACTTGACGAATTTGTTGTACATGTTACATAAAGTGATGCACCTGTTTTGCAAATCATGATGATGGTGATATCTCAACTCGTCGTTGTTTAAAAAATACTCTGCACAATAGTCTCAGCAACAAGATTGCAATGAATGTATCATTACAGAGAACAATAATTAATTATGTTCTTGGATTGAATATTCAGGATACATGCATAAATAATTTTGATTTTTGCTCGTAACGAGCAATGTATAAATAAGCATGCACGTAGCTGGATGCTGGCTGGATAAGTACGTGCGATGGGTTAACATTACAACCACTCACCAAATTAATCTGACCATTAATTACAAATTTGATTCCCATGAATTTAAATTATTAAAGTGGGCATGAAATATTTTTTACTTTGTAATACATGTTTTTCGTACAATAAATTACGTTTATGTCTGTCATCTGTATACCCTGCATAATTTTCAACTTCTGTGTTTTGTACTACTTAAAAATATATATTCACGTAAATTGGCTTAAAATCTTTTAATTTTTTGTGTCACCTTATCGGATAAGATCTGATCTTGATTCTTTATTCCTACGTATCAGTTGTTTATGAGGTTTGATTAGGTTTGGAGGAAGTAAGTACCTGTTTATAAGTACATGGTTTTAAGGATTTTCCGCTAAAGCTGACAACATGCATGCAAGGTTTACACAACTAATAGCTAGCACTCATTACCAAAATCCATGACTTTGTAAATACTTGCAAGAACAGAGGGTTAATCTGGCTGGATATGAAGCGGATTGGACTAATTGTAACAAAAAATTGCACGCAATCTAATTTTTGAAGTCAACGTATATATATTGCAGTTCTCGACCTCCAGGAATTAAGGAGATACACTGTAGTTTCAATTGACCAAAAAGCATGTACTTGTTGAGATGAGCACAATTTCCCATAACCTCAACAACACTGATCTACATTTTCCCAGTTACTGATTTCCACCTCGAAATAAGTCACTCGCAGCATATTTGCATAAATAATTTCCCAATGAGACAAATCTACTTGTTCCTCCAGTGTCAACAACACTTTGTACGAGATTGTCATCTGCGTTATTGTAATACCAACGAATTGCATGCAATTTTGCATCATTGGGAGAAAAGTGGTCTATTTACCAGACTTGTCATGTGGTGAGCACACATATTGCTGCCACCAGAAAGTCGCATGCGGAACTAAGGAAGTCAAAGTAGCAAAAGCAATTGATTGGATCCATCGCGTTTTAACTCTGGCAAATAAAATCACAAAGGAATCAGGAGTGAGGGAGCTAATTCGTGTAAGACTCCACTGTTTGTCGTATGTGTGCTGAAATAGGAACGGAATTTGTGGAGGAATTGATCACTGAATCGATTCCTCATCAGCGATTTCCCAAGTAATAATCTGAATAATAATCATGAGAATAAGTTGGGAAACATGGATTCGTCGGAATTCATTGATTAGCAAAGTCAAGTTTGTTTTTGTTATTTTAGTGATTAGAATATGAGTGAGTTTGCATAGGCGGTGGCAACACGGTATTATATTTAGGATTGATGCTCGTTGTGCACACATATGCAAATTGGCCCAGAGATTGCATGCACTCATTTATTACAACTTGTACAGATAGTAGTACACACAACGAAGATGGTAATGTTACGGTGAGGTAGGGAAGTGTCGTTCGTATGTACATATAAATATATCCCATGCCCATGTATTTCGGTGGGCTTCATGTATTTTAATTTTACGAGTTCTATGCTATATAAGAAGTGGAATTTGGTCACAAATCCGGGATTATACTTCAAGCGATGTCGAATGGTACTGAACACGCTGATCCATCAGTTTAGATGATCAATTCGAAAATCTTCTTCATGCAATCCTCACCTCGACGAGCACCACTTAAACTTCTAAAACAGCAACATGAAGACTGAACTCTTGCACTCGTACAGTTCCAACAGCTTGGCGAACCTTTCTCGAGCCTATTCCTCCACCCAGCTCAACAAGAGGACGATTGATGGCCATGAGAAGCATGGCGAGATCAACCCCTCCTTTGAAACTGGGGACGAGGATGGGTTGCGTGGTTTCGGCGACTCCACGCACAACGTGGGTGCGAAGGAGGCCAAGGACAAATTAGGAGCAGCGAGTGACCTGTGCCATTCAATCTTCAAAAAGAAACTCTTGTACAAAAGGCTGCCGGTTTTAAGCTGGAGTCGAGAATATAATACGACCAAACTCGTGGCGGACATTATCAGTGGGGTCACAATTGGACTCACGATTCTTCCTCAGGGTTTGAATTTCAAAAATTTCATTTATTTCAATTCATTTGGAATGAAATTTTGAAATGAAATAGGTTTGGCTTACGCAAAAATTGCCGGACTTCCTCCACAGGTGAGAAAAAAGAGCATGAATAATAAGTGCATCAAATTATCCTTAGTGTTTTAAGCATCACTAATTTTGGACTTTTGTAAATTATGATTATTGTGACAGTTTGGACTTTACTCTGGTTTCATCGGGTGTTTCGTCTACATTTTACTCGGAGGATCCAAGATAGTCACCATCGGTCCCACTGCTATTCAGGCGATTATCACTCTTTCTTACACTCAAGGAAAGCCACCAGAATACGCCGTTTTTCTCTGTTTTTTAACGGGACTAGTATCACTGTGTATGGGCATTTGCCAAATGGGTAATGAGCGTCGTGTCTCAAATTATTAACACGTTGGTGCTAATTGGTCTTTACCGTTTCTCGGGATTTTGTTAGGCTTTCTGGTCAACTTCATTTCTTTGCCAGTAATTTCTTCGTTCACTTCAGCAGCTGCCTTAACAATTTGTTCGACCCAGATAAAACCGTTGCTGGGTCTCTCCTTCAAGGCGGATGGATTTAGAGAAATAGTTATCCGAAGTTTTGAACACTTGGGAGAAGTCAGGATGAATGATGCTCTCTTATCGTTGACATGCATTGTGATACTCCTCTTTATGCAGGTGAGATATTTATTATTTAATAGTTGGACGAGAGCTTTGCTAAATGAGACAAGGTTAATTAGAAAAGTGCAATCTTATACAGAATCTCCAATCGATCTGTCGCTGCTTTACCAAAAACTCATCCAAATTGGACCGAGTGCTCTGGTTCATTTCCACGTCGAGAAGTGTAATTGTGATCGTGGTTTGCACCGTAATTTTCAGCTGCATCGATAATGACCTGTTCCCGGTGAAAGTTGTAGGTAGGTAAATTTTAATCATTTGTGAGAAAATGCAACATGCGAAAATGGAGATGGGCACCTTATCGCTGTATTTTTTTGTTTAAGGTGCCATTGTACCAGGTCTCCCACCCGTGAGGTTCCCACCTTTCAGCGTTTCCCAAAACCTTACTGGCCAAGTCGAAGAAATATCATTTATTACGTTACTCAGTAATGACTTATCAGCACTCATCGTAATCCCATTGTTGGCGACGATGGAGCATTTTACGATAGCCAAGAAATATAGTGGAACGAGCATGTTGGACGCGTCGCAAGTATGATTTTTTGACAAATCGACGAAGTGAGTTTAAGAGTCAGCTAATGCTTTGTATTCTAATTGGTGTGCACGTACAGGAAATGTTGTCGATCGGAATCTCTAATATCATTGGCTGCTTCTTCAGTTCCATGCCAGGTATGCTCGCCCCCAAAAATATGGTCACACTATGGCAATAAAAAGTTTTATGATAAAACTCTACTTTGGTCGCAGTGACGGGCAGTTTCAGTCGCAGCGTGGTGAATGCAGCATCTGGGGCGGAGTCGCCGATGGGGGGCCTGATAACTGGTAGGATCGCAACTCGTGTGCAATTTTACTCGTTTACAATTTTATCATCTTACTCGAATATATAGACAGCTCATTTCGCGACATTCCTAAGGATTTGCATGTTTTTATAAAGTATGGTTCATACTGGCTAACTTTATGGGCACGGATGTTTTTGTTTAACAGAACAACATACACAAAAATGCGCTTTCTAAAAAAATGTCTACAATCAGACGTTTCCGTGTACACTTTGGTCACTTCTGAGCGCATACATATACATAAGTATATATACAATGCAATACACTTTTGTACATATGTAGGAAGTCTTGTCATCCTCGCGCTCCAGTTCCTCACCCCGTACTTTTACTTCATCCCCGACGCCAGCTTAGCCGCCGTCATCGTTTGCGCAGTCATCTTCACGGTCGACTTTCGTATCGTGTTAGACATGTGGAGGAGCAAAAGTAAGGAGAAACTTCATCAGATTTGCATTCCAAAAGGGGTAAATTAACGGAGAGCACGGTGTTGTATATAGAAATGGACATAATTCCATGGGGCTTCACATTCTTTGTGAGCTTACTCGTAGGCCTCGAGGTCGGCATTCTGTCGGGTATCATCATCAGCGTCATTTTCATCTTGTACTACGCCGCCAGACCAGCCGTGCAGATAAAGAGGGCGGAGGTAAGATTGTTGCCCTGTGGGAATATTGATGGTCTTATAATAACGAGAGTAATTGAGTACATGCAAATTGTTGTACCCCTAATTTACAATTTGAATTATCAGACCTCGCTTGGGAACGAATTTGTGATCGTGGGACTAGATCGATCTGTACAATTCCCGTCGATTGCATACATTCGATACATGGTTTCCAAGTCTAGGAAACTCTGGGCCAAGAACTTTCTCCCTGTCGTGATTGATTGCCATCATATTCAGTATTGCGACTTTTCAGCCGCACAAGTAAGCACATAAATGCAGGCACTCACATTTACAAAACAAGAGTTGCTTGTATTTTCTAGCAATCCTATTCTTAATTGCGTGCGTAGCAATTAGATTATAATTTAAATCTTACGTAGGGGATTTGCGACCTATTTACAACATTTAATGAGGAAAGCCATCCATTGATCTTGTGGAAAGCGAAACCTTCCATTATACGGATCCTGCAGGGGCTGATGGACAGTTGCAACGTGCCATTTCAGTACTGCATGTCGGACGACGACTTGGAAAGAGCGATTGATGGTGAGAACTGCACAATCTGAAACCTTGTCACGTAATAAATTCAAGTCTCTAATGGGTTTGTTTGAATTCAGGTGATGGGGACGATAAGCCGATTGAATTTACCGTCTCTCTAACTCCATCCCCTACTCAAGTGGAAATAACAGACGTTCATGTTCATGACCTCAAGTCGTGATAAATGCCAACCGTCAAAAATAACTTTCTTTGTTTTGCATAATATTTTATTGATTATTAAAGTCTAAAGAGTGAGTCTGCGAGAGAAAGTGCGAGAGAGAGAAAGCGAGAAATGGAGTGAGAGCGTTGAGTTGTTGGGAGCTAAAATTCCATGAATTCCAGTCTAGACGAGTCGACAACATTAAAATAAATGCGAGCTTTCACTTTATTTCATTGCATTATTATTCCTCTTCATCTCCTTCTTCGTTTTCTACAAAAGCCACACAGGACTGGGAGGCTTGGGTTGTTGGGAAGTTGGTTGAGAGGATTTTTGGGACAAACACGTTCCCTTCCGCATATATTCCGTTATGAAGATATTACTCTGGCTTGGGTCGATCCTTTCTTGTGCAAAATTAGCTAAGCACACAAACGGGCCGCACCACCATGTACATGAAAATGGGGCTGGAGAGAGAGAGAGAGAGAGAGCGCGCGGGGGCTGGATGCATATGCTTTCACTCAGCCCTTCACTCACTTTCTCCTATTAGTTTGTTCCAGATTGAGAGACTGATCAGCTCCCCAGCTCTTTCTTTTCCGGAGATTGAGTGGTCCCGAGTGGGGAACAACGGTGGCCCCGCTACGGCTGCACCACATGCACCACTGCTGCTACTCCCGTGCTGGGTGAGGTGCATGGAGGGAGGCTATGCACACTACTCCATTCCCGTCTGCTGGTCTCTTCTGTGTGAGGGTGGTGATCGGATGGTGAAAGAAGGAGAGAGAGAGAGAGGGAAGGAAAGGCGCATGGGAAAGGGACAACTTTCTCTCTCCAACGAGCAGCAGGTCACATGTGGTTCGGGTGGTTCACACTTTCTCCTCCAATCCAACCACTACTCACCAGTCCTCCTTTGGCACTACCACCACTGCTCGACTCCAAGAAACTGCAGTTACATTGCACCCTCTTTAAAGAAGCCTTGTTGTTGTTGTTGTTATTATTATTAGCGATAATAAAATAACAATGGGTGCCTCCATCCTCTGGGTGTTATAACGGTCGAGTGAGGTTAGAAAGTCCAATTTTACCTGCATCTCCCCCTCGTCGCTCGCTCGCTCAATTCGTCATTACCTTGAGAGAACCACTCACAGCAATAAGCTCACATCACCTTACACTAGCCGCAACTAACCTTTCACATCAATCATGACTGATAATCAGAGGAGAATTGTTCAAAAGGAGCCGTCCACAACGGGAGGAGCCTTGCCGTTCAACGACCTCATGGCGGTGGACGACACGGACCTCACAGACCTTCCCCCACCAATCACTGCCGCCACGGCCGAGGTAATTAAAAAAATAGAATTTAATTTGTCTTAAATATTTAATTTTTTATCCCTCGGCCGATGTATAGCTGGGCTATATCAACCAGGTCTCCGAGATCGTGGTGAAGCAGGGCGTGAGCCTTCGCGAGCTGCAGCCCAACGACAAGGAGCCCTCCATGTACTCCATCGAAGAGAAGGGGACGGGGGAGAAGCTGTACAAAGTCTACGAGGACACGGCCACGTGCGTCGTGTGTGGGCCCAACCGGTCCTTCAAGCTGAGACTCATGGACACTCAGGACAGGGAGCTCATCCAGGTACATATACAAAAATGGGTCATTTTACACTAAACCTTTTTTATCCACAGGATACAAGCTTATAAGTAGTTGTCACATTCATAAACTGAACTTACTTCTCACCTCAGGTGGAGAGGCCCTACATCTCGTGCGACTACTGTTGTGGCATCACCTCCTTTTTCGACATTGTCAACGTCTGGGTGCGAAACTACAAGAGCAAGCAGTTCGAGTGGAGACGCTTTGGTCAAATTCGACAATTTTGGTGCCCCCTCTTCCCATACTTCAGCGTCCGAAATGCTGTGGGTACGTAACCACAAAAATGCTTGGTGAACGCTTGTTCTCGTACTTGCACCACTGCAGAACCGTCCATACGTATAATACTACTTGTCTACGTTTACTTTCCATGACATGCACATTTTATGTTTGTGTGCGTGTAGCGTGAGTGAAAGTAGTGGTTTGAGTTTCAGTTGAAAGTTCATTCCGCATATTTTTACAATATGTACATATTGCACGCTGTAAATTTGTAGCCCACTTGGGTTGCAGAGCTAAAAAAGAATTGTGGAATTATTTATGGGTGGAAATGTCAAACGTGCGCCCAGTTAGTCGTACTCGAGTCTTATTTAAGATGAGCCAGCCAACGAAAGAAGGAACGAACCACGCAATGAGATTGATTCCTTCGCCACATTATTATTATCCACACATTCATTCTCCATGTCTGTAGTCAACATTTGGCAGGCAGCAGCAAGAGCAGTTTGTATTCTTCTGATCGATAATTTGATTTGGGTCAATTCAACCAAACCAAACCTCTCTCCCTCTTATTCCATATTCGCTAACTATGTTCCAAAGAAGAAGGAAAGGAAAGAAAGCCGTCGTGCCAGAAGAGAGTGAAAGAAACGGCGATGATGACGATGACGATGGTGGTTCTTGAATGTGGTTAAAAACACAAAAGAGTTATTATGTTCGATATCCACCCACGAGGAGAGTTGCTAAATATGTACAAACACAGTGATGGAATGAATGGTATCGATTTTAAAATTTGTACTTTGTGTCCGATTGTCTGATTGTATTTCTCTTAAATTGCAGGACAATCCGAGCTCACGATTCGCGCCCCCCTCTTAACCTCGGCGTGTCTACGACCAGTTGTGTTCCCCATCAAGCATGGAGGCGAAGTTGTTGGGAGGTATACATTTTTATCACTCTTTCCTTAAACCTAGTTAAACTCTTGAACAAACTGCTAATACTTAGTGTTTTGACGTTAAATTTAGCATCACGAAACAACGTGGCCTATCCTGTCGTGAGTACCCTTCAAACACGGAAATGTAAGTTGGCTTGAAATTTATTGCTTACAAAATTTCACTTATTTCAATCAAACTAAAACTTGCATTTACGAAGTATGAACACAAAAACTAATGGAAAAATGCAATTTTTTGTACTTCTCGATAGGTACACCATGAAATTTCCTCCGGGTATTGATGAGAAGTTGAAAGTGACGCTGATCGGGACTCTGCTGCTCATCCACTTTAAATTTTATGAGACTTCCTGTCACTGTTGTCGAGGTTGAGACCAGTGAGTTGACAGGCGGCTGCTGAAAGTGGGTACATTATCCGGTGCACAATCAAGTTCATCGTCGTCAACTACAAACAAACCAACGAACGAACTATTATCCATCGAACTATCGACTATCCATCATCCTGATCCTGATGATATTTCCTGCTGCCCTTCTCCCCCTCAACCAACCCCACTCGCTGCTATGCTGTCATCATGCTCTCCGGCTGCTTCTTCTCCTCTCTCCTACCTACATAAACTACTTGTTCAATAATACTGTGGATGAAGTTCTAACCCTGCAGACTTATTACACCGCTTTGTAGCATTAATTTCACGACGTCACCGGTCAAAAAAATTTTTTCCTCCAAACTGGTCCAAAATAAAAGTCTAGCATGGGAATAGTATAGAAAAATTATTTTTAGCGTTCTATGACCCCTGGGTCATGAATTAAGGGCCCCTGAAGGGTCAAATAGCGTTCCCTGATAACCCCATGCAAATGGGGTATCAAATTAATCCCCTGGACCAGGGGAACCAGAAAAATATTTTTATAAATTTTTATGACCCTTGAGTCGTGAACTAGGAGCCCTTGAAGGGTTAAATATCATTCCCTCACAACTAAAGGCAAGTGGGGTATCAAATTAATCCCCTGGACAAGGGGAACCCAAAAAATATTTTTCTGGATTTTTTTGACCCTCAGGTCAAGAGTTAAGGGCCCCCGAAGGGTCAAAATAGTAACCATGGTAACCCCATGCAAGTGGGGTATCAAATTAATCCCCTGGCAAAGGGCAAGCATAAAAATATTTTCCTGAATTTTTTTGACCTATCGGGCAACAGTTAAGGGTCCCTGAAGGGTCAACATAGTAACCATGGTAACTAAGGTGAATGGGGTATCAAATTAATCCCCTGGACCAGGGGAATCAGAAAAATATTTTTTGGTTTTTGTGACGTATAGGTCAAGAGTTAAGGGCCCCTGAAGGGTCAAATAATAACTTATTGTATTTTACTAAACGGGACATTATTTTAAAGTTTTCAGTTTTGCAAGAATGTTAAGTAGAGAGGGGTAGGCATATTTTTGAAAATTTCGTACAAATTTAATGAATAATAATTCTTAACACTATGTACAAATCGGATTCACTATTTATAATATTTATTATGTATTGAATCCATTGAAGTTAAAATCTAGGTTGATTCTGGTGGGAAGGTTAATCTCCTCCTAGAAGTTGCACATTCTTCTTCAGGCAAGTCTTCTTCTTCCCCAGCCTGTGAGTATTCAATATCATTGTGTATTTGCATTCGGAATCTATCAACTACTTCGTCAACATCGTCAGGGTCCTCATCTTCGTCGTCAGACACATCATCTGCTGCTGTAATCTGTATATTATGTATAAGTTATGTATTTTTTTACTAATAGTTTACTGTCACCAAGAACTCACTCGAATGGGGTTGGCTGAAGCTACACGTGTTTGGAAGTCATCAAGGAAGTCATCAAAATGTCCATCATTTTTCCAATACTCGTCCTCCAATCTATTTACAATAATAATGTAGAAATTGCGAATTATTCCCATAATAGCGAATCTTGGTTTTACGAACCGGTGCACATGTTTGATGTGTTTCTGCCATTGTTCCTTTGTGTATGTTGTCATAATTCTCTCAGCCTCAGCTTGTGCAAACTCAGCGGTCCCCTGTGTGTTTGCAGCCCTAACTGCGTGCTTGATGTCTTTCCACACGTACTCAATTGGGTTCAAGTCGCTAAAAATACATGAATTACATGAATATTCTTATTACCGTTACCTATGATTACCAGTTCTTACCAGTTATATGGGGGTAATCTGGAAAATACGTAAATACAGTGTTTAAATAAATATTACAAATTATTAGTAAATTACCCATGAATAGAAAATAACTTTACCGGACAACAGTGTTTCCATATTTCAATGCCTCCTTATCCACAATGTAATATTCATTTCCGTTTTTAAGGTCTTGAACCATTTTCCATAATTCAGGTCGTCTCATTTGCTTTACAGGTTTTAGTTTCAGCTTTTCAGGGCCCTCTAAATTATCATTCAGCCAGTCGTATAGCTCTTGTTTTCGGGATGTAGATTTTGGGGCTTCCTTGGTGCTGTGATACGGAGCTGACAAATTTAAATAAATGAAATTCAAATTAAAATGGAATTTACAAATACAAATTATTGGATGATATTACCGTTATCAATAACAATTATGCATGGACCATAATTATCTTTTATCTTTTGATTAAGATCCTTCCACCAAGCCATGTAAGCGACACCGTTAACGTTTGCGTGGTAATCCATCTGGACTTTCTTCTTTGATACTGGATATACCTTCATAGCGCCAGGTACGAATCCATCCTCTCCACCTGTGAAGATAATTATTATTTTGAAATAATTTCCTATTTAATGTGGATAGTTGAACTGCACCTGCATGCATCACAATGATACGTGGTCCTCTAGAAATTTTCGGGTTTTGGAAGGAGTATAAAGCCGCTTCATGAAATGACTTTGGTGAATTAATAACCCAGCCTTTTCCAGTTCTAGCATAACTATCGACCCACGTTTCATCTGAATAAATATAATGCATTAATAATTATATTAAATTAAATTAAAACATTTTTGATATTTAATCAGCCAAACCTGTGTAGACAACACATTTTGGGTTCTCGGACTGACGATTTTTAATCATTACGGACAGATATTCATATCGCTTCTGCACGATGTCTGATCTCATGAGGATAACTGCTCGCTTATCAACAGTTTTGAATCTAAATCCTAATTGCTTAATGAGTTTTCTTAACGTCCACTTGGAACATTTGAACGCTGTAAGAGTTTCTCCTCGGGCTATCCGACCATCTTCTTCTTCCTTGACTTCCTCCATCAGTTTTGTGTATACGTTATGCATTGTTGGTGCTTGATTATTAGCATAGAATTGATGAATGATTCGTTTAACGTGCTCAGTTCGGAAGTCGTCAAACTGATCCATCACTGGCGTTGGTCTAATACGTTTCTTACCAGGTGTTTTTATACTATTCGTTTTGTAATTCTCCATTGTCTGATAAACTGTTCTCTCTCCAATTCCTAGAATCTGGCTAGTTTTGGTGACAGAGTTTCCTGTTAGTATTTCACACTGTACCTGGTTACTGTCAAAGAATACTTTGGCGTTGACAATTAACTTTTGAGCTGTCGCCTGTAGTGAAACACCAAGTAGTTGGAATGGGAGTTTAGTATTTGGTTGTTTACAGTCGTTTTTCGCTTTCGGTGTTGCTTTCTCAATTTCAAAGGCTAATTGTTGCATAGGAAAACTCGTAGGACTGCACCTCGAAAGACTAAGGTAAGGTTTGGTTCCATCATTCCGTCTAGGAACATCAGATAAAGGAATTCGCATTTCACCTTCCCCCAATACCTGTTCTTTAGCTCTGAGAAGGGAATAGAAATATCCACACTCAGAATCCGGACAAGGAGGACCAACAATTAGGACATCTTGAATGAACTCGTTTATAAGGTTCATCTTTTCGTCGTTTATGGGGGTTGGGAGATAGCCTATCGTGTCACTGCCGGGTGGAACATTTTGGATTAGTGAAAAAGATTGAACTGCTTGATGAAATTGCCCTTGATTGTGTCCGAAGTGAAGTAAAATTATGCAGTACGTCAATGACTCGGCAGGTAAGATTCCTTCGAGATGGTCACTAGTAATCTGGCTGTCAGAAAACAACATATCTGGTGCAACTTGTTTCGATCCGAGGACAAAGTAGAAATTTTTTATTTTGCGTTGCGTAGTTTGTTTCTCTTGTATGATTGAGAAGATCTTGTTCTGGAAAGATGCGTACATTACTTGGTGGATAGTCATCCCGCCCACAAGGATTATTTCAACGAATCCGTTAAGTGAATTAGTTTTTGGAGGACGAGCGCCTTTTGGGCAAATACATGTTCAATAAACGAAATCTGGTTATCATCATTCTTGGTTGCAAATTCGTTCAAAATCATCCTACATCCCCCTTTGTAAGGGGCCGTTGGGTAAATGTCTGTTCCCACACATGTATCTTCACCTTCTGTACTCTTGGATGCATACTCTGTATTTGAAGTGTCCATTGGTGATTCACCGCCAGGAGCTGACCCTTCCCCTAACTCTTCACGTTGTCCACAGTGCCCACGTTCATCATCTCCATCACCATCCTCCTGTATTGATCAGAACAAAAACGTACATGAGCTTGTTACTACAATAACAATTTCACGATGTCCCCCACAACATCCGCGGTCGCTGCTATTTATAAATATGTTGCAATATTTCTCACAAGTGCGTCTGCATTGGTGTCCATTTCATCCACATTTGAGCATGGCATGACGAGGGAATTCATGTCAGACTGTTTTTGCTAAAAGTGATAAACTTGTATGAAATGCGTCTGTGCTCTCAGACAATAAATCGATGAATCTGAGCTAGCATTAATAGTGCAAAAATATAATCTTACATCGATATGCGGTGGATTTACATTAGTTTCTGGATCCACCGTGTAGCAGCTCCCTAGCCAAATATTTTGCAGAATACTTATCCACTTTGACTCCTGAGCTTGGCCTTCCCAGATGGCACGAGCAGTTGTTAGTGTTCCTGCTGATGTTTTATCGTACACCGTTTCATGTGCAAAATGCAAAGTTAAACTGGGATAAAATCCTGCTGGGTAGAAATATAAGAAGGATGTATAGGACCCTCCAATTTGACTTTCGAAATATTTTTTGGCACTCATTGCGGCCGCAAAAAGTGGGAACAGATCTTTTCGATGTAATTGCACAGTAGTTAGAAGTGCCTTGTCTGCCTCTGATGGTAGAACCCCTAGCAAATAATCGACGTCATGTTTGCGGCATGCTGCATCTGTGAATAATATCAACACAAAAATTATAAAATTAATTTTCACAAATTTGACTTGGTTAGTGTATGAGCATAAATTGGGCAACAATTACCAACAGCATTTATTGGGCCACCGAGATCATCCTGCTTCTCAATATCGGTGGCAGGCCCGCAATATCTTAATTAATACCAATAATAAAATTATGTTAATAAAGAATCATTTCATAAAGATTCCAATCGCAACTTCAAAAATAAAAAAACTCATCCAAAATAACCAATTACCTATATCCAGGGAGATTGAAAGGTAATCCGCTTGGCGCCTTTTTAACTTTAGCTTTCTCCAAGGAAAGTATAATACCACGTGGGCGTCGGAGAGATCCAGGATGGAAAAATGCATCTTGACGAAGATGAAAGCAAGATGGCAATTTACCTTCGTTGGTAGGAATAAACGTGTGCTTTCTGGCAAAGAAGGCTGAATGCAGGAGACTTGTGTAGTTGAACCTGATGCATGATATTTGGTTGCACAGAATTAGAACTGTGCATGCAGAAGGAAGAGGAGTAGTGCCTTGAATAGCTTTAGTTACTGCTTGCTTGGTGGTACAGTTCTTCGTTTCAGCCGCTATATTACAATAAGTGTCACTAATTTTTTCCTGAGTTAAGTCGGATAGTTTATTGGATGGAAATGTGTGGTTGGCGTTTGAAATTGTGATGTTATTTAGTAGATAACGGCTGGCATCCACGAAACTTTTAAAATAAAAAGTTACATAGCTTTCACTTCCCCATACCCGTATCTTTTTATTTTCATACTCTACTTCTTCAATTTTGATAGTGTCACTGAAGAACATAACAGTTTCATTAATTTCCATACACATCGTTTGATTACATATCAGAAATCCACTGCAATTGGATGGTAATGTCTCCTTGAACCAGATAACCAATCCACCCAGGTTATCCGTCTCATCACACACAACTTTAACCTGTTTATCTATTTCTATTTTATCGACATTCGCGCAACTTTTACCACAAACACAATGAACTATATATAACACATACAGTGTTCCATAAATTAAGTTATGCAACGTCATCTTCAATTTTAAAAATTAATAATTGAGCGGATACCAGTAAGTACAAACTCCAAAACTTAAATTTCAAAATGTCGACTGGAGAAGCCAGCAAGGATAAGGGGTCTCCCATCACCTCATATATTTATAATGCATCAGTTTTTAGGGGATATTCATCACCCCAACCATTAACCCAATCCTTCCCCAAACAAGATGGTGCATAAAGATATGTATATGAGAAAGGGACCAGTTTATACAAACATAAGTATGCTGCCTGAGACAGGCTATGAAGCCTGGTTACCATGGTTACTATGTTGACCCTTCAGGGACCCTTAACTGTTGCCCGATAGGTCAAAAAAATTCAGGAAAATATTTTTATGCTTGCCCTTTGCCAGGGGATTAATTTGATACCCCACTTGCATGGGGTTACCATGGTTACTATTTTGACCCTTCGGGGGCCCTTAACTCTTGACCTGAGGGTCAAAAAAATCCAGAAAAATATTTTTTGGGTTCCCCTTGTCCAGGGGATTAATTTGATACCCCACTTGCCTTTAGTTGTGAGGGAATGATATTTAACCCTTCAAGGGCTCCTAGTTCACGACTCAAGGGTCATAAAAATTTATAAAAATATTTTTCTGGTTCCCCTGGTCCAGGGGATTAATTTGATACCCCATTTGCATGGGGTTATCAGGGAACGCTATTTGACCCTTCAGGGGCCCTTAATTCATGACCCAGGGGTCATAGAACGCTAAAAATAATTTTTCTATACTATTCCCATGCTAGACTTTTATTTTGGACCAGTTTGGAGGAAAAAATTTTTTTGACCGGTGACGTCGTGAAATTAATGCTACAAAGCGGTGTAATAAGTCTGCAGGGTTAGAACTTCATCCACAGTAAAATGTCATAATTTGCAGGACCAAAGGTTGGCGTCGTGTGCTTTCACTCACTCATCATCGATCCTCTCTCTCACACACACTCTCTCTCTCTTTCTCTCTCTATCTCTCTCTCTCATTGACTTGGGACACTTTCGTCTCATCAACAAATTCAATAATAGAAACATAAGAATGCTGGTACACAAATCCTGACATTGACTGATGTCACAGTCGTAAAAACAATATATGGATTCAGTCAGACAATAGAGTGCAATTATTATTATTATGCAAATTAATTAAGTAGGTCCGCAGTTGGCGCAGTCAGTATTATTAGAATAAGTGGCTATCTGTATGAACATTATAAGGAATAGATGAAGAGATGAGTATATCGATAGTCATAGATGACGCTATTTTCAAATTTACATAAATACGGATACCACTGCTATCACTACTACTAGAACTAAATATTTACTACAGAACAGCAACGTGCAATTCTTATTCTTAAGAAACTGTAAATGTCGGATGCATATTAGTGACTTATTCCTGCAATTAACTTTTGTGACTTAAACAAATGCAAAAGATTATGATATCGGTGTTGTTGTTGTTATTGTCGTCGTTGTTCTTGTTGTTGAAATCATGTCAAAGTCATTCAATTATTAACTGAGCATTTCAAAAAGATAATAATAATGATAAATATACGGTCAGTCAGTCAGTGTGTGAAAAAGTTTGACATTTATTACATACGCTTTCGAGTGGGTTGAGGAGCTGTTGTTTGCTATTAATTAGCTAATTATGGAGATGACAAATATTTAGTTAGCTTATTAATTAGTAGTTTTCTATATATGTATCGACTAGATGTATGTATGTATGTATCTACATGTATCGAATATTGTTGAATTTATTAGTTCAGAATGAATTTAGTCTGATGCTGTTGACGATGACGACGAGAGTTTCTTGAGGCAATCGGGTGGTGCTGGATTACACCCCATTGCCACGTACAGACAATTATAGCCAACAAATCCTGAATCTTCCGTATAGCTAATTAATTAACGGATTAATTAATTAGCTCATCCTTGCATAGCTTATAAATTCATTATCATCAAATCAAGTACATACAACGAGAAGTGAGAACAACATTTCTATCCTTCATTATAGAAAAAAAAACCTTACATAGCATTTGCCTATTATCATAACCTCCTCTCTCTCTATGTACACACAATACATATGTAGATTATTATTGAACATAGACTATTGAAGGTTCATCAATCATGTTAGTTTGCAGGTTAAAAACAAACGACAAACTTTAGAAGATTAAGTAAAAATGCTGTATAGCTAACTTAGGTGAATCAAGAAAAGCGAGCACAAAACAATGAAACAGATCTCTTATAGAAGTTTATTTTTTTGAAATTATATCGAAAATTTGTCTAATTGTAGGATTTAGATCAAATTTTGTAATTAATCAATAAAACCTTAATGAATTTATAAAACTACTTATTCACGGCGTTTGGAATTAATTATTATCGTGCAATATTTCATATTATTCCCATTATGCTAAAATATATTGATGACTAAATAATACATACATAAATGGTTTAGGGAGACAATGAGGTCAAATCCTTTGACGATGAGGATGAAAATTGCAACAGAACGACGATGTACGTTAAACCTGTAAAAATTGGAAATGTGATTTTAACCTGCATACGTGGAGTTTTTAACATTGGCAGTTGTTGTACTTACAGGTACTTAAAACCTGCAAGTAATATTGGAATAATGTACAGCAATTAATTGCAGTTTATTAGAATCCTCATATGTATGTACGTACTTGAGTATGTAACTCACCGTAACAATAAAGCCGTAACTGATGAGGAATTTGTGGGCTCGAAGTCCCAGAGGATTCATACGCATTTCTGTAGTTACACTGACCAGATCCAAGTTACCTTTGTACCCCGGGTGTTGGCGATGCTCAAAGATGTAGTCACCCAGCTTTTGGAACTGTCAACTCAAAATTGTCCATAAGAGGAAACAATTGCCCAAGATAAATAATGCAGATCCTACCTGGACGACTCCTTCCGCCGCGAAAGAAAGTACGGCGACGCTTGCCCCCATGTAAAATGCAATCGAGACTCGCTCAACCACGACCTCGTTTTCTAAAAGATCTGTAAAGGATTTAGAAAAGTAGACCAAAACGCAAACGACGAACGTGAAGATTTGCACTCCCAGCACTTTGTTGATTGTTTTTAGTATGGAACGGAGTCGGGAGTAGTAATTTGTAAGCTAGAAAGTTCACGAGTTAATCCTTTGATCATGACCACAAATTAATTGTTGTGAATTTTTAATCGTATACCTCCATCACACTGAGATGTTTATGACTTTGTAGAAATTGTGAGGTTTCATGTCCCAAAACATGGACAATGGCGCAAGTGAAGCTGCTAACAGAAGAGATGACTATGTCCTGATACCTTAAATGAAACCAAGGGCACATGGCCACAAAACCTGAAATTGTGTACTCTGCCCAAATATGGTCAGATAGTTGAATTGCATTATCCAAACCGAGAAGGTAATGTCCGAGGTAAACTTTGCTAAAGCCGTGCGTCTGGGTAATGGTTATAATTTGTGAAATCCAGGTGTAAAATGGGAATAACGTGGTCATCCCACATAAGGATAGGATTTTGAAGATATGCTAAATTAAGGAAGTTGTACAATTATTTTGACCTGTATCTACTCATTCAATTAGATTTATGATTGAGGACAACTCTTTACCAATTTGGACAGTTTGGGAAGTACGGGTGAGAAATTGTAGGCCTCCTGATACAAGCAGTTTAGCCCAGGTTTACGAATCCAACACAGATAAAAAAAGCCCCAAATTGCACAAAGTAGTGAAACCTGGTCGGCAATGCCGTAAAGTTGCGTCGGATCATCCCGTATTCCTAAACGATGGTTTACTAACTGTTTATAACTGTTGCACGTGATCGTGACCAAGTTGCTGAGCTGGACAACTGCACACAAAACCTGGAATTATGTAATACACTTAATGATGCGAGCAATCAAAAATTTGTTGCAAATTTACTAATAAAAAGTAATCAAGATAAGAAACAACGTTTCTCCCTTGCTTGGTACCTTTTGGAACTTGTTGCTTTTAATTATCAGCTTGTTATATTTGTTTGTAGAATCGATCGTGAAGTGACACGGGATTAGAAGTGAGTAGTAAAACAACCTTGAGAATGCTTGGAAATAATAAAGTATACTGCTTTTAGGCGTCGTCGAATAATAATGTTCGATATTTTCTCCCTTTTCTCTATTCTCAAGTTTGTCTATGAAGGAGTTGAATTTTGGAGATATTATGAACAAGTCCATGATTTGTACATATGAATGTATGTCTGGTGGTTGGATTTATGACAAGAATGTGAGAATTATTAATATTCCTGACGATACAATTAGTTTAAGTGGCGAGAGCCGGGAGGTGTCAACAGTGTGAACGAGTGAGAGATTATATATATTCTGCATAATTGAAGGCGTGGTCAGCTTGGGATCGGCAGCAATTAATTATTAAATTGTTTTCTTTTTGCAAGTATTCCAGAATTCCTATTTAGTATTTTTGCGGAAGGTCACGTTTTATTTGTGAACTTATGTAAAGTAGGACACTCATTCGGCCGGATGTGCAGCATTAAACTGGACAAGGACCATTGTGTAGGTCAATACGGTTGAGAAGATCTTGGAAAAATAATATACAAAGAGCATGACATTTAGTAAAACAAATATCGACACCCAAAAACAATAAGTGCTGCAAAATCGACGTGGTTTTATTACTGAAACTAAAAGTCCATAAGTGATGAGAAAGGTGTCGGCCTTTAATCCCAGAGGACTCGATGCTGTTTCCGACAACATGCTCAAAACTTCTGATGTCGAATCCTTATATCCGAGGTCATTTCGGTGGAGAAAAATGAAGTCCCCAAACAATTTGAGCTGAAACGATTAAATGATGACGACGGTTCACTATTTTTTGCAGGCAGGCAATAATTAATTACTTGGTTGACCACCTTGGCGTGACCCTCTGCAGCAAGGCACAAGTAGAACACGGCATAGCACAAATATCCCCCAGTCGTGATTCTGGTAGCGACATCGTTCGCCTCGATGATTTGGAGGAGGGATCGGCTAAAAAAGAGAATGACACCGACGACAAACACAAAGACGAGCAGAGTCAGAGTTCCATTCAAGACCACGAAGAATGCTTTCACTCTCATGTAATAATCGACAACCTTGAATTATAATCACTATTAATTACTAATAAAAATATGTACATGCAAGATTCTGCGGAAGAAAAGCAGCCAATCGTAAGTCATTAGTGTCGTTCGTTAAGGGACTAAATTTTACCTCCTGAAGTCCCGCAGTTGCATTGTCTCTCAGATAATCCTCAACTTCACGTCCGATTCGATAAGTGAGGAGAAACATGAGCCCACTCATATGAAATACGACAGAGTTCGAGAAGACGTTCAGAATAAAGCTGAGCATTGTGTTGATAATGGAAAGCGTGAACCTGACGCTCCAATAATGACTCGGATTCAGGACTTGGTTGATAATCCGAAAGACAAATCGATGGCTATAATAATTTACGAATCCTGCTTCTGTATCAGCCTGACAAAAGTCCATCACGGTCTGAATGGTCGTTGCGGTGGAAAAGAATATGTAGCCAGCGAGAATGCAAGACGTGGTCAAAACGTCCTATTGAATTGAGAAAACAGATGGAATAACAGGTTTTTTTAAAAACAGTGACACTACGGACCCACCTTTTTTGGTATATTTTTCGAAATTGGACAGAATTTGTAGGCTTCTTGGTAAAGGTTGAGAATAATTTTTCTCTTGAACCACATAACATAGGAAACCGAGCAAGTGATCATCACGTAGACGGAATGGTTGGCCATTGCGAAGAGTTGAGAGGGGTCATCCCGAATACGGCGGCGTTTCCCAGGGTCAGCTATGACCTCTTCGTAGAATGTAGAACAGCCGTGATACAAAGACCACAAGTGGAGGAACCCACAACCAATCTATTCACATACATATGCAACAATAAACTGGTATAACGATAAGAATATCTATTTAAAAGTATTTATGTATGTGCCACTTAGTCAATCCACCTGCTGCAAAATGTTGGTTTTGAGGACAAAGGGCCCAGTGCTATCACGGTATGGTCCCTTGGCCAGCTTAATGCGATAGGGTGACAGGAACGTGTAGTGTGCGAAGGAGGAGAAACCACAGAGATAATAAATGATGCTAGATTCTTGTGGAGGATATATAAAGTCCAGGTGGGACCGAAGGGTTGCAATTTGTATTTTTTTGAAACCCATGATTTTCGAAAACCTCATGGACAATAATTGCGTGCAACCATACTGAATGAAACACCCAAACTATACAACTAATTCATGAAAGAAAGCTATAGCGTCGGCACGGCACAACGTATGCAAATACATATGTATTAGTTTGATTAGTATAAAACGCTAATGAGTGCCGTTGAGAAATTAGCAATCAATTAGGTTCGTAATGGAAGCACATAATATAAGTGAGGCACGATATTTTGCATAAATGTAAATAAAAAACCACACGCTTTGTCCTGTATAAATTATTCAGTAATTATTTAGTAATTCATCGTAGACGTTTATTTATTAACTCGACAACAAGTAACACGACCACAAGTCTGTTTTCTTTGACGATTTATAATTATGATTGCTATCGACAAACAAACCCTGTGTCAAGAAATATACTTATTTCGTATGAAAGCAACATATTGTTCCGACTTTTTCGCGAAGTGACATAATGTGACATTACATTAGTATCATTTGCATCTTGCATGTACATAGTATCATAGTGACATTAGTATCATGCATGCGAATTCATAAAAAATTACAGACACACAAATGAAATAGAACCAAATGGTATTTATGCAACATGTTGTCAACTAAATAATAAACTATCGATTTCTAAATCTAGTATCATTCAGTATATAATAATTAATAGCTCAAAGTGTCTAGTGCATATGGTGGGATTTAACTACGTTTCTAACATATGTACACTGTGACTGACTGACTTCCGTAGTAATAATATCAAATTCATCAGATAACAAATCTGGTCTCCTAAACTTTTAATCTAATAACGTTGGCCACACATAACACATTGAAATTAAGTAGTAGTACAAGTAAGTTATAACGTCTTCGGTTTAAGAACTTATTATTGTACAGTGTCAAATCATGAGAGTAGGAGGATCCTGTAAATAATTGTACACGTCAAATAATAAGTGTGGAATTGTGGTTCGAGTTGTACAAGTATATATATATGTACATACATGTGTTGATATACATATGCATAACTCATACACTACATAGTACAACTGCTGCAGAGATTTCACAAGTTGACAATTTTAACCAACCTAAGTTTCATGATTTTAGTTATTCGCAAAAATTTCACGTGTGGGACAAGGAAGATTTTAGGATCACATAAACATGTATTAAGAGCAACAAGTTAATATAATAGTACACGAAAAATTGCATTACGTTATTCTTGAGAAAAAAAATGAGCGTGATTGAGTGAGAGAGGGACAAAAAATCGTTCAATTTCGATACATCATCAGGAGGTTAACTGAACTATTAATGTACGACGTCGACCACGGACGAGAACAAAATCATAGTTTCCTTGATTTGCGAAATTAATCCATCCACGACTGTTCAACACATGCTTTCACTCTTTTCTCATATTCTCTTCGGTTCTCTTTGTACAATTGAGCTGCCATTGAATTTGCAGGAGAATTAGGATTTGGATCACTCAATAATGACTGGATTGAGGTAAGGATGGCTGATACATCGTAGGTTGGACTCCATCGATTTTGTAAAATATCCAAACAAATTGCTCCATCTGCGTACAGAAAAATAACATTTTCACACCATACTCATCGAAACTAAGAACTTTTAGACGATTGGAGACAAATGATATTAGGTTTATAACCAAACTTCAAGCGAAAACCACATTTTACGTAAGTACCATTAATTACTTACCCGCGTATACGTTGGGATGAAACATTTTAGACTGAAATCGAACCGTGGGTGGCTTATTGGGATATTCTTCTGTAAACTCTATAGTTAATTTAAAAGTCCCATCTTCAAATGGTGTGTCGTGGGGGCCAAAAATGACTGCATGCCATAGAAGAATGTTGTTATCGGTAGGAGCTCCAGAGACTCCAGCAGGAGGATCTGCATAATTAGTATAAGCATTATAAATTAAAAACTAGTCACGAGTGACTGAATACATCAAATTAATTTGTAATTCAATTCACTCGTCTCCTCACCCTCTTGTAGTTTTTTGAAATCCCTCATTAATCGTCGTCGAGCTGGAGTAGACATGATGACGGTCACTTCACGTTCACACTTTACTGAGGTCTTTGTTGTCCAAAGTTGTGGATGTTGTTTTAGTTGCCGAGAGGTCAGCAATTAATCACTAAACAAAAACAATCAAATTATGAACATTGCGTTGTACTTTAGATCAGTTGGCTAAATCAATGCTTTTAATTGTCCTACATATATAGATATCCAATTCATAAAACTGCACCAATATTTTGCTAGATTTATTGTACTAATAACGCGATGATGAGATATTAAACTCATCTGAGTTTCCTAACCAGTGCCATGTTGCATGTATTTTTTTGAAATTAAATGTGAAGTGAGACAATTAAGATTAATTATGGAATAGGTTGACGCTGGTCATACTTATAGAGGAAGGAAATATATTCTGGCCACTAATATTTTTAAGCCGTCTGTCACGGTCTGCAAATTATAAACAGTTATCTTCATCATACGGAAGATTTTACAAAAGAGCCAAACCTTTGTATTTATTATACAGTTGACCAATATCACCCCCAGGGCTTGCTCAGCTAGCAGTTTAAGCAACTAATAATATAGCAGTAACACCTTCACTGCAACAATGCACAAGGGAACTACTTTACCTACCAACAACTACTACAACATGCTGTTTGGTATTATTACTACGACTGGCAACAATAATGAGTCGAATATAACAATGAATACGACGAGATTGGGACAACCAACAGTTGTAAACCTGCTCACTTTACAGTTAATTGTGTAACTAAATTAAGGCGCTTTAATACAGTAAATCATGAATGATCCATTTTTGATTTCTAACGTTTTGTATTTATACATGTAGACTACATGATGTAGTAGCTGTTCCAATTTTACTTCCGTCGAAGGCAACTTAAACCTATGTACCCACCTCTACATGTGTGGCACCGAGCATTAACTGCTCTAACTTCAGCCAATTATGATTCATAATTTATGAAACATTGATGAATGAGTAGAAGAAAACGACAAAGTCATCAAATAAAGTGCAAAAATCACCTGTTTAGGTAAAAAGAGTTCTATCGCGATGCTGGAAATCAAGCAGTACGCAGTTAAATAAAACACAAGTTCGTATTGGGCTTACCTTGTTATTTATCGAGACAAAGAATCCACTGCTTCTGACCTCAAACAATTTCGGATATAATTTCTATCATACAAAGTTTGCCTTTGCAATCTTTTTCTGATTTTGCGAATATCGTACTTCTGAACACAGGGATTTAGCGTTTGCTTTTCACCTTTTAAGAACAAGAAAACCTTGGAGGAAGAACAAAATGTCTCTTTTTGGTTTTGCCAATTTTGATGACGAGCGAGAGAGATCGATTTGATTGTGTGTGGAGAGAAGAACGATTTTTGCGAGTGATTTTCTGTTTAGTCATTTGTTTGTTTCGTTGCTTCTCGCCGTCTGCCTTCCAGAGCCACCACCACTGCCAATCAGATGGCGAGGAACGTCCACCAAAAGGCCTCCACAAATCGTCGCCCAAACGTGAATGCTCCAGAAGAAAAGGACGTCACCTCCACATAAATGCGTCACGGGCTATTTTTAGTGCGTCTCATCAAGGCGTCTTGTGGACCACACTTGTTCAATGAGTGTGAGAAAACATCAATTAACTCGTTCAATAAAGAAATGAGAATTGCTTAAAATACAGATATTGCCCATGCAATTTATTAATGTCAACTGTCTGAATGACTCTTCATACAATATTAACAATAGTAAGCTTACATTTTCTAGTTCATGTTTCATGAAAAAGAATCGTCTCAACGGCTTGGGCTTTGTTACCATTTGACCGGTGAAAGTCATAGATGAAACAGTAAAACAGGATCATGCAAACCTCATTATTGGTAATCAAATATGCAAATCATTTATTGTCATTGAACTGAACTTCATGAATCAGTATTTGCTGCTTTCTCCTTCGGTAGCATCCTTAGCTGTCGGGTTGGGGATGCCAAGCACTCGCAGGATCTCAGAGTTTGCAACATGATCTGCAGGATTGTCCTGCCTAAAGTCAAGAAGAACCTGTACTCCTCCCTTCGTAATCACCAAAGTACCTCCGGTCTGAAGTCCGTCTCCTTGAAGGTTGCTCTCAAGCTTGTCAATCTTGTTCTAGCATGCAAAATATTTAGCCAAATTTTCAAGATCTATCATTTTATACACATACAATACATGCTTGAAATTCAATATGATATATTAACCTTGGCCATTGCGTCTCGTGCCTTCTTATTGAATAAACTCATTAAAACTCCGATAGTGCCATACTTTTTGTAACCGAGATCTTGATACGTTTTCTTGCCGATATCAACGTACAAATCCCCGTTGAAGAATTGGCCTTCCACAAACTCCTTTAATCCAAATTCCTCGAGACCAATGCCAATATTCTTGACATTGTGTGATGCAAGCAGGGGCGTTAAAAGAGACAACTCTCTAGCCCCCTGCCTACAGAACAGTCATCCAAAGCGTCGAAAGAAGGTAAGGACAACGGTTTGCTCGGCCCACAATGATTCCAACTTGACCTCTTCCATGGTGGGGACCGACTTTACCAAGTTTCTTCCGATGGATGACAAATCTACAGGCATTTTTATATCGTTGTTGTTGATGGTGTTGTGGATTGGCCGGATTGTTTGATAAGTGTTGAGGTAGCTGCACCTGTGACAATTTAGTTATAAATGTTTGCATATTAGTACTATTAGTCACAGAAGGAAATTTTTTATTGGTACTTACAAGACAGGTGGACGGAAGTCGAAAGCAATTAGGGCACCCGACCAAATAAATCTACAAACCTTGGTGGATGAGAACATCGGCTGAATGTGGGTCGGAGGGTGAAAACAGATCGCGAGAATAGCGAAGGATAGGAGAAAGTCCTGCAAGACAATTAATTAGTCAGTAAGTACATTCAGCAAATTAATTCTGTTCACCCACCAACCTGCTGGTTAATCATACAGGTGACAAGATACAAGGATGAGGACGGAATGGAGAAAGATTTCAGTCTTTCAGGAGTAATTTTTTTAATAAGAAATTAAATATAAATCAATACTATATCACTTATTTATACCATATATAATTGCAAATTAGATTATGTTTTTAACTTGCTTATCGCCCGCTTATACGACGGAGTACATAACTTCAACTTCAACTTTGGACTGCTAACTGATGATGGAATTTGCTGAAAGAATTTGCCGGTTTGCAAAATCTCTGCACCCACTTGTTCGCGTGTTGACAATGACGGCCTAATGATGCTCTTCGTTAAAATAATAATAAGCAACATTAAAGTCTTCAATACGCAAAAAACACATCCAACTATCAACACCCAACCTTGTACTTAATATAGTTTGAAAAAGGTGCATGGATGGTTTAAGTTTTAAGTACATTTTGTTAAATTGTGCATATTGTTACATTTTTCGCATTTAGCAAATACATGAATGCAATATATTTCACTCTTTTCAAATGATTTATTGGCATATTTTTTAATTGATGACACAGTTCTAATAAACATGATCTAAGGAGGGTAGTACAGTTCGGAAAGTCGGTAGCTTTATTTCGTCTACTCAGCTTTAATCGACAACGACAATAATACGTCGCCCCTTTAATATGTACTGCTACCGTATTAATGAAATAATCAACAATATATTCACAAGTTTCATAATAAAGATCGTCCCACAGGCTTGGGTATATTTCCATTGCACCTGTGAAAGTCATGAATAAAACCACATATACTGTTGACTTATTTGTATCCACTATTACAAGTAATTTATTGACTGCTTGTAATCAGTGTTTGGCGTCGTCTTTGGCCGCTGGGTTGGGGATCTCAAGCACTCGCAGGATCTCAGCCGTATCAACTTGATCTGCAGGATTATCTTGTCGGTAGTCCAGCAAAACTTGGTCACCTCCCTTCGTAATCACGAGAGTGCCACCAGTTTGAAGCCCGTCCCCTTTCAGATTGCTCTCAAGCTTATCCACTTTGTTCTGAAGGTACACAATTGATCATGCTACTTATTGTTATTACAGATATATGTTGGACATTAAATAGTTCAAATGGTTGACTTACTTTGGCTAGTGCATCTCGTGCTGTCTTACTGAACAAACTCATCATGACTCCAAAAGTGCCATACCTTTTGTATCCAAGATCCTGGTATGTTTTCTTTTCTATGTCTACATACAAGTCGCCATTAAAGAATTTGCCCTCCACAAACTCCTCTAGCCCAAACTCTTCTAGACCAACGCCAATGTTCTTGACGTTGTGTGATGCAAGCAAAGGGGTCAAGAGAGACAACTCCTTAGCCCCCTGACGACAAAAAACGCATCCGAATCGTCGAAAGAAAGTGACCACAACGGTTTGTTCGGCCCACAATGATTCCAGTTTGACCTCTTTCATGGATGGGACCATTTTCACCGAGTTCTTTCCAATCGAAGCCAAATTTACGGGCATTTTTATGTAATTATTCCTGATATACCTGAAATATGTCATAAGTTATGAGTCATAACTAAATATTTCATAATACACACGAACGCCTCAAATAGTCACAAAATTGGTTGTCGATATGGGAAAGCAGAAAACAGACGAAAACAAGACATGGGTGAAAGAAGGACAAAACTTCGAAGCTCACTGAGCGCAGTACAAATAAATAAATAGTGTTTGATTAATTATGAGCCGAGTAAATACAAAGATTTTACCTTCTAGCAGCAACAAGGGGGGATGAAGAAACCGAATTTTGAGACTAGTAATGTTAAATGTGCAACTTTCTCTGAATAAAGTGATACTGATGTTACTTTACTTTCTCTTTCTGTCATTCTTATGTCTCGTAAGTAGGAAAAGTCTGTACCGAATTGCCCAGCCGTCATCTGCAAAACAAACTCATGATTTCGCTCAACAAATGTTCAAACGTGTACATTGGATTGTTCCTTTGATCTATTACATATCTGGGATGAAATTTGTTTGCCAATGATTTTAGCTCAAAGAGTAATCCGTAAGTTAATTTTTGAAGGTTACAACGTTCGTAATACAATTCATTGTGTAAAAAATTTATCATCTTTGGGAATGGGGAGTAAAAAGGCTTTGGTCGTTGTGGCAAATGGGTCTGAAGAAATTGAATCTGTTACACCAATCGATGTTCTACGTCGGGCCGGGGCAAGACTAATTATAATTTACTTGAATTTTAGAGTAGGTTAAAGATTATTAATGCATCTAAATATTTAGGTCCAGGTGACCGTGGCAGGATTGGGTGATTCTACTCCGAAGATCTGTTCCAGGGACGTTATTGTGGGGGTGGAAATGTCACTGATGGATGCCAATGGGTCTTGTCCCTATGATGCCATTCTCCTACCTGGCGGTCTGAAAGGGGCGGAGGCATTTGTGGAGGTATGAGCAAGGGGAAAAAAATATATCAGTGATATCGATGAACCAACGACGAGGTCAACTTACACGTTTCAACATATTTTTAGTCAGAAGAACTTGGTGAAATGCTTCGAGAACAGGATAAAGCAGGACGTCTGGTGGCATCAATTTGTGCAGGGCCAACAGCATTGAAAAAACATGGCATTGGTCTTGGAAAATCAATTACTTCATATCCGGGTGTTAAGGACAAGTTATTAGAGGGAAATTTGTACACGTACAAGGAGGACAGAGTCGTCGTTGATGGTAATGTTCATTAGATATTGCAAGCTGGCTGCTACTTATTTGTCTTGTTTTGTATGATGTTCAATGATTTTTTTTTCAGGCAATGTCATTACTAGTCGTGGTCCAGGAACTGCTTTGGAATGGTCGTTGGCCATTGTAGAAAATCTCGTGGGAAAAGAAAAAGCAGATCAGGTTGGCAAAGCTATGTTACTTAAAGATTGAAATCATAATAAACACGTAAAAGTATGATTGGAAAAAGTTTACTTGATGATTGAACTTGGCTCTTGTAAAAAGCACATACAATATAAAAAACCTATATGAACATATTGTCAATTGAAAAAAAAACTTTAGCTCAAGTATTCTTAGGATTAATAAACACTTGAAAATATCACTCTTTCTGGTATAAAATATTACCAACAAATAATTTAATTTTATGGAACACTTTGAATTTGAATCACGAGAGTCGATACAATAAAAAAAATTAGTCTAAAAGATCGTGTCGCTTTCGCCTAACTGGTGGAGAAGCCACTCCGATTCGAATCAGTCCGCGTTCAATGGCTTCTTGAGTACTTGGCAGATAGGTTTTCCATATATCTGAAAGTGTAAATTTGGTCATTCAAATATGTCTTACATATGTCAACCGTTCGATCAAAGAGTTGCGATGTTTCAGTGAAACGTCGCAACCTCCCGGGAGGTACCCCCGATAAGCCGAACGAGGTCTCCAACCCCCTCCGACGGGGTGGTTGATATGTGTGACGGTTTCACGTAAGTATTCACTTACCCGGAGGAGTGTCGCTCTGATTGATTGGCCTTGTGGAACGGTGACGGGAGCAATTATTTTTTAACCGTTGTAATTCATGTGGATGCATGTCATCCTCCAAGCCTCGGTAATACTGGTGAGACAATAATATAATTACACTCAGGTTCAGTGTACAAAAATAAAATAATGCAATAATCACCTCACGACAAAGATCACAATCCCAACCATCCAATTTTGCACGGTCCGCTTTATTTCGAATCGGTTTAAACATGTCCAACCGGTCGTTCAAATTTCTAACTGGTACTCTAGAATGTCACAGTAAAGAAATAATATGTAAGAAATAACTAAATCTGACATGACAGTTAATTTTACTTAATAAAACGACGGGTTTCTTACCTATCAAAGTCCCGAATTAAATCTGCCGTACAATTGAGTTGGTTAGTCACATTTTCATTATTCCAGACAGGTGGAGGTCTCTTGGGAGATCGATCAAACGTTCTAACAGGAGACCGACCAAACGTTCTAATGGGAGACTGACGAGGCGTTCTAATAGGAGACCGATCAAACGATCGAATGGGAGACCGACCAAACGCTTGAATAGGAGACCGACCAAACAGTCTAATAGGAGACATAGACGGTGGTGGGGGTGGCGTGTGTTCATGTATTTGGGGGGATTCTACAAGAATGTTATCTGACTCTAGGTTTTTCAGAACCCTATTTGTTCGATGACTTTTAGCTGGTGGAATTTTTCGTACTGGCTGCGGGGTGGGTGGTAGAAAGTTAACACTGTCAGAATCGGACCCAGAAATATCCACAAGTTCCGTAATATTTCCCACAAGGATGGTAGACAAATCACAATTGTCAATCACATGGTCCAAACCAGGGGATTTCTCGTCATTGCAAATATCCCTGGTTGCAGGGGTGGGCATATCGTCATCGAAATCCTCAAACGATGTCGAACTGTCTGAAGAAGAAGAGCACACAACCTCTTCTACCTCTGCAGGAACTTTTTTGGTTACATCGTCCTTCGTCATTTGACGTAATCCACCATGAAACTCTTTCAGATTTGTAACATCGACCTCAGACACAGGTTTGCTTATCATGGACGTTATCTTGGGCTGCCTAAACCTTTTGGGGCGAATTACTTTGCTGCTTCTGTTTTGTTGGTGAGGTTCTTCACCATAATGTGGCGACAAATAATTACTGCGTGACCGTGAAGTACTTGAAGAACTGGATGAGGATGCTCCAGCGGTTGATTTTATCCAAACTCCCGATGTAATACTTGTACCCTTCTTCATTGTCACCGCTGCGTTTTATAACCAATTTGATATTTAGAAAATATAAGTTAAATGAAGAGAAAGTAAACAAACAAATTTAGAGAAATGACGGATGGTGCATGGAGAGTACTCGCGGCCTTCTGTCCCGCCTGGCACTTTATTTGCCCCAATTTCTACGCAAGAATGAAGCTTGGTTTGTTTTACATATTACTTAATTATGGAATTGTTTTAAATCCGCGTAATAATAAAAACATGCCATTATTTGACAGTGTGGAAAAGTTGCATGAAATTATTTCCTGAAAACAATTGTTTTTCATGAAATTACTGTGAAAGCATGCCATCTACTACTCCAATCTGTTTGGTCAGACAGGAGCAGGTTGAGGGAGACGGAGATTGAAATGGGCTGTGGAGCGGAGGGAGCCCCCTGTCTGTATTTATCATATTGGTCACTCACTTGCTTGCTAGTGCTCGCTGAATGAAAAAAGTTTCACGTTTCTTCAGTGCGAGTGAAGATAATTATTGCGGTTTAATAACTAACAGAACAGTTCAGTCAGTGGGATGATGATGGCGAATTTATCATAGTATTCTGTAGTAGTAGTAGGATCGTGGATGGTGGTTGTAGTATGTTGTATAGCAGCTGAACTGAAATTGCCAATATTATAGTCTCCCCGTCATCATCATCGCAGTCAACCCATCCCATTCATTGTTGAATTTAAATAATGGAGACATTTGTTGTTAACTATCTGTTAATTAGTGCGAGTGAGTAAGGTGACGACGAGGTGAGAGAGTATTCATCCCACGAGGAATTTAAATCCTAGTCTTCTAAAATTATTAATACTGCTGGACGGTGGAAGTACCGATTGGACATTAGAATTAGGGTTGTAAAGTTATATTATTTTGTGGTCGACTTGTTCTTAAAGGTTAGCCAACCCAAAATAAAAGTTAATTGTGTAATACAATAATGAGTCAAAGATTGAGATTGAGTCATAGTTGTGCAGTACAAATGAAGGGTACATCCTTGTAAGGCGTCGTCTTCTGTTCCGTCGTCGTGGTGGTCACTCACGTCACACGTCACTAATTGACAAAGAAGGAAAGGAACATTGTGCAATACCAGTCGAAATCACGGATTTCTTCAGAAAAATATCCTATTAATAAACAGCGTAAAGACAAATGAAGACAAGATTTGGACTACAATTTTCAAAAAGTCAATCAATCTCAAACAAAAGGTAATTAGTTCATAATTTGATTAAAATACTTTCATGTCTCTTCTTTTTTATGTATTTAAACCTTTGGAAAGATCGTGTCGTCGCATTCTCTTTTCCTAGCTATTGAGAATATTCGACAAATATTATTTATTGTCAACCTTTTTTTTCATGAACACATCTGTTGCTTCATTATTATTATTATCATTTATTCGCCGTGTGTGGTAATCTTTCCTTGTGCGCATACCCTTGAACTGTCCTGTCTGTTTTTAAATATATTAGTTATACTTTATCTTTCCATCATCGTTTGTAAATTCGAGAAGAATTGTAGTTAACCGAAGCTGTAGCTCAGTTCAGTTACAGAGGAGGCAATAAAAAACTAATGCATATATATAGGAAAATATAAGCTTCGTACATAAATCCGATCCTTCGTTGGGGTCCTTTTTTATGAAAATCTTTACATCCTGTGTCTACTCATTATGCTCTCATAGCTTTTTATCATCATTTATTTAACACTTAACGCCATATCCCCTCGTTATCGTTTAAACCCTCAACTTTCTGTGATAAGAAGAAAGAACAACTCATCGTCACTCAGCTCTGTTCTGTACCAGTAAATTATTGACGCTGAGGCAGTTTGCTGATGTCTGCGTTCAACTTACATATTTTCTTTCCAGTGCTGATATTATAGACCACTGACTAACCAAACCAGCAAAATCTTCATCTTATTCTACAAAGTAGGAGCAGTTGAAATTAATTTAAAACAGAGTTTAAATTGGCCATGGTTTTATAGAATTTCATTTTTACAATTTTACTTTACATTTGCACAGCGGTTTAGCCTGTGGTCACACTATCATCCATCAGTCAGCAGTAGAGTTTCTGTTTGCTGTAAATTGTCAAGTGTTAAAGTGGTGTGGCAATGTGGTTATTGACTTAAGAAAAAGAAAATGCTATGTTTTAAGCGAAATATGCATCTCTCTTACCATAAGTAATAATAATAACGCTCTTGTAAAAGCAGTTGTTGAATAATGTTTGTTTTCAAGTTTTACAATTATTTGTATTCTCGCAACATCTTCACTACTAAATAAATAAGTATAAGACTTGTTCAACCGCATTTCTTTATGCTCTGCTATTCTGTTAACCAAACTCTAACCCCTACAAAGTATTCTTGCCAAACTTATTACTTCTGAATTTTAATAATCACTGTGTCGTCGTCTCCATTGAGGCGCTTAATCAGAATTAAAATTTAAAAAAAGTAAATCAATCATTTTATGACTACTTGATTTACTGAGTAATTTGCTTTTGTATTTTATTTATTATTTTGGTGTTTTTTGTATAATTTGCAGACGTGGACTGGCCTACATTACATACATACATATGTCCTTTGTCCGTCGTTGTGCACTGAATTTTGTGATACTTGAATAAGCCGAATATAAGAAATTGAGCTTCATCATCATATCAGCTTGCTAATTAGAGTGGAATAACGAATTAATGCTCGTTCGTGGAATTACATAGTGGAAGCGTTGTGGGTGAAATTTTTCTCGTCACTCGTCATCATCATCATCTTCAACAAGCAGACCTTATGCTTCACGCCGAAACAGAGATTTCAGATTTATGGACGCGGTCTTGAGAGTGACACCAATTTTGCAAACAACGATGGGAATATCATTAGATTTTTAACACGTTTTTATTGACAGACAGATTGCAAGTGGTTGTGATATTGACTTTTACTTGAGTTTTTCCAATTGCTTTAAAAAGTTTATTAGTTGGACTCTTTTTGATTGCTAATTCTTTTTGAAAATGCCTGTGCCTCCACCCCCTCCGCCACCTCCAGGACCTCCCCCTCCCCCATCATTTAATTTAAGTTCGCCATCGGGAGGCGCACAGGACGCCAAGTCACGAAATCAGCTATTAGATTCTATTCGACAAGGGAAGAAATTAAAGAAAGCTGCCATTGTTAACGATAGAAGTGCTCCTCTCGTGGATGGTAAGTTAATAACGAACAATAAGAATCTGAATAAGGTATTTGAAAGAAAGAAGGCACAAATACGAATGACTTGGAAGAAAATGAACAAGTATAACCAACCACACCCTCCAATTGTATCCTCTGAGTAAGTGTATAAGAAGGAAATATGGAAGAAATAATTGGAATAAACGGATTGTTATTGCCGAAATCAATAACAAGTTAGTTTTCCACGCAGAAAAGTGAGAGTTTTTGTATAAATGCTTCAAAGCTACTATAAAATGAACAGTGGAGTGGGTGGCGTTTTATATTCAAACTTGACATCTTTAATTATTCTTTAATCTACAATTAAAGTAAAGTTGATATTGCAACATTGTGTTTAGTTTGACAGTTGGCAAAGTGGTAAAGTACTAGTCAGCACATTTTGCAATTTTTTTTTGTTATATGAAAATGACAATGTGATACATACGCGATGATGACTGATGACGACATGCTTCCTGTAAACTGACTTGGATTTCGTGATAGTAGAAAAACACATGGATTTTTTGGCAATCCAGTTGGGAAGACGTGCTCAAGTGCAACTATTTGGTTGTTTTTGGTAGATGCCCAACAAAGATTTTATAACTACTAGTAGCAAGAACAAGTCAGAGTACAGATAGAGCACAATACATACTACTTAATACTGCTAAAAAAATGGCGGAGTCCTATTTTCGGATTTATTGACTAGGTCGTATCAGTCAACTATTTGTTATTTCCTTCGGATAGCTGTAAATTATAAGAATGGGTGGTGTACATTTGGTCCGATTCAGAGTTTTGACGGTAGACGAGTTGGAAAAAAGTGATGACTGGGTTGACTCGTTTTCATTGGATGGTGTGGACGATATTATAGTAAACGCAACCTTGAACATTTATTAATTATTGTTCTTTGTTTTTGTAATATTTAGCTAATGCGAACCGCAACAAGACTGGACCAAGTATTGGAGGAGGATCTGGAGGAAGCAGTATTTCAAGTAGCTCGTCGGCTTCGACTAGTGGAAGCGGTGGTGGGCGTGGAAATGGTGTAGGTTTAGGACCACAAGGTTTAGGAGGGTTATTTGCTGGAGGTATTCCCAAGTTAAAACCCGTTGGAAGTACGCCTGCCAAAGGGAGTGGAAGTGGTACCGGTTTCAACGGAAGGAAACACAACAATGACACAACGAGTCCCACCCATAACCATAGTAGAATAACCACAAGTCCTGGAAATTCCCCAAATCATAATAACTCGTATAATAGCAGCAGTTCACCCAATTTTGCAAATAGTAATCATAATAATAATAACAACAACAACAATAATAATAATCATCATCACCACTCAATAACTGTCAGCCTTACAATGAAAAATAATTCAGCAACTAGTCTAGCCAATAAACCTGCGCCGCCCCCGCCACCCCCATCGAACATGAAACCAAGTGTACGTTAACACAATACTTTACCTTTCCAACACTATTAATTAGCATCATTAGTAATAGTAAATTAATAATGGCGATATCCCCGCAACCATTACTTCACGTTTTTTTATATATGTAGACGCCACAGCAGGCAAATGATGTGACCGCATCAAGGACATCAAATTTTGGAAAGCCATCCCTGGCACCCAAACCTCCTGGGATGAATAATAGTGGCTCAAAACCCTCCAAGCCCAATCCCCCTCCAAAACTACCAAGTTTATACATTCCTCCTTCTGCTATGGGAAATTCATCTTCCGATTCTGCAAGTCCAAATGTTAGTTCTTCTTCAGCCGGCCAAACTTCTACACCACCTCCGCCAACACCCCCGTCGGCGGGTGTAAATCGGGCACAAAGTATGCGTATGCCAAAACCAGCATCACCGTCGACAGCCACCGCCTCGAGTATAGAATATAGAACGATGGGCAGATCGGCTGGAAGAGATTTTGCCAACCAACCTCCACCTCCGCCAAGGATTATTGTGAGTTTGTTTTTTGCATTATATTGAAAAACAGACATCATTAGTATAAAAAATTTATGACTGAGGTTATTGTTTGCAGAATGGTGGGAATCCTAGGGGTAGGCCTTCGCCGTTACGACCTCCTGCCGCCAGACCACCCCCACCTCCGAATAAAGCTCCACCAAACCATCCACCTCCACCTCCTCCGGTATGTTTAGCTGTTGACAAGTATGTATTGTGGCTGCATATGTATTTTATAATACTCCTTCTTTTCGTCAGGCCACCGCACCTCCCCCACCCCCACATCGAACAGCTCCAGCTCCTACACCACCTCATGCTCATGTTAGAGTCAATGGGGTACGATAAAAAGCTGTTCAGCTTTATCCGTCTTTCATATTCATCTCAATCGAATGGTCATGTCTAATCGTATCAAATATTTACAGAATTTGGGACCCTTACCTCCACTCCCATTCAATGGAGTTGGAGCGCCACCTCCTCCCCCAACGAGAAATTCCTCCATGAGAAGTATAACATCTACTTCGTCAATTACGTCAGTTGGGTCTAGTTCCGGATCTTCGTCCTCCTCGGTTGTGTATTCTGGTATGTATGAATAGTCAAATACATAATGCAACGATGTTTGTCTTGAGTAGAAGAGCCCACATGATAGAATGTTTTTTTTGTGTAATTGTAGGTCCTGACTTAGAAGCTCGATTCGGCCACCTTTTCAAATCCTTAGATGAGCTACCGTCGCCCATTCCATTTAAAGGCATAATGAAAACCTACCCTAGCAAAAATGGTAGGTTTTAGCTGCATGAAGTAGTAATATTTTTTTAATGTTGACTTTTTCACAATAAAAAACAAAATTTCAATGTAAATAGCTCAATCAGTCAAGAGACAACCCGCTCCCCAACCACCAACTCATATCCAACTGGAACAAAAACTCTGGGTCAATAATACTTCAACCTGCTAAAATTGGTGCTAGACTAGTAACTTAATTCTTACAAGTGCGTCCGCGGTTTTGTAGAACTTTTGAAAATAGGCAAATAATCGAAACTATAAGACTCCTGTGAAACGTGCAAAACAACATACGAAAGTCTTAATCACAATATGATATCAACTTGTTATTCAATTCACGATGGGTATTACATTAACATAATAAAACGATGTGTACTAGAATGAAAGTCGGTCACGCCTACTTATTGCATTAATTCATGACTCACGAGCATATCCACAATCGCCACATATTCAGGGAGCAACTGCATGTGTATGTATTTCTAAAACTATTGAATAAAATGTGGAAGCACTGGGAACGATTTAAATTCGAAAAAATAAGGTTAAACACGTTTTATTCAATCATAGAATAATGTATCCATCATAATTTTTGGGAGGACGCAGCAGTTTACACGGTTAACCATATTACAATTATAATTATTACGGTTAGATGGCTAAATAGATTTAACTTATTACTTATTACAAATCAACTACATCCTTATTCGTTACCATACAAGTAAATACGAGAGAGAGAGAAGGTGTGCAAATGTGTGTAATTTGTTCGAAAACCAAGCATAAGTAAAGTTAATCATATTCAATTGTTCATATTCAATTCTTAGCAATGGATAAGTCCAATTTGTTTGAATTAATTATATATATGTAAATATATAGGAATAATTAAGTAGGCTTCAATATATATATCGTAATTTTGCTCTATGTAAATTAGGCATGAAGTCAATTTCTAAAAAATTCGGACATAACGAGAATGTAAATCTAACTAAAATCGTACCATGACACAAAATATTAATAAGGGCATGTTTTGGAATGTATTTCAAATACTCGTATTTTTAGTTACGTTTTACGATAATTACACAATTAACAACTAAACTTGTACTACTCGTTAATTTCTTTAATTTGCTTTTTGCCTATTAAACAACAATCAACACATATTACACATGGAATAGAACAACAAAGAGGTACATTTTTTTGATAAATCTGTGTTGCACATTTTTGGTTGTCACAATCAAATCAAACAAGAGTCTGCACTTTATCAAAACTAGGATGATTTTTTCCTCCCCATTTTTTTTATTACTTGTCTATTCTTATCCAGTTTATCCAGCATCTCAATTCAGCTCGGCATGACAAAAGATTAATGAACATGACCCACAGACACATCTCTCCAGTATTTCCCTTCCTGACTACTCTGCCAAGGTAATAATTTGTTGTATCCAAAATCTTGGCATTTCATTCATGCAAAACAAAGTCACAGTTGTAAATAGCAACCTCTCTGCATGTGTTATTCATCTTCGAGATTAAGTAAGTAAGATTATGGTGACAGTGCGCAGGGTATCTTTAAGGGGCCCAGTTAATAAGTTATTACACCGACTTTTACATACATATATATTATATTATGAATAATACAATGACTACGTGCTACACTAAGTGTAATGTACTGTGTGTAAAGTGTAGTGGGAGGGGTGCACATAGCTACAATTTATAGCCGCTCAATGGAAATTCCTTTCACAAAATTTATGTTGCTGATGATGCTCAATAAACCAGATATACGTTTAGGATATGTCACGCCACAAATTATTCAATCGATGGGAAAACGCATCCGGAAAACTTACTACTTTTATAGCCATCATCCACCAGTAGCTATCGACAGGATAATAATAGGTTGGGTTATTCAAAAAATAGCACATTTATCGAAATCTGGTCAATATACTGAAAAAATCCTTTAAAAAATAACCTGTATACAAACACAAAGTTGTATATATCCTCTCAAAACCAATTGTAAACAACTAATTAACCGAACACAACCATGTTTGAGAAATACAGAAACAATCGACTGTATAGTCATGATAGACTAACAAAACCGGGCATGATAAAATTAGTTAAATGATGAATGTATATAATTCCGCAATACAATTAAGCTCAAAATCAGTAGTACATATATACATGTACAGGTTTTAAGTAAAAAAAAAATCAATGGGATGAGATAACAGTAATATTACACCATCTCTACAATTCGTGTTCTTAACAATACAACAATAATTGTGTAATACATAAATTTTTTCATACGAACTATTCCTTATTATAGTGTGTTATCATTAGCTAGCTGCATATTATGCCTACGATATATATAGTTTTTTATGTACAGATTCGACATGTCGTGCCACACCGTCGGAGAACTGTGCTCCCATTTTTGTAGATTTAGTATTACTTTCTATAAAGGGAAACTTAAATGTATCAATTGATCCAATATAACTAAATTATGAATCCGTTGTTCGGAATGAATATGCTTTTCTTTAATTCCTTCTTGACGAAGTGGGGATGGGATGTCCTCATTGGAGGAGGAATGCTGTAAGCATGCGGACCACGCATGCTTACAATGCTCCTTGTGTTTTTTTGCTCCCATCCCCACGTCCCCAATATAGGACCAAATCAGTATTTGGGATTCCGAGTTAGATGGCTTAATAATTATTGTTAATAATAATTAAATCTTAATTAACACAGGTTAATTGTTTTTGACTTGGATTAATGCATACGTGTCTAGTATTACGGGGAAATATGTCAGTCACACATGTGGTTATGATTGCTATTAAAATTATTAGAAACATAAAAATGGATTGCCTTTTCATCCCATATGTCATCAATTGTCAATTTTTTTGATTCTTCATTCATTGATTCATGCGTAATCTATCGACCTAAATATTTACTTACGATTAGTGTTACAAATGTAAATATATACGTATCATGAATAAGCAACCAAATGTTTTTGATCGTCCCTTTTCCTACATTCTCCTGTAGTGAAAGATATAGCTGGATGAGTAATTGCATTAATTACTGTAACTCTGTTGTTGCCGCACCCACACACTTACTCGAGTTGTATTATCTCATACCTACATATCTACTACTCGAACAGAGCATTTAAAATTAGTGATAGAAATGAGGACTGATTAGTTTTGTCGGGACATCCTGTCGAGATTAAAGGATACTTAATGTTATGTTATGCAATACACTTAATATGTTTGTATAGATTGGAGGTTGGTTGTGATGGGGTGGTGAAAAGAGTATGTACGTAATTGTAATTATTTTGATGTAAGCTAAATCCTACCCATTTGTCCATATACGTAAAACTACTCTGTATAGTTTAATTTTTATGATCGTTATAGATTTTGGATGGGTCGTTTTGTTCTTGTCCACTGACTTTAGGCTACACATACAAGAGAACTTGTTCTTATACATTAAATTAAAAATCGTGTGGTTTCTACTTTTCAATGGGACAAGTAGACAATTTTTCAATCAATTCCCTCTCTCCAAATACGCACAGGGTTATTTATTATTGGGTTGCTGAAGATGATGGTGGTGGTGATGATTAGCCTCTACAGTGACGAAGGAATGACCTGTTTCAGATTTTCAATAATTGGAGAGGTTGGGATTTTACATGGAGGAATGATCCCACTCCAACTCTTTGCCTGTTTTTGCTCCAGACGTTGATGGGACGGAGGGAGGGAGAGGGGAGGCGTGGACCTGAGGCTGGGTGGGACGGGGACGGTGAGATGCTCGCACTTCGTCCCCACCATCGTCATCAGATGATGAATCGTCATGATAACTGGAAGCGTCGTCATCTTCGTCCCAACTCTCATCACCTTCGTCGCATTGACCGGCAGGAGGGCCGCCGGGTCCACTGAGATTCTGCAAGAAACATCCACCGAGTTACGCAAGACTCGCCAAGAGATGATTGAAACATTTGGTAATTGTGAATTTATGAAAATACGTAGTATCCGTACCTCCATTGGATTAACTGTGATATTCAGAGCAGAGTCATCCCAAGCCATTTCTGCATCGGCCATGTCATCTTGTTGTGAGCGGTGGTGTGCCGCTCGAATTCGGATCACGCCAAGAACGATCATAAAGAGGAGGAATCCCACGCAGACCACGATGATGACAGTGACGGCATGAGTCGCCCCAACTTTTTGGGCTATACCTGGAGAAGACAATGGCTAGATTATAATCTAACAAATACATGATTACGATTTGTGCTAACTACTTGGTAGCAGTTTATGTCAATAATAAAACGTCATATTTAGTTTTTATGTACTTATTTCCGGCCAGGTTTGTCAAGCTTAGATAATTCTGCATAATAAGTAATAACTTACCTTTTCCATCCAGGAATGAGGACGGAATGTACCTGCATTAAAGAAATAAAGGGTTATCTCCTTAATGATTGTAAAAGTATGTCATTTAAACTACTTAAATGACTTATTTATGTACATTTCATTCATGGTGTGTGCTTGTTTCATTTCCATGTGGTGCTGTTCCACTTGGACGTGAGCTGGACCAGCTACGTCATTCTCGTGAACGGGCTCCTCCGCCATGATGTAGGGATCCTCCGTACTTTTGCTCATGTCAGGATGAATCACGGTCAACTGGAGCAAGAAAGTTAACAGTTGTACACAATACAATTAATTAAGAAGAAAAATGTGGTTTTCCGTCGTTGTGCATACCGTTTGGACATATTCATTTGAAGTGAATCTTCCGTTGAGCTCTGAGCAGATGAGTTTAAAAGCACGATTCAAGTAGTAAGCCGGCTTCCTGTTGCTGTACTGGATTTGACGGAGAACCTGTTAACAAAGAACATTTCCGGTGGAGTTCACTGTTTCTCTCGCTCCAGATCTCTCAGCGTCGGGATAATTACAGAGATTTGGAGCGAGAGAGAAAGAACAGTGCAAGTGCCACTGCATTATTAAAACGATTTTTGTGTTTGCTTTTGCCCATCGTAATCCTTTGCCTGTAGTTGATGTTGATGGAGTGCGGAAGGAAAGAATAAAGAAAGCAAGCAAGAAACGTAGAAATAAAAGAATCAACATGAAAATCCAGACTAATGGATTTTTTGGAGTGGCGTGGTTCGTGGCGAATTCGTTATGGGGTTCTTTGCAAAGGGATTATAACCAGATTAAAGCAGCCCACATCAAACTGCACGATGTGCGCTAAAACTGGCAGATAACTCTTACTTGTTCGTAGTTGTAAATCATGTCAGCCCCACTCAGAAGGATCCCGTCGTTGGTGATCTTCTCCACGATCCCCAGTTGACTCAACATGTTCTCGGGCACCGTGATGCTCTCGTGGTCAGGATTCAGTGGAGGATACACTTGAACGGAACAGGCGTCCAACTTCCGCTGAGCATAAGCCAGAGGAAATTTATATTCTCGGTTGATTTTACTAATTATGAAGTACAATAATAACTGGTACCTCAATCACGCTCACCGGCTCCCCTGTTAAATAAATAATTAAAAACATTACATACAGATCTGCAAATATCTACATCATCATACTTTAGTACATAACGACATCAAAATGTCATTTCTCTTAGGCATATTATATCAGTTTTGTGTCAGGATTATGCTGTGCAATCTGATGTCTATGCATTTGTCAAGTTTATAAATATATCCAGCGTGGATATAGTTGTATTTATTTTTATTTTTTAAGTCTCGAAGCAGTTTGACGATAGCTGATTTGTGCCACGCCACGCACGCAAGAGAGAGCGAGCGAGAAACGAGAATCTCTTCAGAGCGATAAGAATCCACACGTCTCGCTTGTCCATTTTAGTACTTTGCTAAGCTCCAAGAGCGCAAAAACAGAGGAAAATACTATGTCACCCGATCCTGAGACTGGAAATAATCCCCGAAAGTCAAGGTGTCAACTTTTCTTTTCCAGTTTGGAGACTAGAAGCCAGGGCCTAGACGAAAAAGTTCTCTCTTGGAATTCATGCAGGAGAAGTAGTTGGCATAATTCTCAAAACATCTCAATCCTTGTCTCGTCTTGAGGAGAACAAAACATCACCAAGAAAAATAAACGCTCATTTTTTCCAATTCCCAAACCTACCAACTAGCCAGCAATCTACGCAGCGTGCCACAAAGCAAAACATAATAAGGTTGGAATTCCAGCCAGCCGAGAAACACAACAAACCGTGCATTCTATTGAATCAATGCTCAGGAAATGGAAATTGGAATTTGTTAACACCAACATAGTCAAAGCAATTTAAAAGGATGGCATCCAACAAGACCGACCTAATCTGCGTTGGGATTCAAAAAGTGTGAAAAACTGGGAGAAAAAAATCAGAGCGAACTACTCGACTATAAAATTGGTGATGTATGTGCGCAGGTACACGTGGAGTGGAATATATCTTTGCCGTATGGCTATGCATGTATAAATATATATCGAATTTCACCCTTCCCAACATCTAAATCTAGGTTTATATCCGTGCTAAAATGTTTTGAAAAGGTTGGTGAACGGTAAAAGCTGATTCTGATTGATTTACACTGTAAATCTTTACGCCAAGTTCAGTGACAAATATTTCCTGCTTCACAGTAGCATTTTTTCTAAAATCGAATGCAGGTTTACATATCCTTAATTCACCGCACGTAAATATACCTTCGTCGCTTCGTCTCTAATATTTCGCCTACAAACTCCAAAGTCGTTTTTTAGGGCTAACAGTCTAACACCCAACTTTTCTTTTCCTCTTCGTTCCTTGGAAAATGAAAGACGAGAGATGGTAATCAAACTCGATGTACTGACTCGCATCACAAGGACATGCATGGAACAAACTCAAATTGAGAAGCATGCAAAATGAAAATCAAGCTGACAGGCAAACCGAGATGAGAAGGACGATATCTAACAAGCAAACAAGTAACCAACAAACAAATTTTGCTTCAAACAACACTTTCCCCATAAAGCCGTCTTGTGTAACATTAATTTACAAGGGAATCTCAACAGCGTTAAATTTACTCAAACTTTCTTTTCAAGTTTCAATTTCAATTCTGCAAACACATTATTTCGCCGTCTAGTTGGAAGCTAAATACTAAAAGTACTACCACTCTGACTTCTTTCATTCGCAGTTCTCCTCAGCCTGCTTCCAGCAATATAAAGATCTATGGCTTCAAGGACGACTATTCAAATTGATTGCCTCACTACTGGCTACGGAGAAACGCTGTTTGTTGGAAACGAGGAAGGAGCGAGATAAGTTTCTCGGAATACTAAACGATCTCATCGTCAAACTCTTGTTATTCGCAAAGTCGAAGAATGATGATGATGGAAATGGAAACTACATCATTTCCAACTGAGGAGCATAGGTACGTAGGTAGGCACACCATTCAAAGGTGTGAATCTGAACAACTTTCTCCGACAAAAAAAAGCCGAAATGAGAAACGAGAATTTACAATGAGAACGAATCAGAGAAAAACTCACCTTGCGACTCTTTCTTCATCTCAAACTTTTAAAATTGATTTTGAAATTTATTGCAGTTTCTTTCAACAAATTTCTTTTGAGAACTGCTGGACATCGAGCGACAACATATCGTCATTACGCTCAAAGATGGTTGATAGTGAATTTATTGCCAGCTTAATGCATGCTTATTGTATGGCGCTGCTTTCGTTTAATTTATTTGTATGCATAGAGTGGGACAAGATCTCACCATTTCTCCACTCCTCGTTGTCATCACGGTCGGAAGAAATGGTAATTCGGACATCGGAGAAGACGCGAACACCGAGACGGAAGTCTTCATAGTCACGAGGCAGGTTGGATGTCCCGTTGATTTCAATCGTGGGCTTTTGCGGAGGCAAAACCATGACGAAAGAGTCAGATGGGATGATTTTGATGGTTTTTCCACTCTCACAGCTGAAATTAAAATCGAATGGCACGTCATTAAAAAATGAAATCTGGAGGAAATTAGTGTGCAAGGGAAAATTTATTTAAATCTGAATCCAACTGTGTAGGTGGACTGCGAGGATTCGATACGGATTTGATCCAGTTCTACATATTCCGACATAAAGAGATTTATCATCGTCGTCATCATTAGTATTATAATTATTTTAGAGACGGGAAAACGTAAAAGGGGCGAGGAGACGAGGATGGCTGATTCATCATGTCAAAGCACATTGAAAAACTTCAAAGTCATCTGCCTGCTATGGCGAGTCTGCATAAGGAAACTGGGACACAATAATTATGAAAATGGAGAAGAGACTCGCTTTCTTTCTTCTTTCCTTCGTCATTTTATACGTCCTGGTGAAAGAGAGGAGGGGAATTTAATGAAGGACTACAATGAGCATGCAATTAGAGCCTCATTCTCCGAGCCACAATAACAACTGGCAAAATTATGGAGCGCACTAATTAGTGTAACAAACGAGAGCACTCTCCGACTTTGTTGAAGAAATTCGAGTCGTAGAAATCAGGTTAATAAGATAAATTTTAGCTCGAGTAAAGTAAATTGTATTGTCTATTTTATGTGTGTGGGGGAAGACAGCCAGTTGTTGTGTCGTCATGTCCAGACCATCAACGTCGTCCTCGCTGTCACCATCATCTGACTGAATCTGACCCGACTAATTTGAGAGGCTTTCTCTCTCATGAATTGGAGCAGGGCAGATAACAGGAGGAGCAGATCCTCTCTTGTGCAGATTGTCTAGATTGTTAGAGTGCCCAATTCTGGGGAAATGTTAATGATCAGGGCCGGTGTGTGTGTGCGGAGGAGAAAGTTTGCGTCGTGGAGTGGAGAGACGCGTGCAGATGAGTGCGTCGTTATGAAGAGAGGAATGGCTGGGGAAATGTGAGGCTTTAAAAGTTAAATGTTTAATAGACGATTATTGCACAGGTTGAGGGAACGGATGGACAGGTATGCAGCATGAAAGTGTATGCATGAAGTAGAAATCCATAGCCTACAGCCAAGATAGCATCACGGCCCTAATGGTTAACCGTCAATAACAATTTAAACCCTAGTGTCTTCACTGTCCTGCTCTGCTGGTAGTATTGTTCGCTATTATACGACGACTATGCCCTGGCAGCTACAAAAGATTATTGTTATTGCCCCTCTGTTCTTCGCGTCGTCGTCGACGGCCAAGGTTTAGTTAACAACTTGGTCTCCATCTAGTAAAATCTTAAATGCGATACAACAAAACAGACGCCACAACCGTGAACATTGGGGTTCCGAGCAGAAAGAAAAAAAACTGGTTAAGTCCAGATGGATCTCGAGGGATTGTGAGACTCGACATACAACAACCTGCTGAACTGCACAACAAAACCCATGCCGTAGAAGAAAGGAAGGCTCCTTTCTTTCCTTCCTGCCTTTAGACCGGAGGATAAAGTTCGTACATTTCGCAAAAGCAGAATTAGGCCAGCCCTCATCCTCACAAACACACACATAGCAAACTTTGGTGGTGAATTTGCCCAAACTAAAGCCAGATTGGACTAAGGTCTGTTTCCAGTGAATTATTGAATGACAACACAATTATCCTCGGTCTCTGTTACATGTACACATATACGCACACAGAAGAGGAGGAGGGGAAGGAAGGACGCAGATGGAGAGAGAAACTCGATTTAATTTGGAGCAGTGTTTTCTTCAAAGCGGTCACAGTTTAGAATTAATAAGCACACATTTTGTTGGATGGTCGTGGAAGGATCAAGTTCTAAGAGCTGATGGCTTACATGACTTTGGTGGCCAGGTGAAGGTTGCGTCGACCTGGGGTTGGAAACTCCCGAGAGTTGATGTAGCCCACCTGAAAAATTACGAGTATGGTTACAATTTCATTTTACCTGTGATGACTCTGAAATTTATGAAGTAATTGATACGCACGTGTCTAATCAGGTTCTCAATGTCGGTCGTGTTCTCTCCTTCCACCGTGATTTCGGTCATATCTGCACATCATTTTTCATATTAATTTTAGATTCTGTAGCTCATAGAACGTTATGTTCAGTTCGACGTACCAGTGTTGGTCATGAGTTGCATTCCAGGTTGGACGACCTCCATTCCAGGAACTTCGAGAGATTCCTTGCATTTGTGGAGACAGCTGAGCACTCCGGGGTCCTCCATTTTCCCCAAGAGCAGGGAAAGGCCGGCCAAGTATCTAAGATGAAATGTTTTATTATTTGAACCGCTGGCTGGTGCAACGTACTCAGGATAGTGTTTTTGTTAATACTCTTATTGCTCAAATACGAAAAGTCGGTTGTTTTTTTATTGGGAGGATGGCAAATAAAAAAAAAATTTGAACTCATACTCATTATATTGTATAAAATCGACAAATCATGTCCTAATGAGTACTTCAATCAATTTAGAGTATAAAATTCATCCACTTCCCATTAACTTAAAATGTGTCCTCACTAAAACTAATTTCATATGGATAAATTTGATGGATTCATATTGAAAATATTGTCGACGCAGCTGAAAGGTCAAGGCAGTGTTCTCTAACGCCGCTCGATATCATGAAGGACGTCGGAGAAAGTACGCAATTTCATGTGAAACTCACCCTCGGAAGTGGTGCTTGAACTTGTTCTCAGATCCTTGCCAGCAAGCTCCAATGCTGAGAGAGGTATTGACACCCTTGGCTGCATAAGAGTAATTCAAACGTTTCGACATTAGGATTATTTTTTAAGTGACACGACAAGTCGATGTTCATAAGCAATTATATTTTGGGAGACATATGTACATTTCTCGTCACCCAAAACCGGCATATTGCGTGATATAGTTATAAGACATTTACCCGGATGGAGTGGCCAGTCGTCAATCACCTCTGGATTGGACTTATCCTGCTTGACCGCTAGACCGTCAATGTATAATTGCACGTCTGGGAATGTCACCGACACGGCGTAGTGATGCCACTCGTCGTCACAGACCTGCAAAGTACCAACATAAGGTAGATATTTACTTATTCACGTCGTGCCATGCGTATATTTTCTCAGCGTTTCCAGCTACGCTAAAATTTTCCAACTTGCTTATCATGTTACATAATTGCGAATTTCATATCATACGCATATGTAGTCAGACTGGCATTTAAATTTAAATATCTGCACCAATGGGGTTGCTGGTAAATACAAGATTTGCAACCCGTAAAATCACAATTCTACATCGAAACCTAGTGAAATGGAAGGATGGTCATTACCAGAATTGATTTACTTCGGATGGACGAACTTGTGCGAATAAACGCTGCCTCTTCCAAAATTTAGTTCTGCCTTAAGTAGCGAATGCTGTGGTGGAAGTATAGGCCTCAACTACTTGGCGAGGTACGCGTATATGTAGCCATATGAATACATAGGAAAAAGCAGAGCGTACTGTTCGAAGCATGTGAAACTCACAACTTGCAGTTTTCAAAGGATTTTACAGATTAAATTTATCCAGAGGATGGGAAAGGCAGGCGAGGTTCACGTCTTTCTCTTTTTCTCAGAATGAGGACTTATCTCATCGCATCAGATCTCAAACGTTAGCCAATTTCCAATTTACGAGAATAGTCTCTTTTTCTGCTTCTTCTTCCTTACCTCTGTCCAATTTAAAAAAGCTCCTTTATGTTCAAAAATAGGCGCAAAAACCTCTAGTTCAGACTTGCCATAACCCGAGCCGTGCATTTTCTTCGCGACCAGTAGATACATATTTGTCACGTTCCTTCAATATCGAGAATTTAACTCCTTGTTCTTAGGTTCTCAGATCTGCTGATGACCTTAAATGACCCGATTCAGTCCAATACCAGGGGAAGACCTGTCATCCCCATTTTCAAACTCATTTTGATCAAATGCGCCTTTCGTTTAAAATTCAAATAAGGCAGGATGAATATGTTTAACTGTTTAGCTAACTTTTGCGACGGACGACATAATGGCTCCAATAAACCTTTTTATTCGAGTTATTGAATAATATGCTCGTGATTCTGCTCTAATTCAGACATATTCCATACTCCGGCGTAGTTGGGTGACGCTAATTTTCACCCCTCTGGATACGTCACGTCACGGCCATGGAGAGCGAACAATGGATTGGACAATGAGGACTGCATGATCATCATTATCAAATTTGATACGATGATTGAAATCGATAAGGCTGCACGAAATTTGGATCGTATGAAATTTTCCGTTGCTCACTCGGACAGTTTTGTTGAAATGACGCAAAAGGGATGATGACACAATGTAATTGGACTAAAATAATTAGCACCGCGGTTGACGTTGAACAAGCTGACAGTCAGTGGTGGCCTGTTATTCCGTGACATTTGAAACTCTTCCCAGCAACAGAAACTCTATCCCGCAAACGAATTACAAAGAAAGCAGGCCGATGGATATGGATGTCGTAGTTGTTGAGGAAATTGCGTTTGTGTGTACATAGACGTGAATGGGGGATTTATATGATGGCTTATCGTTAGAAGTTCAGTTTCCCAGTTAAAATTACTTTACTGAATGTAAAATGCGCATACATGCTTTCACCATCAGGATAACAGAAATAGTCATCAATGGTGAGTTCTAGTTCTTTCTCTCAGTCGACAGGGTAGCATATCTACCTTCTATTCCCTCTCTTGAGGGGATCATTGGCAGTGCTGACTGATAATCTGATTAAAAATAAATGATGTCATTATACCTGCGGGTTCACTCATCAACGGGTTATTCAACTTTTATTCATACCATGAAAGCACAAATATAGCTCAGGAGATGTGTATGAAATATCCGAACTTTGAACCACGATATCAGATTAAACGAAACCCTACAAAAAGTGCCTGCGAAATATATTTGCAAAAAAACAGACATTGTGAAAACACCAGAGCTATAGAATTTAGCATTCGTACATACGTTCGGCTTTCTCCACGAATGTCAATAAGTAAGCCAGAGTGGGGATAAAAGCACCCATTTATTTTGCCCTGACTGCTACAAATAATCACCTCATCGACTGCTATTTTTGTTTGGTCTGGTGCGATGGTGTGTGGGCTGAGGAAATCCAATTCGCACACTTTCTCATCGCCTCCTCATTTTACTTGATCCTCTAAGAATTGAGATAAATGAAGTGATGGGTGGATTGGATTGGATTCGCACTTCAGCACCACCACCAGAGATACACCACCACCACGACATTCCCCACCTTGCCCTTTGTGTTTACAAAGAGAGGGTACTGGAGTCAGTGGTTTGGTCAAAAGTGGTGGTGAAATCGAGGGCATGCCGATGTACACTCCCCCAAATCCAACGTCTCACATAAATATTGACCCGTTGTTGGTGTTGGAACGGCCATTATTTTTTATTTTATTGTAGACGACGATAGAGAAAGCGATCAATCAGGAGTGGATGCCGTCATGAAATAAAGCGATATAAATTGAACCAACTCCAACTCGGGGGATCGCTTGGTCAGTCTCGCTCAGTGCACACTGCACATATACCCACATACCCAAATATCTATGTACGTACATACACATGGAGGATGGTGCATAGCAGTGGCAGTGGATTTCATGAAATCGTAACCACCATCCATCATGCCCCTGGACTTTGGGCATGACACGGAGAAATCCACCACCACAAGCAACCGCACCGACACAGAGCGCAGAGAAAGGCAGGAAAGAGAAAGTAAACACTTTACAATTTAAGGCAACAACGTGGCACAAAAGGGAAAAGCTACCTCCAGGCCAACGTCAACATCAGTCCACGTACGAGCCAGCACTAATAAGGGTTCACCAACCAACTGACATATTTCCAACGTGTTATTGACTCATATTTTTCTGCAGAGCTTCTGCTCGTGTACATTATCAAATTATTAGCACAAACTACACAAAACTCAACGATTCATTCCAACCAAATTATTTCAGTACGGAAATATCTATGGACTTTTACCAATACACAATCTAAACCTCGCTCAACCGAATAACTAGCTTCATTTCCTTTGAAACTTATTGTTCGTTTATCACCAACAGTGGTGGGGAGGACCATTGTGTAACATACGATCGATCAATATCATTGCTTTCACGATTTCACGGCTTTCCTCATAACGTTCTCAAAACTTTCTCTTCAGAAATGTTGTGTAGTTGAGCAGCCCAATAAAAACTTTACTATTCAAGTTTGAAATTGGAATATAATCATGAAATGCTGTTCTCTTATCTGGTTACATTTGTTCATGAACAACTCGGAGCATTTTGTGGCCAAACAAAATGTTCCCGTTGTATAGATCCACAGACAGATATGTAAGTAGTCTGAATTTAATGATATGAGGCAGGAGCCATAAAATATGACCTGAGCCACCACCGGAAATACTAAACGTTAATAACGGTGGTGGCTCAACGTCTTGTCCTCGAATATGGCGTATATGGGTTGGAAGGATGTTGCTGTAAACCCCCTTGCACAACATCTCATCTCGTAGAACTAAGTCAACACACAGGATTTATGTCCCTCGTCTCTACGAAGACTTGTAAATCTGCGAATGGACGGCGACGACGACGACGACGACAAGGACGGGACAGGTATTGCGAAGGAAGATGAGAGATTCTTTTATTTGCTAAAAGATTTGTTTGCGTATAATAAACAAGAAGATGACGGCGGATGGATATGAGATTATAGTTGAGGTCATAACATTTAATGCGGGCCTACACACATTCATCGACCCGTCTCGTGCATCATCATCTCATCTCCAATGTCTAAGATACAAATGGAACGCTGCATTCGTGGTCTCATCATAAAACGAGACTCTCAGCGCTTAGGGAAAGTAAATCTCTCGTGCCCTCTAAGTCTCCACGCTCTTTGTGTGTGTACTTATGTACATATACAGACCTACGTACAATGTGTTTTATATATTATTTATGTATGTTGGTTGGGCTTGCCTTCATCATGCAGACTAATTAGTTGCCCGCTTTGAGGAGACCGGAAAAGGATAAAGTAATTCCAGAGCAGAGAATCTCGTGAAATGAAACCCTATAATCCATTGACATTTGAACGACTCGACTCCATAACACCGACGACCACGGAGAGTCGTCTTTGTGCTGTAGCAGATCAAAACCTGTGACGTGAGCATGCAGATGGGAGGACTAATCTTTTTTTAATGGTGATTTGCCTAACTCTGGAAACTAATAATTTGGTGAAATCTATCCCCACTCACTGAATACGAATCGAACTTCAAAGGGAACGCAAGTTGGACAAACTTTTTTATATTTAGAAATTAATGCGACATTTTTTTAATAGAAAATAATATAACGCCATTTGATTTATACAAGGTGAAAGTTTTTACCTGCGGTACTTTCCATCTCCATTCAGCGGGGCGGAAAGTGTTGAGATCTCCGTCAGCATGTTCTCGGCGCAGTAACAAGATCAATCTGCAGTTGCGTACGAAAACAGCGAAATGGTGACGATTCATTTCTGAAAAATATAAAACAATCCGTGTTCATCATTTTGTGCATTTGACTCTTAAATTTACATATGTAGGCTCAATTTGTATGGTATTGACGTAATAAATCCCAGCTTGTATGCGAATAAGTGTCGCGAAGAGAATGCTTTGCTGAGAACGAGGTCAGGTTTGGAGGACGGAATATTTGCGCCACTTCTGCTTTTGGTAATAAAGGAGAAAATGCGTCGAATTTGGTGTGGGGCGAGGGAGAGAAAGTTATTAAGCACATCATGTATCATTCTTATCTAATCTCGCACTCTATTCATTTCTTTCTCCTGGACCTCCAAGTCCGCCTCGATGATGGAAAATCATACCAGTTTTAATCTTGACTCATCCACACCGTTTCTACTTAATAAGCATCATACCAGTAGCACAACTACGTAAAAACGTCCAGCCAAGACAAAATCTGACAACTAAATAAAATTCAAATAAAATGAAAATTCTTCAATCGTCCAAAGAAAGTTATTGGAGTGGCATTGCTATCAAAAATTCTTTTAAAAAAAATGCGATTCCCAACAAACTACTTACGATTAGTTACATATGTACAAAGTTGTTTTGACAGAGAGCACGACATAGTTCAAAACTTTCGAGCAGAAGATACAGTACAAAAATGCATGAAATTGGGCCAGTTGGAGGTCGATTTGCTGTCAAAAATGCAATAATAATGTCCATCATTTGAGCAGTGGAAAATTCCACTCATTCCTCCCCTACATGCGTCATTTTTGTTGAGTCGTAGTGGTGATGCGGTGATGATGAAATGGCATGCTATTTGAAATGTCAAGAGTGAAAAAGTCGTTCATGCCCCATCAACTGTCATTCTCGTCGTCGTCGTTCTGCCCCACTTTTCTGTGTCTCTTCTTTTTTACGTCGCCATCATTGTCAAGTGTCTCATTTTATGAAATGCATAGGCAGATGGATAGGGAGCCTGGCCTTACTGTGGTCATCGGCGTTGCAGACGATGTGCTCCTTGGTGTGCCGGTCCTGCTCCGGGTGCGCATCGTGCTTCATCCAGGTGGCAATCTGCAAGCAAGGAAATCTCTGATGAAAACTGACCTTGTGGCAATTTCGCATAAACATTCAGTAATTTCATAACTAGCTTCAAATAACTAATTGCTCAGTAATTTTTGTAATTATTTATTGATCTGATAAGCTTCACCCAAATTTACTCTGTCACTGCCTGTCTCACCGCTATGCATAAGTACACATAGACAACTGTGATGAGTAATATAGTGAGTAGTCAAGCTTACCGTAAAGTTATCTCCGGGATAATGTGAAACCAGGCCCTCGGGAACCACCACGGCCGTGCTGGACCCATCGAATTCAAACATGGGGTCACTCTCATGACCTTCGTCCGTGGGCAAGTTCTTCGTCCACTCCGTTCCCAGACCTTTGGGAAATGAATTTATTGAACATTAATTTTATGTTAATTTTAAAGCATTAAACATAGAATAATCTAAATTGGTTCGGCTGTTAGAAACTTACCTGGAGTTGGCAACAAGTCCACACTCTCACTGCTCGCACCTGAAATTGGCACACACAACGAGAAAATAATCACTTTTTGCACACATATTCATGCACATATCGTGCATCTGGTATATAAATGATGGTGAATTATGGGACGAATTGTGTTCCTCTACAAACAATAATCATTGCTAATTATCAGTGGTTATTAATGCATTTGGTAGAAGGAAAACAAATCATTTGTCATCATTCCACGGAATATTCTTGCTACGAGACGAGGCGAGTGAGACGTTGGGCTGTGGAGAAGGCAAGGAGAGAGAAAGCAAGGAAGCAAACTTATCCCTATGAATTATTAAACTTTGTAAACTGAAAGTGTGCAGTGAAATTAAGGAATTTGCATAATAAATAAGAAATATAAGCACAAACAAACAAACTCGCTCTCTCTCTTTCTACCCCATGTCCCATTCAGTAAGGGAGAAAGTTAGTTGGCAAGTTTACTTCAACTCTCGGACTTAATTTGAGTAATTAATTATCGTAAAGTGAAAGGGCAGAGAAATCTCCACCAGCCAGCAGCACACCATCAGAGCTAAACTCAAGGCTGGCTCTCCACCTCTTACACCAACAACTTTAAGACTTTGCGAGGACAAAGTTTTGGAAGTCTGTGTTATGCGATGGAGGTCGTGCGGGCTTAATTAACACGATTTATTTTATTCTATTGCAATCGCGCACTGCAAATTGGTGGACTTATCGGACAACATCATAAAGCAAATGTCCAATACCGAGCTGGTTGTTCATTCCTTTCGTAGGTAAGCCAGGAATATAGAAATCAATACAATTCAATTTTCGTGAAAGATTAATGTTCAATCGAGTCGTCCTGTTTTCCTTTAACACATGGCGGCTCCCAAATGGAACTGGAGCATTTATGAGGGTAAGAAATCCATCAAAAGTTAAAGATGCGAGGTAAGCAGATCAGAGAGAGGAGGGCAGGTTATCATGTGTCATGTGCGGCTAACTACCTCGATTACTCCTGCCATCCGCTCTGCTGCTGCAGGAGGGAGGAAAGTACGGAAACGGTTGATGGACGAGCTTTCCCTCCGCTGCCATGTTGCAAGTCCCAGGACGTGAACTCTAAAACTTTCTCCTTGTTGGAAGGATTATCCGATTAAGCTCCAAAAATATTAGTGCTGCTGGTGCTGGAGCGGATAAATTGCCTTCTCCGGTGGGCAAAAGCAAACAACAACTCTCGTTACGGACACATATTTCTTCATGGCTCCATTTTCAATCACTTCATAAACTGAACAAACAAACAACTCAGGCCGTGGCTCAGGGTACAATACAAAATACGACAAGACGATGAATGAAAATATTAGTTGCCTTTAGCGAGAAATAGATGAGACCCTATTTTTAAGCGGAATTTATTTACAGGGAAAATCCTTCAGTCACAGACAGACAGAAATGTGGGCGGACAAGCGGGGGGAAAGTGCAGGAGAATCATCGTGGCAGCCACGGTTTGTGCCGTCAAGAAAGAAAAGACAAAAAATTATTTGCACTCACCGCACAATTTCCTTTGCGAGTGGACTCCGTAAGTATCGCGGTCACAGCCCTGCAATCAAACCATATCGTTAACTCCTCAACTTCCATATATCGGACATAAATACGGTGCACTTTGCTGGTGGCCTTACCTTTCCGATGTGGATGGTGGACAGCTGGAGCTTGGTCTCAATGGTGTTGATTGCACATGGGACATCGCACAGCTCCAGATTCGCCTCCGGGAAAAGTTCTTGGCGTGAAGAGCCAGGAGCGTAGTCAATCCTTTCCGGAATTCCTGCAAAAGTGACGAAAGATTAAAATGATGCCTTCACACAATTGCTTTACTAATTGGTCACAAATAACTTTGATGTTAGTCGCCCTTCATAAATTATTATCATGGTTATTATTATTCTAACGATAAGCAGTATTATTATTTAATGGATTGAACAGATGAGTTCCATTTCAGCATACATTTCGTCATCTGTTTGGTGTGAATGCATCGGAGAAAGTTGACGAGTTTCTGGTCGTGGGCTTAAAAGGTGTTGCTTGTAAAAGTGGGGGCTCCATCTGCATATCGAATGGCACCATCTTTCACCTGATGGAACGAGGTGCTTAGATGGGCTTATCCCGTGAAGGGAGAAAGTGAAGAGAGAGAGACGACGAAGCCTTATTGCCAGACCAGGTGCTTTCTCAGGAGGAGGACAAAAAGTGGAACAACGGCGACGGGTGTACTCGCCATTCCATTACTCTGTGTTTTCCTCTCCAACTTTGTGTCACGGGATGGGATGGAATAATGCAGGGAGGAAATATGCTTGTTCCGAAATCCAGCTCAGTCCTGTCTGAAAAATGGGGAAGCAGATGGTCACGGATATCGGATGGGACGAGGCATGTGTTCTCAGGAGCACAGGAGTGAGAAATTCGTGCCCTGTGCAATTCCACTTTTTAATATTTCATTGTCATCGCAGGATTCGAGTTCAATGCAGTCGTCGTGCTGGTGGAGGAAGCGAGAGGGCGAGTGTGAAAAACTTTCTCCGCCACCGCCGTGCACAATACGACAACGTTTCTCACTCAGAAAGTACATGAATCAACATTCACACTCGAGTTGGTGGAAGAGCTGTTATGAAGGCAGCATGGAGACGCAGTTGACAATGACAACTAACACGACGACTATCTATTAAATCTCGGGCGCAACACGGACCCCGACACTCGAAACTATTCTACGGCGTATACGGAACAAGGGGTATGCTAAAAAATAAATAACTCCTCCCTTCACTTAAGTATGTATAACCGAAGCACGTTGGGCGGCTAACTATCCAGGTTGACTGGCTGACACGGTACATACTTTCTTTCTTCTGGGGAAAACAGTCTCATAATTTCACACTTGCTTTCTCTAGATTCATGAAACTGTGAAATCTGTTGTTGCTGCAGCTAAGTAATTAATTTCCATCGTGAAATCCACTCCGACAATATATTTTACTTCAATTTCATAAGGAGTCTAGATTATTCAGACCACTGAGCAAACGAAAAAAATTAAAACCTTGCAATCTTTCACGTTATCGGATGGTCGAAAACATAAATTAACATTCCAAAACAACAAGCTGCTTAATATGCCTTGCTTCCTGTGACGTCAAACCTGGCTATTCACAGAATGCATGATCTCCTCTCCCTGCGTATGTGCATACCTAGGCTTATTTATTACAAACCGTGAGAATTTTCATCTCCTGAGCGAGGAGGAAGAGGACGGACGAGGAAGGAAGGAGCTGTACGAGGAGGAGTATGGATTTCGAATTTGAATTTGTATTTGGATGCGAATTTGTATATGTGCAACGATTTTGGTATAAAGTGAGTTGACTTTCGAGAAGGATGGGAACATTCTTGGAGGAACCACAGGATCGCATTTTGTGAAGGATTAAATTAATAATATGCAAATTCCCTGTCTTCTTCCTGACTCGGCTCCTATTCCTGAGAAGAGATCGCTCACTCGCTCCATTGTCATTGTCCACCGTTGAAGATGATTTCACTACTCAGCTTCAGGTTCAGCAGGAGTCGGCTCCAGCGTAATATTCTACTCGTCAAAGTAGTGGATTTTGCCACGATTTTCTTAAATTAATCAATATGCTCAATTATGATGTTAAATGTACATGTCAAATTCTAATCAAGTGGCGCTAACATTATGAAGGGCTACATACGTGGCACGACTAACCATTCCTTGCATATCGAGTCAATGAAACACATATTTACAGCGACTACGCTGAAAAATAGAAAAGGGGATGATGATTAAATTAATTCGCGTGCCTGGTATAAAGAAATGCAATTAGTGAGCCTCCTTCACCCTCAACAACCTGTCTCCATCCAAGGACTCTCGCGTACTATTTCCTCAGTAGTAACTCAATTCCTTATCCCAGAGGGGATTGAGCCGTCGGTGAAGAAACTTGGGAGGAGGCGGAGAACAAGGAACCTTTCAATGTCATTTTGTTGTTTTGTCTGTGCCCATCGCGCCATTATGACTGATTGTAACGTGGTGTGCGACCCATTCAGCAAAATAGATGCGATTTGGTGGTGGTGCGGTCCCCAAGTCTGACTGACTAAACAGGAGACAACTTTGTGCCATAAGTGACTCCGAACTTGAGGAAGTTGTCCTTCATTCCTCTCTGCGAGCGCTTTGTGTCGTCGTCGTCGTTCGTTCTGGCGGCATAACTTTGGCTTTGGGACTTAAATATTTTGCATCTCTCTTTCTCCTCTCGAGATGGAATTTTGCTCAACCTTTTCCCGTGGAAATGGAATGAGTGAGAAATTGCCCCTGGTGAAAGTGGTGGTGGCAGTGGAAGGCATTTGGGCATAAAATCGATGCCTGTCATGAATGTCATCATCACTTTTCCCTCCAAACTTTCCTTGCCCGAAAACTCCAACTCATTTTCCATTATTGCCATCATCTCTCATAAAAGTTGAACATTTGCATCGTCACCGAGAACTGCTCTCTAGGGGCTTAATCAGCGCTGCTAAAGGCTTTCCCTCCTCTGATCACTCACCACCACCACCACTGCTTGCTGCATAAATACTTTCTCTCTGTCCTCACCCCATCACCACTCATTGTGCAGAGAGAGAAAATGAAGGTATGTGTTCACCACCGGGTTAGACAAGGCCGGAATGAAGAGCCAAGTCAATTGAGAATTCGATTAACAGGCCGTAAAGCGAAATGGAAGAGAGGAACGGAAGGAAATCGTGGATGGCTCTGCGAGATACTTCCCCATGGTGCGGATGGTTGCAGCATCCAAACTCCCACTGGCTGGGCTGTGGTCGTTGATAACGCTTATTACCACTTGCAGCTCCAGGACGATGGTGATCTATCGCAACCAGTCCACACCTCATTTGGAATCTTGTGTCTTCCAAGATATAAACTAAATATGTAAGCTATGGGCTTTTTTGTGCGCGGTGTGCAGAAATTAGGGCGCAGAGAAATGTTGTGGAGGGGAGAACAAGTAGTGCAATGATTTCTTTTTATGTCCAGTGGCACAGCTAATTCAATTTCTAGCCGGAATTGTATTTCATCCTTAATAAAGGTGCAGGTCGAGGCAGGAAATTAGTTCGGATTTCCACGACTTTCTCTCTTCGGGAGGAGAGAGCATTGCTTATTATTATTATTCCACGACTTCTCTCTATGGCTGTGCAAATTGACTATATGTGTTCTTATCTATATGGCTTTGGTTTTGTAATTGGAGACATAAAAGTAAATCCACTTCATTGGTCACCAGGCCACATTTCTCATATCAATGAATGAACGAACGAATGAGCATGAACTTTAATTCGGAATAGAGGAGAAAGTGGGTCCATATTTCATTCCTAATTTATTCGAACGAGTAAATAAAGGTCATATTTCACGTGAATGTTCCACACCTGGCAATTACGCCGTGTAATAATAATGACCATCTCTCGGAGAAATTGGGAGAAGTAAGGAGAAAGTGGTTGCTGCACCAGGGCTCAATCTGAGTAAGGCATCAAGTCGCCACAACCACCACGCAACGAAGTGTGTGATCAAGTTAATTACACCTTTTCCCAAAAATCCATCAAGAAATCTCAGACCCAGCAAAAGTGCAAGAGTTGAACTTAATGAGAATGGTGGATTGGCTACTTAGCAATTTAACAATTCCTTCTCAGGGCCTAATTGTGACGGTGAATGTGAGCAAGGAGTGGGCCACGTCGCCTCCTTCATTGGCCAAAATTCGCTTATACTTCCTCCTCGGAAGGTGTGGTGGTGGTGGTGGAGAAAATGAGCCAAGGAACGAAACCAACGGAGCGAGGAGGCAAGGAAAAATCAGCCCGGTTTGGTTTTCTCCTCTTCTCAACCAACTTTTTCTCCCCGGATCGATGGGATAGGAACGAGCAGGGAGAAAGCTCCCCTTGCTCCCATCCTCAAAAAGCAGGTTGGACGGGATGGATGGATAGGATTCATGGGCATCGTCGTGGCGTCGTGTTACCACCACCACTTACTTCCCCCTTCTCTCCCAACAACCCGGCCCATCCATCAAAAGGAGGCCTGAGAGAGCCCTGAAAAAGTCCTCTCTTCACCAGCGAGGTCATGTTTTCCTGCCCACCACAAAATCACCAAGGAAGACAAAGTCGTCCAATCCAGCCTGCTACTTGTTGTGACTGTGTCCATCACGCAGGCAGATGTTCAATAAATCTAACTTATAATCAATTACAGGGCTCAGTTGCTAATTTTGTGCTGTTTTGATGCACACGTCAGAAAATCAGGTATGGCTGGTGTGACGCAGATAGATGAGATGAGGTACATATTTAATACGAGTCTGCAAAAGGGATTGGCAGTAGATAGATCTGCATGTACAGACGCCTGTGGTTTGCCACGAGATCAAATGCAAATCCTCAGTTTGGCAAGTTCAGTCGGGGAAAAGCTGATAAGCAGCTCAGATAAAATAAATCCATGTGTCCATTCCAATTCGCCAATTTTTGTGGAATCTTTATTCCATCCCTCCTCGTTCCACTCGCCATAAGAATTACACACATTATTGCGCATAGTAGATACGTAGCATCAGTAAAAGAAAACCATCTTAATACTCGAACCAAATTGATGATGGGCGACCGACCATCCTCCTCCGTTACGCAATATATACGAACGTACGTATGTAGGTAAGCATGTAAGTCGCCTTAATCAAAACCAGGCTCGGCGAAGCATACATTCATGCAACTTCTCCTAATCTCGTCATATGCTCAAAAGAACTCGTAAAAATCCATAAACGCTCCGAAAAGTTCGTTCTAAATATGATTCTGTTATCCTTCGTTCGCATAACAAATATACTTGTACGTAACTGAACGGAAATTAATTGTATGGCTGCTGCATCAAAAGGAAAGCCTGCCTGCCTGGCTGCCTACACAGAAATTACACGTACACGGAGGGAGCAGAGAAGGAAACAGAGGGATTTATTAGTGATTTACATAACCCACCAATCTCCTAGGAGTGTGTGCACATAGAGCAGCAGGTGAGTTTGGCTGAGCAGCCTTCGTCGACGGATTCTGCATGCGTAGCGGAGCGGGTTGAGAGAAAGTTGTTCGAAGGTGACCTTCTCTCCGATACGCGTCATTATTCGAGGAGGATAAAGCTCCCCGCGAGCTACCTTGGCTGAGTCGCTTTGTGGAGAGAGCTTTCACTCATGAAAATGAGCCATGTCATTTTAAAATCGGGACAACAAGAGGGACAAGTGTGGGACGGAGGGGAAATGAGAATAATTCATGAGCAGATAACGTCACATTTTAAATTAATACCCTCCTCGCTCCCCTCCCGCCCTCCAATTCTGTTTGTGTCATTTGCTCAACCACGAAACTTCATTTGGAATTCTGCTTCTATTCCGGGCGTATAAATAAAGGATGGTGATGGGGTCCTTGAATTGTGCTGCATTTCGGCTGAGTGACTGAGTGCTTTCTCATTTTATTGAATCACAGCCATTTCAAACAACAACCGCACACTTCATTTGAGTCACAGGAAGGAGAACAAAAGAGGAACGGAAATTCGGAAGGTGGGTGAGCACACAAGACAGAGACGAGCGACGAGAGAGCGCGTTTGGAGAGAAAGATAACCAGCTTTCTCCAACTAAAACAAAGGAAAGGACTGAAAGCTATGATTCAACTTCCTCTTGAATAATGAGCAAATCAAATAATACAATAAATTATCTCCCACTTTTTGAAATTCGAGTAAAATCATTATTATTATATAACGTCTCCAAATTTGCTCCAAAGGAGAACGAAGCTGCGACGTTTGACGAGGAAGAATTCGATCCGGGGACTTATGTATCCATGCTTTGATATGCATTCATATTCCTATATAGCACATTGGACCGCCTTCTGGGAAGGTTATCCAACTAGCTCCCGTGGAGACAGAGAAAGAGAGTGGTGACCTCAAACTGAGCCAATATCGTCACAGATGAGCATGTAAATGAACGCAACAGGAAATTTGAAACCGCACAACTAGACCTAAAGTTATACGTAAAAGTTTGTTCGAAGCCTTAACTAGGGAGGCAAATGTACGAATGTGTCATGATGTAATTCGTGTTTCCAACTCCATTACACACAAGTTGCATATGACTATGGTCCATGAAATGTCACTTCCAACGAGTGGATCTCTTCCAACTCTTCCGCCCAAAGCTAATAATTATTTTATATTTTCTCATTACAAAATAAACCGGATGTCGGATTATAAACGTACAAACAGGAGGAATAAATAAGGTATGCACTGTTCGGACTAAATTCATGGGATCTACATGCTCACCGCACTTTTAAATATAAATTTTCATTAGCCAACCAACGCTTATATGCACATCCAGCCAGACCACCATGTTCTAATTCGCTTAAGCCCCAGTCCTACAAATAGCTGCAGATGATGAATGCGCATAAACTTTTAATGTGTGCTCCACTCCACAACCAAATTAGTGTTTTTCTTGAGTTTAACTACCTCATAAAAAGTTTAATAAAACTGAGGAGGCCTGTACCACCATTATCCCAAGAAAAACAGTTTAAACCAAGAGGAGTTTGAGCATAATTAGCTAATTATAATCTTAACTAATGATTAAATGGATAATTTGAATTTTCAAACTACCATAATTTTACCTTCAACGAAACACAAATCACGCAAGAATGGTTTATGTAAGGATCAAACAAAGTGCTGCGAAAAAAGCAAAATATTAAGCAAAGAATAACGAAAAAATAAATTCAATCAGAAGTCGGTCAAATATTTATTTAGCAATCTAATTTTCTCCGGACAAAGTTTTACCTAAATTAAAAAAGCCTTTTGATGCAAAAAAGCGGAGAGTTGAGTCTTGAGTCAACACAATGATCGTTCGTTTGATTAATTCCAATTTAATATGGACGAAACGTGGGATGAGGAGAGTTGGTGATCGAGTCGTATCCTTTCCTCCAATTACTCAGGAGGAGGAGGGAACCTCTACCTTTCACCCTCAGATTTTGATGCCCATTAGACATGCACATATGTAGGCTACTAAAAACCTAGCTCGGATTTGAAAATTCTTGCACCATTATGGTCCCAGAGAATTGCTTTAATATCCAATATCAAACTCAACTGTTTTTAATTTGTAATATCTTCGGAAATTTGAGTTTGATGTTTGGTATGATAATTGGATTTTTGGTGAAGGTTTAAACTAGCGAAGACAGTTCTATTTTAGTGTGGCGCAAATGGGGCCATCAAATTACTTCAGGATTTCAGTACAACAAAAGGCATCAAAATCTGGTGGTGAAAGGTAGAGGTCCCCTCCTCCTCAGTGTGTACGCAACAACTACACATGTACATGAGAGGCATATAGACGCTAGTCGCGGAGGTGGGGTCGAGGTCGTCATGATATCAAAGGCCAATTTCATCATCATCATCATCATCTATTCTGCGATGAAAAGTTGTTGTGCCATCGACTTTTATTGAATGGCACACAAAGAAGTATTTCAATTTGTGCACAAAGTGTAATAAAGCCAATTCATCAACTTTTGCTCACGGACTCGAATTCAGGCCCATCCACGTTATTATTACTTCCAGCTCCTACACGCTCGCCCGTCACAAAGAAGTCTCAAAAATGTCGCAATAGAGAATAATACTAAAATCAGCATCCTCTTCTCGACTTTCTGCTCATTTTGTCAAAAGAATGTTGTAATAGAAAACATTTCTAATCGTCAACTGGAAAATTGCATTATAACGATTTTCACTCGTCTACTGTAATTTGAAACTAGTTCAGTTTATGGAACCGGAGGGGAGGAACGATGGGGAGAAGTGGTTGGCGAAAACAAAGGGTCCGTTTTTGGAAAATGAGTTCTAATTTCTAATGAGATTAGTCCTCTCTCTCGACGTAATTAGCCACCCTCATCGTCGACCCAACTTTATCCAATTCACCACCGCCGACTGGCTTTCTTTTCGTTTCACTCATGTTGAAACAATACACATCAAAACCGGGTGCAATTTATGACAAAAAGACCTAAACGAGCTATTAAATACGAAACAACAACCGTGGGCAAGGAGGCTGCCTGCCCGTTCGAGGAGTCGCTTCGAGTGCATTTCTATTATATTTTCTCTTTCTTCCTGCCTTTCTCCGAGACACGACGACCATCCTCCTCGCTCTCTCGTGGCTAATGTTTTATTAATTTTAGGACTCCTTTCATGTCCACAACACAATATCCCTTGCATTCCACTTCTTATTTGGATACGCCAAATTCTGCCAGGTTTTTGGTTGCCGTGTTCCGCCAGAAATGAGAAGTTGCAGGAAATAAATATCAATTTGTGTTTGGAGCACTTACAGCAATGTACATATCTGCGAGACAGAGCGGGTGCTGCTGGACCGAGAAAAGTAGCAGACGCATACATATCATTAAACCAAATGTCAAGGTTGCAAAGAAGAATGGAGCCAAGAAAGAGAGCTACATCTGCGTATCTATGTATGTACATAAGTAGATCACCAAGCGGGTCGGATGACTCAGCGACTACAACTCCTTCATACACTGCTACTTATTACAACCACTTATTGGAGAAATGGACAGGGAAAACCAAAATAATGCCACGATCTTGGTTTGTATGTTACGGTCAACAAAGTCGTGTATCGATGAAAGCAGAAAAAACAGAGTGTTGCACCAACCTTTCCATCCTAATTTGCAGACGCGAGACACCTTAATCGTGACCATGACCGGGGCAGATTTCTTCATTCCACAGTCGTACGCGACGACAGACAAGATATGGTTGTGGCTCTTGTCATAATCCAATGGCTCCGTGTTGCGAATGACTCCTGGAAACAAAATATAAAAGATTCATTTTATTTTTACACAGTACAAACTTTGTGCTACAGACAGCTAGTTGGACAGACAGACAGAGAGACCAGTCAGAGAATGGGGTGCATGTCACTTGGAAAGTAAATTCAGACACTGCCAAGTTCTTTAGACGAGGACATCGACGGTTGTATGGAGAGAGATCCCAGCCAAGAAATGGAGGGCTCAAATTTTAAATTGCATTTCATATGTTGCTTGGAACATGAGATGGAACATTACATTACATGTACTTTTACTTTCTCTCTGCAGCTCGTACACTACACCGTGCATGTGTCGTGGAGAAATAAAATTAGGAGAAAATAGGGTTACTCCGAGAGCACGCACCAGCTCACTCATCTCCCTTTTGGCAGTGTTTCTTTTTCATTTTGGTTAAAAATAATAATAAATCCATGCTAAAAGATATGCAGGCTTTCCTTTCTCTCCCTTTTAAGTGGCGTTTCTAAATATTCCAAGTGCCCCACTCACGCTGTGAATATTTTCATAGGAACTGGAAATCTCCTTTTGTGACACTTGACCTCGTCGGACAGGTAGAAAAGAGAGGAGGAATTATACGAGATAAAAGGTTAGAGTTCTGCAAACTGAAATTGTTGTTTTGTGCAGAGCATCCGAGCACGTGGGTGCACCGTGGGGAGAGGAAAGTTCTCGTTGTAGAGGGAAAGTCGGGAGCAGGTGAGTTCAGAGGTTCTTCTTCTGAAGTGACAGGACGTAGATAAAATTCTTTGAAGCAAACAAGACGTTATTTTATGAAAACTTTTATATTCCAGCTCGAAGGGAAAACGGGCTTTCACCGTGTAGCACTCTTCTCCTATAGTCCTCTTTCTCTCCGACATGCTGTAACATTTCCAGCCATGAGATCCTTCTACTACATACACGGAGAGCTTTTACTCAAAAAATACCTTGGGGCTCGTCGTATGTGCGCACTTCTCTCAAATGCCTGGATTTGTAACGAAATCCTCAATCAGGACGAACCACAATCTGAACATGATCACCTGTGTGTTCTTATAAAGTTTCTGACTGACAAGGTTCATGTGAATTATGCAAGTATGTAAGATCCATTTCAGGGTCGAAAATGTCAAAGCGATCCTTTTTCAAAATTTTTATGCAACCAGAAATCGATAATTATGTATTGCCATGCTGAAATCTATGTATTGGGACGACGAGGAGTCTTCGAAGACGATAACGGCGGGACACGTATTTACTTTACCAAGAAAATTGTGGTTGAACATGATAATCAAAGCGAAAGATCCTCTCTTTGATAATAGTTTTGGCAATCATGTTGACGACGAGATATTAGTTCAAAGAATATTACATGATGCTAAAATGACACGACGAGGAGGACCGCTGAGGCATGTGCAGATAAATAGGCACTGCTTTGGAAGATGACATTTTGAACATTTTCAGAGAGAGTTATGTCTTGATCGTTTTTGAAGTTTTACACAATTTCATCTTCCAGAGAAGAGAGGGAGAGATTAAAGTCGCCCTTCCTTGGTTGGTCTTGATGAGTCCTTTGATACTTGCAGATTTTGATTAAAACTTTGTAAACATTGCCGAGCACAAAAGTTAACCTCAGTCTTGAAGGTTTGAAGTGCTCAAAGGTTTTCTCTTCAAGCAGTCCTTTAAACTTGGTTTAAAAGAGATTGCATACCCCACGTCCGTCCGTCCAACCCACTTCAACTTATTTATATCGGCCAGAAGGCCTGGAATCAATATCTCATTTAAGTCGGGTAAACAGATCGATTCGTGTAGCTTTCATTTTTCAAGCCATTTTCCACTCTTTTGATAATCGTGGAAAACATGTGAACACAGACGCCGAGTGGGTCCTTTCAACCAGGCCACATCAATCCTTCTCAGCCCCTCGTACAAATTGCTATTCACCAAATTCAAATGGGCACTTTGTATGAAATAAATAATACGCCACCCACTCAAGTAACACGCGCGCGTACGAAGCAGAAGTTAATCAAAGATGAGAAGAAAGGTATTTACACGCACAACATTTCATGTCTTTGAAAATATTTCGGATTGAAATCTGACGCAGTCTAAAAGAAAGATCTTCAATTTATTGTGACGCAGTTAGCCCAACTCTGTCTGATACATAAGTTACATGGATGGCAGTGAGTGTTGGCATTAGAGCAGTGGGTTGGTTGTTTTAGTGCCTTCCGGCGAAAGTTTGTCCATCCTTTTAGTTTCGAACGCATGAAATGAAGGGATATTGGCAACGGCCTTGATTCCCCGCCAAACTAGGCTACGTGGTTTGCTAAATGTTACTCCTCTCTATTTGCCATCCATGATTGTCTAAACTTCTCTCTGACATTGTTCTACAATCAAATACAGTAGTTCGCCAAATGGACTGCTTTCCCATTTCAGGAGGAAGGAAAACTACCCGATGGGATGTAGCAGCAGCAGCATCATCATCAAATTCACTTTCTCTCAAGTAAACAAAGTCCCGCATTATGATCTCGACAAACTAAAAATTAATCAAGTTGGAATTGTTCACGGTTTGGAAACGAATGAGCAGTATGACAAAACTCCTTTTTGAAGCATGACATCAAGGTCTCAAGAGATTTTGTTGGATGACAATAAATGAGAATGGAGGACAATATACATATACGAAGTACATAATAATAAAAGTTTCTAGTCTGCATGTCAAATCTATGACGTCGTTGTCGTTATGAACATAGTCAGTGTACATGTAAATCACATACTTAATAATGTCTATATATTACACATATTATACATTCATGGGTACTAATATTTGCTCATATTGCATAGATAAGTAAGTCGAAACATACTTATCAACATTTCGTAAAATCGGATCAATATATTAAATCAAAGCACTTCTAGATTCGTTTTTTATCTACCAAAAAACTAAATTCTGACTTCCGAGTTAAATTCGCATTTCCTTTTAAATTTCAAGCTAATTTTGATTAAGCCTTTTTGGATGTTTGAAATTATTACGTGCATTTAAGGAAACGGTAAAAGACTTTATTTGAAATATTGACCCGTTTTTATGATGCTGCAAGCAAAGTCGGACGTGTATGCAATATGATCAAATATTAGTTTGGTACAAAGTGTGCATAGATACGACCACGATGCGAAGATGTGCAGGGCAAGAGTGGAAAGTTGTCACAAGTTTTCACAGTGTCAATTTCCTGTCATACGAATCTTTTCGTGGGGGATGTTAAAACCAATCCTAGGGAAACATAAACTTTGCCCGGATCAGTTTCACCCTTGGACAAAATGAGAACCAAGTGAGACGAGACGGAGATGAGATTTTTCTGAACGACGTCGTCGACGTCTCGTCTCCACCAACTTCCAGACATGAAAATCAAGGTCTGCCATAGTCATGGGGTATCTTGTTTGGCAATAAATGCAACATTTATCCTGCACTAAATGATCATAAATCTTTCAGTGGTAAATATTTCCGAAAAACATAAACTGATTTTAATCCCAGTCACACGTTAGAAACTTACATAAAGCAGAAATCCATGCCATCCTCTCTCCCGTTATTTAATATCCATTTTTACTTTCATACATTTCCAGATTCATTTTCTCAAGATTTGTATAGAAAAAAGTAAAATGCATTTGTCACCTTGTGGTTTTACGTCTCATGTTTCACTTTACGAGTTCAGCCCAACCTCCTCCCCTCATGAGATTTAGAACTCGACATTAAAGTTTTGAAATATACTCTTTGTCGTAAATTATGGCTGACTGACTGAGGAAAGCCCACCAGGACGACTGGCACGAGTGATGGTTATTTTAAAATTCCCTTCCCATATTTATTCTGGCTTATCGTTAGCTCGTGTGGCATTTTTTTGCTGAAACTTGTACCGCTTGCGCCCTATATGCGTCTTCAAGTCTATTGAATACGACGGCTACTGGGATGAAACGAAATGTGCGACAAAAATCATCTCCCACCCAACAATCTGTGGATTGAGACATGCACAATCCATCATACACTTTTAGGTTAGATGGTTATCCTGACTTTGCGTGGACTGCAGCAAGCGGTCTCACAAGCGTAATTCGAGTCTAAGCTTTTTATTAGCACTGCTGCCAGTAACGAAGAAAGTAGTAAACGGCTGGCTGATGGTGGCGGTGGCCAAGTTGGAGATGGCCAAAGTTTTCCCTTTTTGAGGAGAACCTATTGCATTTTATGGGCTGCAGGTAAGGAGGTAAAATTCCTTTTTACTTTTGTGGTAGTGCGCGCGGATTAGATTTTATGGGTTCGGAGAACGACGACGAGGAGGACACAACTCTTTCAAATTTGAGCTCCCCTGTGCTCACCTACAAATCGCCGCATAAAAGTGGAACAATGGACACTTGGACATGGAGAGAAGACAGAAGATGAACATAAAAGATATGTATGTGTATACCTTCCTCGAATCGGAACTAAATCCTTTTATGACCAACTTTGGAACCACCGTGCACTCCATCCAATGTCACTACTGCACAACAAATACATGGCGCAAGGCTTTCACACATTGTGTGGTGATACTAATTGACAGAGAATCGCCCTCTTGACAAGCAAGCCAAGTGGATTTACATTGCGAAACATTCCTCATCATTTGAACCTGGCGGATGAAATCCATTTATTTATTGAAATGCTAGTGGTATCGATTCTTTTTTCAATATCGAGTGGATTATTTCGTGTTAAGTTGTCGTAAACGGACAAGTCGATAACCATAATATATGTATGCACATGAAATGGATGCATTTATGTACATATTCGGAGTACAATGAACACTTGTGTGCGGAATTTGAGAAAATTTTCCCCGTCTCGTCTACGGCTAAGGTGATTCGACGTCCACCACCTCCTCCTCCGCCAGTCCCCATTGTTCATGGAAAATAACAATGCATGTTCCCAAGGATGAAAGCGAAAAGAACAATTATCGGACTTTCTCATCTACTGCGTTGAGGCCACACAATTCCACGCAGCAGAATGAAAAAGCCCCCTTGGGAATCAAAATAAAAGGACCGCCACAAAAAATTTATGCATTGTTCAGCGAAAACTTTTTGTCTTGGATAATACGACCCATCGCCACCTGGTCCAATTTTTCTCATTTCCTCCTCCAAATCGGGAAACTTTATAGAAACGCAGTTGGATTACTTTTCCAAAAAATGCGTCATTATCAACCAAAAGATAAAAACATGTTAAAATCGATAAGCGTTCAACTCGTTTTCCAATATTTTCCGTCTAATTCATATATGCACATGGCAATTCATCCACATGTGTATAATTATACTCGACGTGATTATAAGGCACAAAATGACGAAAGGATTTCGCAAACTGCTTCGGCATGGGGTCCCTCCTTATTTACCTCTGTTTTGGAGTTTGACTGACAAGGAAAATAAATGGGAGAGATCGATATGTAAAAAGAAAGCAGGTGAAAGAGCTTCCGTAAAACTGTTTCAAACCGAAACTGCATGATGCTCTGTGTGTAAGTTGCGAATTATGTACGTAAAGGTTGCAAACCCTGCGTGTTCAAAAATAGAACCTTTTCCAGTCGAAATGTCAGGCCCCGCAGGAGGGACTCTGGCGCACAACATTTCTCAGGGAGCCATCCTTAGGAAATTGAATTTTTTGAGTTTTCCAGTCCAAATTATGTCGGAACTCAACTCAAATAAATATTGGGAAGGAGGTCCACACTTCTAAGAAGAGGAAACCAATTTGTTCCGTGTGACGTCGTAGTTTGAACTGTTTTTTCTCAGACTTCATCGAACAATATGTATGTACATGTAGTGCATTTACGAAATAATGCCTTGAGTGTCTTTTCATGTCATTCCACACGCGTCCCACATTTTTAAAAACCATAAATTGTTAAGTGGCGGAGAGACAACATTCTCGTCATTCAAAGGAAATCGCTGTTCTTACCGTCATTGTCGATTTCGAAAGGCTGATCCTTTGTGAGAATCTCGTACTTGCAAATGTCGCCAAATTTAGCGGTGCAGTCGCGATCGGTGGCTTCCACACGGATGATGAGATCGTAGAGTCTCCCTTCGTCCACCTGCTTGACGTAGGAGGGCTCCAAGAAGGTGGGCGCATACTCGTTCACGTCCACGACCGTGATGTGAACCGTGGCACTGGAAAAAGTGAAACTTATTTTACAATAATGATCCGAATAATGTTTTTGTTCAAGAATCTCATTAAACTTTCTGCTGCTATTCGTACTGCTGCCATTTCTGCCATCTTGTTAAGGCGCAACCAATAAAATGATCCCTCTACTTAATTCAACAACAGGATTCTGCTCTCTCTTTGTCTCTATCTTTGTGGGTCGGTGGGGGTAGAAAGGCTGGTCCAAGGCCGGTTAGCGAGGGAGAAGAAGAGTGTGCAGAGATGATAAAATCTCCATATTATCCCAACACAGCCAGCCAAATTGGGATTCAATGGAGGAACGTTGCTCGCATAAATCCTTAAATCCAAATTCCTTCAATGGAAGAAACTGTGCACCAATTATGTCTCCCGGAATAGCACTGGGAGGGATTTCGGCTGCCCATGTTGAGATTCAGCAGGGGCACGGGTTCAGACAAAGGAAGGCGAATAATATGCAACGTCATGTTTGGATGGGACTTTCTCTCTGGCGGACCGTGTGCACATTCTTCCGTACGTACAGAGGATCCAAAACAGAAGAGAAAGTTACGATTAGGCAGGAGCAGCCTCACCAAAGGAATGGATAATCTATTCATGCCTTATCTTTCCAACTTAAGTCGAATAAATTCAGGGCACAAAAGCCCATCTCTCAGTTGGTACGTGTTTCTTAGAATTCAACACATGCATGGCAAACACATACGTATACGTCGTAGCACATAGCGCTGCTAAAAAACCAGCCAAGCAGATAGACGAGGAACCGTTCGTCTTGTAAATACGTGCCTACTTTCTCCCATCCGCCTGCCTGGCATGCATAGAATGGGAGAGGGTAAAAGATGAATACAAAATCAAATTCAATTCACATTTCTAGAAAACAACTGAAATTTATGTGGGAATAATACCAAAAACTTTGCGAATTAAATGATTTTTTTTCATTTTAATTTCTTGAAATGCATACAAAATACGTGTGAAGGAATACAAGGAGTGTCTGAAGAAGGAGCCTGTTGAATAAACCAGCGCATTTCTCCCAGAGAACTATGCGCTTTCTCCCCTTCATGCAGAGCTTGGTTTAAATTCCAGTTTCTGCTGCTGTTTTCCCTTTTTCAGCGCAGGCTTGGCTGACAAAGATATATTGCCTTCTTTACATTCCCACGATTTCTAATCAACTGCCACTTCCCTTGTACTCTCGCCTTGAATCCCAATAATGCTCAGCCTGCTCCTGTAAAAACACAACATCACCACCACCACCACCACCTTTCACCAAGTCAAAGGTGGAAATTCGGTGAAATAGTTTGCAAGCGAGTGAAGAAAGATCCATCCTTCTTGGGGAAGCTCAAAAGCCAAAACCACGCATAAATAGGCTTGGCTGGCTGAGTTGGAAAATTTATTGCTTTTGCTTTCACCCCATTCAAACACAGCCAGCCCAGTGGATCCAATGGATGGAATCAACATTCGACTCCTGTGCAAATCAATGGAGAATAAGCAAGAATGCGATGGGGTAATTTATTGGTTTGGCTGGCACGGCTACCTACGTTCCTCTCATGAAATGCTTATTCGGAATTAATTCAAACCCCCGAGAAAAGCATGCATGCAACACATTCGTCCCACCGAGAAGTCATTAAAGAAAGTGTGTACTTAAATTGACATACTTGTCCGACGTGTCACCGACGCAGCTGACAGCAGCGATGTCAAACTTGTAATTTTTGCGTTTTTCACAGTTCAGGAGACGTTTAGCTCTCAATTCGGCCTCTCCGCGTTCTTCATCCTTCAAAACGATCTGTAATCAAACAAAATAAATAATGACATAAATTCCCAGTCCAGTCGGATGCTCATCATATGGTGTGTTCAATCTAGATATCGCTCTCCCTCCCTCGTGGGTGCTTAGGCAGTAGTTATGGACCGTGTGAACGCTTCTTGTGTACAATAATGATGCTCGATGCGCAAAATCGATTCGTTTCCATCCTCCTCATTGCTTTGCATTCACTTCTTTTAATGAGAAGAATGAAGTTAAATTAAATGAAACTGCCTCCAAGGGACTCGTTAGTCAAATCTGGAAAATGTCCTTGGGGAATCTCATACCAGCAGAAGCAGCTCCAACAGTGGAAACATTTGTAGTCAAAGCTTTTAGATATCACATTATTTCCCAACGAAGGCACGGTAATCATGATGGCTTTCGTCCAAGAGCCACGAAAAAATGGGATACCATTTCAAGCTAAAGTCCATTACACGTACATACGAAGAGGAAGATTCTCCCTAATTCAGGAGGATTACATGCAATAGAGTTCACGATCAGAAAATGCAGGTTGAGTTGTACGGAGCTGCCGCAATCTAAATATCTGAATCTGTTTTGTTATAAAATTCTGCGACTACGGACTGAAGACAGACGCGAGTGAGGTGATTCGTTGAGAACAATGTGAAGTGGATACGTGTCTAAGCTATCTCTGCACATAGGCATTTGTAATACGGCCATATATGGTGCGGAAGTTTCATGCTTTATGCTAATTCGTCCACTTGCACCACAATATTAAAAGTCGTATCGCTTAAAGCCGCGTTCTGTGTGTCAGATTCGTCGTCATCGTCTTTATTACTGAATGTGTAGTGCTATGTGCAGGCATACTACGTTATGTTAAGTCCGACTTTTAGTCGGCGAGATTCCAAGAGCTGAGCTGAACGTGGAGATAGTGGTCAAGATTCTAAAAGTCTTTTTCACTCCCTGGTTGGTGAAAGGACTGGTAGGAGTTGGTGGAGCGTGTCAAAAAAGGGATGAAATATGAGACACGAGGAACAACTGCAGATGATGGAGATATGTCCGCAGTCCTAACCAACATTAATCCCAACAATAAGGATACGGAAATTCATGTATGAACCCAAAATGTCCAAACTAAGTTTATGTATCACAAAACATTTGACGATTTTTGTACGTACGATATGACGCATGAAAAACTGCTCTAATTTTGACTAGATGAAATGACTGTGTAGACAACGATTGGCATAATTCTGAAAATAAGTACGACTCATTTCCTACGATTAAATAATACCCATCATCCTGCACATTGCAGGAAATCCACAATTTACGTACATTTATCCTCACTCTGTTTCATTACTCACTGGCTGGAACCACTACTTTATCAGAGATTAAACCCCCAGAAGAGAGAGATTCATGTCCTGCAAATACAATTTCGACTGCACCCAAACAACTTATTAACCCCGAGTGGAAGTGGATTTCATCCAGCAAACGTGCGCCTCACATTCATGAGGTGTAATAAATGCTCAGCAATTTGCATGTAATTTGCCTCACTCTTTTATGAAGCTGACGGAAGGCAGGCAGGTGGGCATCACAGGTTTTCGCTTAATCCACTCCATTATAATTTATAATTATTGCAATACTAAAAAGCCGGATAAAGGCCAAAGGACCAACATGCAGACCCACACCAGCCAGACAGACTTCTTGTCGAGTGATTCAAATCCTCTAAACTTGGTGGCTTACATACACACCGGTTCAATACACTTTAGTAAATTACAAGTTACTTTATAACCCAGCTTATTAATTCATTCGCATTCGTTCCGCAGTATACAACTTTAGTTACATGAAATAAACCTGCAGAAAAATCAAGATGGATGAGGTTTATTCCGTTCTTTGTACTCGTGTATGCAATATTTGGAGGTGTTTACTGTTCAGAATTGAAATATTATGTAAACACACGGAATTTGAAATGGGGTTTGTTGTATCTTTAAGTGATTCCATGGACTTGAGGCATCTTTACCTTAAATAAATATTGAAAAGATTTTCATCTTCTCTGGTCAAACAAAAAATACATTTGAACCGGAAGTCATTCGTTTTGACATCTATATGTCCACACCTGGATAAAAAGTATCTGTTCATGAGCATGGTTTGACTTGTTTCGAGAAGGATGCATGGTGACCCACGCCTGCACGCAGCACTTGTTGACAGAAGGGCATCACACAATATTGTCTGGTTATAAAAAGTGAAGAATTTGCGCTGAGACTTTTATTAAGGTTGGGAGAGTGGAAAAGTGAACGTTATCTGATAATCGAATGGCTTGGATGTAAAGTTTAACTACACTTTTGAACTCGGCTGAGACTGCTGCGCTACAAGTTCTCTCCCAAGAGGAGACACAAGTCTGATTAAATATTTATAAGGAAATCTAACCTGCACTTAAGAAGAAGTAACCCGACAAAAGTCTCTTCATGTAATACGCATCACGTAAAGTACAGGTTTCATCCAATTTGGATCCGAGACTTTTCTCCGTGATCTAGAGATGCGATTCCAACGCAGTGCAACAAAGTTTATGGATGCACATAATGCGTTTCTCTCGTCGTCTTTAAACCAAAATGCTCAGTTACTCAGCGAGCAAGGTTGCCCTCACTTCTTGAAAGATTTACCTTTTACAGTATTTATTTACGAGCGAGATCATCTTCCCACATCCTAAACCAGTTCTCACACGAGCAATACGCAGCCAGGCTCTCCACCCGCTTAATAATGTGTCTAAAATGCGGGCAATGAAATAAACCGAATTGGTCATTGCAAAGCATTTTCCGTTGTTCAGAGTCTACTCGTTGAATGAACACTGCATGGCCACGTGTGCTTATTCCTGTAAATACTTGCACATTTACTAAACCATGCAAAATATATTACTTCGTTGCAAAGACAGTCGCATGTTCCTCAGAGGTGAAAGTCAAGTACCTAATTAACTGATCACAGTAATTAATGAGCTTGGCGTCTCTCTTCCCAACTCCCACGCTTGCTTGAACCATTAATTCAATTTCCTATGTCAACATGCACATATTAGAGTAGCAAATTCCAGTCAAATCAGGCATCACCACCACCATCGCTCCTGCCAGAGCTAGGAATATGCAGTAATTTGACCATATTTCATGGAAGTGAAACAGGACTGGCTTCTGCTGGAGAAGGCAGCAGATGGGTTGGTTAGTTAGTTGTCGGAAATGCGTTGATATCAAAGTATCAAGGCAGATTTGATTACTTGGAAATATGTGTCGTCGTATAACTCGTGCTGGTTTTCAGGCTGGGGGACACACGCCAAAAGGAAGGAAAGGTTTTATGGAAATGGGAGACATGGAACATTCCTCGCTCACTCTCCATGTAGTGGCATATACACAAAACGACATGTAAGTGCAGCAGCAGCACAAGGAGGACAAGAAATATATTCAGAGTCCATAAAATCTGAACTGAAGAGCATAATTTAGGTCTGGAATTCGGATGTTATGTTCACTAACCCGGGATCCCCAATGTTGCTCCCCTTAGGCCCGAGATTGGTACAAAAAGGGTCGCTTAATGACCTTCCATGTCGTAAACCAAAATGATACTTTAACTTTAACGTCCTTCTCAACATCCCACCGCACACAAACTCCTCGCTCCCAGGGAACGACGACTCCTCGCGTATGCCGGCCTGGCTGAACGTCAACGCAGCTTCACCCACCCACCCAGAATTGAACCAAATAAATGCAAAATGCACCCTTTACTTGTAAAATACTCTCCCTTCCTCCTCCTTTATGTTAATACAGCCTCCTGCAATTTATGTTCTACTCTAAAGCCCGGAATTTCAAATTGGAGCATAAAAAACACTCTTTTGACCTGGCCAAGATTTCAAGACGTTCTTTGTTGCAAACAAATGTACCGACGAGAACTATCCGTGTCTACCCTGGCTCCTCTCTCCATTCCTGAAACCGAAGTCAACAGGAGAGAGAGAGAGAGAGTTGAGACAATATTTGAACTTTTTTGCCAAGTCTTTCCACAAAATTTGCCATTATTACGTACAAATGAAGTTTCTGACGCGTGTATGTATTTATGCAAAATATGTCTTAAAAAGCGAGACGACGACGTTGTGCGTTATTAGATGGAGAGGAGAAGCAGCTACTGAGAAGAAGAAGGAAGTGAAGTGAGTGGTGCTGCCTAAGTATTTAATCCTCGAAAGAGCCATTAAAGCCCCTTTTGCCAAGAAAGGCATTAAAGAAAGATAAACATACAAGGAGAGTAAAAATCATCTTTGCCCTCGAACAAGCAAGTTTTTGGGAGAGAAAATGAGCTCAAATTGAAAGGAATTCTCTGGAGAAATCTTCATCGTCATATTTCCCATATCGCATCACCCAACGAGCGAGGAAAGAAAGATGTCTCATTAATAATAACCTCACTAAACGGGTGACATTCCCCATTCATTTGAGAAGCATGCTCTCCTTCAGAGTAAATAAATGCTCCTGACACTTTCTCTCGCTCTCTCCAGAAAAATGACTCCGAAATAATATTAATGTTGCTGGCTTTGGATTATTATCAGCATGTGGATACGAACATATTATGCACACGAATGTGAGCGGAATAAGAATGTTGACGTGTGTACGCATTAGCTGCTTCATTCGTCGCCCGTGTCATTTATTCACTCCTTCTCGTATTTATCGGAGGCATTTTAACCATGTCAGGTTCGGATCTCGCATCCTCACAACACTCGGCACTAAAATAGTAACGTGGATATTTTGCAGAAAAACGCAGCATTCTTCTCACCATAATTTACGAGTCTCACTTTTACGCACACACATGTTGTTTCTCTACATCTGACGCTCTACAAATCAATTTCTTTTCCATTAGACAGTGAAAACGTCCCAGAAAATCTGACAGGCTTTCACGTCGTCTACTTCGTCGAGCTTTGCTAACAAAAAGTGAAGTATACTTTTTCAAGTTTTTCAATACGTACTCTTTCTGCTCCATCCTTTCGAGTTGCGATTCCTTTAAAAATGTCACGTCTC